AATAAATGCTTACATGGATTTGTATTTACCTAGTAGTGAAAGTGAACGATAACAGAAAAACATCCGCGGAAGACAGAACATCGCCACATCCTTTCAGCCGAATATCGCAAACGAAGCTTTTCACTCGTTTACCAATAAAAGAGCAGACTTGAGAGACTCCTTTGATCTGTAGGCGCGGAGCTTCAGAGAGAGAGAGAGAGAGAGAGAGAGAGAGAGAGAGAGAGAGAGAGAGGGGGCGACACGGAAGATGTCGTTGAATTTAGTGTATACGTATCCGGTGTATGTATGTGTGTATATATATATTTCACCTCAAGGCGATATACGAGCCAAGTGTGTCGCTTTTTCTTGACTTTCGCGTTGACCTTTTTCACCTCTTCTTTATCTTACAAACAAGACGAGTCGACCTTCTTTTTCCTCCCTCTGCGACTGCTGTATTTGCTTGTTCCTTCAGTTTAATCTTTTTTTACTCCTTGCGCAATTTTTTTATTTTAAACCTTTTTAATCGTGTTCTTCTTCATCCTTTTCTTAACTCTGACTTTTCATCAGAGCATGGCTTTTTCAATTTTTCAACAGTTAAACTTTAAGTTTTAATGCTAAGTGGTGGTTTGTTATGAAAACTTTGTTTTTCAACTTTTTTATCTGACTTCTTAATAGGAAAGTTATCCCCAAATATGATTATTGAATAATCACTATTTCAATTTAACAAGGCTATAAGAAAATCCATTATAAAATTGTGAATGTATGATCAATTATAATAAGATTAACTTTGTGACTGTAAATCATTGAACCGAATTTTGGAAGACAAAGCAGTATGAGGTTCGATAAATTATTTCAAGTTGGCATTACAAATTGAAGACCAATATGAAAAAATTTCTACATTTCATAGTTGCCACGAGTGTGCAAGCTGCTCTGCAGTAAAATTAAACGGGAAATAAAATAAATGTTACTTATTTCAAAACTTCGGTCGTAGCAAAGCCAAAGATTTCATTTTACGCAATCGTACATTTGCAAAGAGGCCCTAAATCCTGGAAAACTTTCGGCATCTCCACGGGCGAGCTCCGTTCCTAAAACCTTATACTCAGCCGTAAGAAAGGAGGAAAAGTAAAAAAGGTAGTGGTAGTAGTAGTAGTAGTAGTAGTAGTGGTAGTCGCCGTCGTCGTCGTCGTCGCTTTCCATATTTCTCGTCGACCACTGCCATTTTTCTCCCTCCGAAGCAAAAAGGAATTACGGACTGACGCGCTCGTAATTTTAAACGGATTACTCGCGCCCGCGGATTCAAAGTACATTAGCGACACTTCCTCTATCAGCCGCGCAAAAATACGTTAGATCCCCGTTTCCATTTTTATTATTTTCTTTCTCTCTTTTTTCTCAAAGTGGCGCGCATCTCTGAATCGTTTTGAAATTAGCGAGAATCTTTTTCCTCCGCCAGCGGAGAGCCGAGTTCATAATTGCGAGGAGTCGGCGTTTGAGAATACGCTGAAGTGTGTGGCTTCGTCGCCGCGCTCAAGAGAGGACATAATTAAACCGTATTTTGAGAGACTTTGCTTGCGTGAGAAGCTGACCGGGGTTCGCTTGAATATTTAATGACTTGGTGACTTCTAGCGAGATATGTTGTTTCTATCGCATGGATAAGTGCGGACAAAGATACTTCTGGTTTATTTTTCATTTTAGTGCCATTAATTTGGCTACATGCGGTATTCAACCAAGTTTTAATTTAATCTATTAAAATGAATGTTTTGAACGAGGCTCAACAATAAAAAAATCATTTCACACACATGGTGGTTACGGTAATTAACTGAACTGGGGCGCATCAAATTACTGATTAAAGATTTAATGAAACTTATTCGATGAAATTGCGTATATAAACTCGGATAAAGTGACCGTAAATGGCTAACGAAAAAAAGACGAAGGATTGAGAAAAAAAGAGAAATGGAGAGAGCGATGAGAAGAGCAAAGATCCATAGAATTCCGGGGTTTTCAATCAGAGTTAAGTGAAAAGTGTATCGAAGCAAGAGAAACGGAAAAGACTATATATGAACGAGAAAGTAGGATAAAAAATAGTTAAAGCTGCGATTGTTTCTCTCTGCTGTGCGTTTGGGCGTATGATTGTTTGGAATGCCCGACGAATGCACTTGGGAATTGAATTGCTTGCCGGTACAGTGATGTCATTATTGACACAATTTTGGTGGAAAATTTGTTTTCCTTCTTTTTTTTTGGTAAAATGCGTACATAAACACCATTCTACAAATCGACGAACGACGAAGAAGAACGTAAAAGTACTTTGTCGCGCGGGTTGGGATATTTTGGACACGCATATTATTAATTGAATTTATTTGACGAGCAAAGTGCAAGAAAGCAAGCACTAAAGGATTAATAAATGGAAATGGAGTTTGGAAAGAAAGCAAGTAGATGGTCGTCTGTTATTCTCAGGGTACAAAGTCGCGAATGCTCGCGGCGCGTGATTAATCGGTACACACTCTGCTTGGCATCTTGGTCGATCTGTCTTCGGGAAGGTTGACATTTATTTGCCATCGAGTCGACGCGTTTGCCCGTGATTCATTACAACTCGTCCGCTCGAGTTTCTCGCTCTCGCTCGGTCCCAAAAACTTTTGCCTAACAATCATAATGAGCTCAACGCGCTGCACGCACGTAACCCAAAACGCGAACACGCTGTAATTGAAAACTTCTCCATTACAAAATCATTATCGTCGCGAAAGAGAAAGTTCGCCAACAAAACCAGTTAATTAATGGTCTTTCTTTGTGGCGCGCGCGCGTGTAGGCAAAACTTTGGGCATAGAAAACTAATTAAAACTATCCTTGGTCCTTTGACGAGACATGAAAATTCCAAATCTGCTTTTTCTGGCCGTTCGCCGCTCTATTTGCTCGGATCTCCGCTCATCCGAGCCCTCTCCTATCCCGCGTTAATTCATTTAACGCTTGCGCCTTCTCTTCCGCACGCAAACCTCATCGAACTTTTATAAACGCATTGCGCTTCTAGGCGCTTCTCTGCGCTTCTCCGCACGAGGCAAACTTGGCCGCGGAGCTCCTTGCCTATCTTTCGTCACTCGTTGTACATTAAAAACGCCCGGCTAATTGAGTCGCCAGTTTTGCGACCTCCTAACGTTGCGAAGCCTTAATTGTTGTTTGCATCAGCCTCCAGCAGAATGATATCAAGTCCCGGTCAAAATAACGTCGTTTACCTTGCTTGCATACATTTTCAATGTCCGAGGGATCTTATAAAACTTAACGCGCCTTGCGTAATAAATTAACTTTTCGGTTATCTCGCTTTTCAGCGCTATTCCAAAACTTGTATAATTTGATCAACCGACTTGACAGCTTGGCCGAGTAAACGAAAATAGGCGAAACTCAATTCGCTACGAGCTTCTATCGTTTTTCGACCCTCTTCCCTCCAGACAATTCCCGTCATCGCCACATCTTAGAGTCCAAAACGAAAGGCCTTCGAATCCCCATCTAATCAGTAAAATCATTGAAACCCAAATACGTCAAGAGCACGCCAATTTGAACGTCTGCGTATCGATTCACACCGAACGAGGCTATCCAGGAACGTCGTTCATTTCCTTCTTATCGGCGGCTGACGGTCTGATAATTTTTATTAACGTGCAGCCCTTTGCCCTCGCGTGTTTGAATGGGCCATACGTACACTTTTTACGCGCCTTGAATGATTTCGCATTATGCGTACTTATACCTCGTATTCGTGATTTCGCCATTATTATTGCTGGCGTTCCCCCGTCCACCGAGTTATGTCATCGTATTTCGATCATGATATTGCCGTTGATAAATAAGCGCATGTTGAACGAACGTGCAATTTCATCGTCATTTCGGTATATCAATAGCAATGGCGGCAACAACAACAACGAATAAAAAAGCAGCCGAGTCGAGAGGGAAAGCTAACGGAAAATCCCGTGTATAGGATTCCGAAAAGAGACGAGCAGAGCGAGCACAAAAGCCAAGAAATTGAAAACAGCACATACACGCGGACGCGCGCTCACCTCGTGTCCTTCTATACACAGCCAAGCTGTTTACGTCTGCTCCCTTTTCATCGCCCAACAGATACGTACACAGGCGCGCGCGGCAACAAAGGGACAATCGAGTGGTGCGAGAGCGAAAGGCCGATCCGTTTCCTATGGCAGCGCTGCCGCGCAAACAGAAACAACGCGCGAAATGGGAAAGGTTTATTGCTTGGATTTTCGCGCGAAAGCAAATTAGTGATCGGATGCCGGGTATACGCGTGGACGCTCGATTTAAGACACGGCGAATCTGTAGCCGTACGGCTGTACGGGAAACGGCGTCAAAACCGTTTCCGCATTTTCGCAGCCTATCCGGTCTGGATTAAATTTCACGCCGCTGCGACCGAGGGTCTCCACGGATTCCAAAAAGACGCAAGCGCGTTCCCAGCAACGAACGACCTCGACAATTTCGACTCGGCGAGTGTGAAAAATGTCAAAGTCGATTATCGAAAGAGGCCAGCAGTTTGAGGGCACCGGCGAGCTAATAGGTCGCGTTCTTCGAGGCCGAATTATCGAGGAACCGAGAGATTTGGGAGGCAAGAGAAAGGAGATTCCCCCCCCCCCCCCCCCCACCCTGGCCGCAATCAATTTTCGCCTTTCGGTTTTAATTAAACTCAGATGGTGCTCGCGCGACTCTCCGCTTTATATTGCCGCGAGAACCTTCAAGAGCTCCCTTTCAAGTCCAATTACTTTTCTTATTATTATTATTCTCACTATTTCTCTCTTAATTTTGGTCATTGCGCTTTCATCTCTGGCTTTTAATCGTCAAATCCATTTATTCTCCGTTAAAACACCACCGAGTGCTTTTTACTCGCAGATATATTTCGCGAAAAATCCCCTCGCCACGATACATTACGAGGTACAAATCCCAAAAATAAAGCATCAAGACTTTGATTCTCGCGCAAAAAAGCCCCTCTCCCCCGTTTTTATTTTTTGTAAAGCATGGCTTACTTTTGTTTTTCCGTTGAGCAGGCATTGTACAAGTGATTACGTGGCGGTCTACGCTGGCCCGACGACGACCAGTGCCCTGATAAAAACCCTTTGCGGAAGGCAGAGAGACAACGTCGTGCACGTCGGAAAGGATCTGCTCGTCGAATTTCGGTGAGTACTTTTCTTTTATACATCCTGTACTCTCGTTCTTCGCTAATTGCTTTTTCTTCTCCTCCCCCCTTTTTGAGAAATGCTTCCGCGTTGCAACGTGGGTTGTAATACTTTCGGACTTTTACCTCGGTTTCATTTAAAAAAAAAGAAAAAAGGAAAAAGGAAAATGCTTGTCCAACTATTTTTTGCGAAATGGCTTCCCTGAAAGGCTTTTGCTAAACTTTTCTCTCTCTCTCTTTTTTTTGTGTTTTGTTTATTTTTTCGGGTACTGCGTATGCGTTGCAAGAGATTGTGCTTGTACGAACAAATTCTGTATTATTCGGTATGATGCGAGACTAAAAGATACAGCAACAATGTTTGTATTAGATCTACTTTTTCTTTAATGCATATACTTGGCACCGTAAGCCGTAGTATTTTAAATTTGTTATTTTCATCACAGCGACTAGAAAGCAAACAAAAAAAATGCATTGGCACGTTTCTAAAAGAAAGTTTGCTGAATAAGCAAACGATCCGCTGCCTCTTTCTAGAAAAAGAAAGTAAGAAAGCTCTCGCAGCGTAAAAAGCTCAAGCTATATCATTACTGCAATATTCAGTGGACGAGCAAGTCTGCTGCAGCTTAAAAGGGTTTCTGAAAAAATCATGTCTTGAAAGAGGGATGAATCTACTCTCGCTCGCTTTGGGATTGTTTATCACGCTGTTACTGTTTTAAGAAGAGCAGCGCCATCACTTTTTTTCCTGCGTATTGCAGATCTGGCCCGGAGGTCGATCCATTTGACTACAATGGTTTTGTCGCGGCACTCAATTTCATTGAAATGACCACCGAGACACCCACTACACCTAGTACTACCACTACTGCACATACCGAGGCTAGTAGTCGAGAGCGTGAGTATCACTTGGTTGTCACAGTAACTCATTTAGAGCTTTTCCGTTAAACTAGAATCGTCACGTTTAGTTTATCATTCGAATACTCATAAAAAATTAACGAATGCAGAAAACAGATGAAAAAGCTCAATGAATAATTTATACAGTACGAATAAGTAAATCGAACAAGCTCCACATGCAAACTCGGAACTCGTACTTTGCAGCCGAAGTTATTCATATGCCGAACGCGATAGTGTCTAATGGCGTAAACTCCGGCAATGGTTACCATCAGAACAACGGACATCACCGGCCAAATTGCGACCTCGAGGTCAGCGGTGAGAAACTACGCATGGGTTCTTACAGCACTCGTGGACGCGCTTCGGGAGCACATTCCAATCCTACTTGTAGGCTTGTACTTCAAGGTCGAGAATATGACACCGTGCATGTCAATGTGCCTAATTATAACGTCAGGTAAGCAATCCCAGCAATTTATTATATACTTGCTTTGCTACTACTCTCTTTCAAGATGCGTTTGAGCAAATTAACGAGCACTGATACCCAACCCAACCCAATTCATCTTAGGTTAAGTGATTTGCACAACAAGTCCTCATGAGTCTTTATTCGCGCTTTGTTTAACGGCGAAAAAAAGCTTCGCAGGAAAAGTTCAAGGAGAGCGAGAAAGGGAGAGAGCGCGCCACCACTTCAAAGTTACTCTCGACATTTTTTCTCTCTCGACGTTGCCCTTTTTCCCACGATTTGTCTCAACGTCATATTTTTTTTTTCTCTTCAAGGCTTTTCTTTTTGTCTTTGCACACCGCAAGGAAGTTGGCGGTTACATGCGGATGCGGAACGACACATGTTTTACCGACTCGAATTTTTTTCCTTTGTTTAGGCGCGCGTGTTCTATAACGCAACGAGACGTTTGTAACCATTAGGCTCTTTTTTTCCTTCTTTGTTTCCCGTTTTACCGAAATGATGCTAAAGGTATTTCCCGTGTTTGACACGAATCATCACTAGAAAGCGAGGGAGAGAGAAACAAGTTGTATGCGTATTGCTTAATTATTATTCGCGAGTAGTCGGAGTTACTTTTGTTTTTAATAACGCAAAGTCTTATTCGACTTGATGGAATTTTCTTTGAAATTCATTTCGTTAAAATGTCGTTTGACACGAGTAGCACAGATAGTTTTGCGAAACTTTTCGGAATCCAAGTTTTTCCATCGAAACGAGATGAACCGCAGTACGTTTTCTACATCTGCGAAGCTTGTAAATTATCGTAAAATTTGTGGCTATCGGCACTCGGTCGAACTTAATGGCGTGAATCATCCTCGAAGCGAGTTTCCGTGACCCTCTTTTTTAATATTTTTCTCGTGCCAGTAATAGGCTTAATTGTCCGTATCACCTTTCGAGAGCATGAACTTTTTCAATTTATCACTGGACGTGTCAAAAGTTTGCGATGAAAAATCGTTTGAACTTGTATGTTAGACAAAAGTTCTACCACCTCTCAAACGATGATTCAGTGGGATACATTTTTTTTTCTTGCGCGAAAATAAAAAATCTACCGATCTGTACTTACGTGTTCATTGGATGTTAGTCAACGCGAAGAAGATGCACGCTCAGGAAGTCAACATTTCTGTAATGAGTGAGTGTGATCGTGTTATCGTTAAGTAAAGGCAAACACTCGAACTCCGTTGAAGTAGAGATCAAGTATACTTAAGCTTCATCAAAGTAATTAACTATATTGCTCTCTCTCTCTCTCTCTCTCAAGGACTTTGTAATCTTCACGTACGTATCAAAGTCGAATTTATACGAAAGTTTCGAGCCGCTGATATTGCTACTTTTCTCGGTGAGTTTTCATTAGCTTCTTCCATTTTTCATTAACACTACTTTTATTGAAGTAACTTTATCGGTAAGCGAATAACAGGTAATCATTGTTTATCACGATGCGAGTTGAAATCCAAATCGTAAAAAAAGAAATTTCTCAATCTTCCACGCATGGCGCCAAAGCGTGCATTTAAATTTTCGAACCTACAACAGCCTAACAATTGTTTGTTCACTTTTTGAGAGACACCTGCATAATGCACATCACTGGTTCGCGCGTTCCTCTTAATTACTTGGTTCGCGCACGAAGCGCGTGGTTTTACGAGGTTGCGCGCGACGGAAAAGCCATAAAGAGTCGACTGAGCCGGCGTGGAGGAGGAGGAGGAGGAGGAGGGTCGTTCCTACCGGTACCACAATGACAAAGACTTGTTGGGCTGAGGGGGAAATAAATAGAGAGATGAAAGGTGAACAGCGCTGAAAAGGAGAATCTTTACGAGTGCAAGCGTCACACGGCGGAACAAAGAGGGCGACCACGAGTCGTGTTCCCCTTTCCGTTTTATTCCCGTGGTCGGTTAAAAAATGTTTGGAGAGGATTAGCTTTTCGTCAAACAATTCGCAATGCAGTTCTTATCTTTCTTCCTTGCTATTTGTCGGCTAGAATGTTGACTCGTGCCACTGAGAATGGCGACTCTTTACTTTCGATAAACAACCTACGAGGGAACTTTAGTGAAGCCGTTTGGCGCGGATTTCTTCAAAAATTAAACCATACAAATGAAAAAAAAGTTAATCTAATTATGTAGACGAAATTTCATTCTCCACTGCGGCAGATCTTCCCCTCCCTATTGCCCGCTGGACACGCGTATTTTCCCTCTCGCGCATGAGTTTGCCCACCTGATTGCGTATACATATGTACGAGAGAGCGCGAGTCGAGTTTCAACGGAGAAAGAATAAAAAGTTCAAGTACTCTCGCGTAATTAGTTTCTTTTATCGTCTTTTTTCCACTACGCCGTCTACTTTCATTTTTTTCTTTCCTTTGTCGCATTTGGAATTCATTTGTTGTTGGCTTCCGTATTGTTTATAATTAAGCCAAGCAAGCCCGAGGAAGTGAAGAATTACGCATGGCAAGCGTTGGAATTGCAAAATTTGTGCGGCGAAACTTTGGAGAATTGCATTTTCAGTAGTACGAGTCGACGCTCGGGATGACATTATGTAGCTGCTTTCGCTTTTGAAATCATCGCACGCTCTTCCAAAGTGCAAACTTTTCGTGAATGCAAAGGGGTTGATTTCAAAGTCATAATTTTGGGACACAAACGCATTTCCGAAATGAATATTATTATTGTAACTCGCGAAACGTAACTTAATCTGCGCGTTGGTGAATGAGAAAGCAATTAACTTCATTTCTTAATCAGAAGTTTGCATTAGCGTTCATACTTGAATGGTTTTGTTAATTTTACTAAGTTGTCTCAGCTGATAAGCCTTTCATTGCCGCGCGATCTAATTTCCAGTACATCAATTACCCCGAAGATATCCGAAATGATATCGATAATTTTTTCTTCGTCGAAAGGGCAAGATCTTGAAAAAGAACGCCGTATCGAGCATTTATTCTCGACGACGAGTATCAGACGCGTAGCCTGCGAGAAAGAAAAAGCTTTATTTGTGAGGCAACGTTGATTGGCATCGTTACCAAGACGCCTCGGTTTTGTACGATGTCTTTTCCTCCACGACGAGCGGCAATTCTTTTGAAAAATACCGAGTAGCTGCAGTCGGCTTGTTTGCCGTGATGGTGGGTGTAAAGTTTGATTGAATCCATCTTGGAAAGGCGATGATTGGGCCTTTATGAGATTGACTTGTCGTGTGGAATGAGATCGCTGTGTTGTTCTACTTCTCTCGTTGATTCGTTGCCCGGTAAGAAAGTCAGAGCTGGCGTGCACTGGCATCGGACCATAGAGTGGGCCGATAACCGAGTAGAGTAATATTTCCGAAGGGTCTTTCGCTGGCAAAAGAACGCATTCGCGAGTATGATAAACAGGCAAAGAAACCAGCGCATGAACACAAGCGAAAAGAAAGCTCGCGGCGAAGAACGCAGAATATGAAGAACGGGTGAGACGGGGATGGAAGAGCGTATTATATAAATTCCGATTGGAATCCTGTAAATCCTCGGGGGCATCGAGCCGATAAAGTACTTGTACGCGCGCGGCCGTTTGCATCATTCGCTCTGCTCTCGCAGTAGTGTTTATGCGTTGGCTTAGGGTGAGCCACACTCGCGCCGAATATAAAACCTTCGCTTCACTTTTCTCTCTCGGCAACAGACGGCTATCGTCGGATTTCCCCGCATTATCGCTCGCCGGAAAATCCCAGGCGCGCAACAAGTCTTTTTGTTTTTTCGCGAGTATGCCGAGTGTGCCGCTGTTAGTCTTGGCGCGTCGCGCGAAACAAAAACTTTGACCTCCAATTAACCGGGACCAAGAAGTAATTAAGTATAATGCGCGGAAGCTTTAAAGAGGATTATAAGCGTCGAGACGCGACCGAAGAGGGCTGCTCTGTACAGCTCGATGCAATCTGCAAAACACTGAAAGCATCCCTCTCTCGTCAACTTTCGCGAGTAATTCAATTCGACGACGGCGCTCGAGTCGTTGATTACACCGTCGAATTTTACTTTGAGCTGATAATAAGCAAAGTTAGCTCGTTAAAATTCAATGGATAATTGTTTCGTGTCTGCGCAGCGTTGCGTCTTGCAAGTCCCACATCGAGGTATTCGACGGACTGCTGGACGATGTGACGGACGTCAAATCCATCGGCAAACTTTGCGGACCAGCATCCGAGTCGCAGCTCAGAAAGGAGCATTTGCCCACGGAGTGAGTTCACGCACTTTCTATTTGCTTTAAAATTGCATGCCGAACTCGAGAACGATAATGCATGCGCGCGCAATCATCGGCGATCGCGCGGCAATAGTGGGAAAGCAGAATCAACAGCGACGATTGTTAATGCATTATCGAAAATCTCTTGCGATCGATCGCGGTGATTATTGGAGCAGAGCTCGAGTACACAGTGTGTCGCCGCACTACTCGAGCACTCGAACGCGCATCAGCGAGTAAAGCGCAAGCGTACCGAGCGCCCGGAAGAACGAGTCAACGTTGCGCGGAGACTTTTGAGCGATCGATTCTTGGGGGTGCAAGCGGCACCCATCTTTAAATCATCGAGCCACAAGGAAAGCGAAAGCAGAAGCTTTATTCCTAGCCCATGCGGGAGCCACCCGCCAGCCGCGCAATTATTTACGAGGCTACTGAAGTGCGACGGCGGATAAAACATTTTAGCCGAGCTGCCGCGCGCACGTAATCCCATCAACGTTTCGAACGCGTGAATTGTTAATGCATCGTAAGCCGGCGGCCTCTTCGCCTCCTCGTCAAGCATTCAACGCCGGGGCAAATTAAAACTAACAAACGACCTCTCCCCTTCGCCGACTCCGCGATCGAGCATTTATGTGGCAGCTCGACGCACAAGCACGATTTTATTTTGTTTAATGCACTCGCGCAACTGCCGGAACGATTGTCGACGGCTTACAATGCTTTGAAACTTGCAACGTTAGCCGTTTGGGATTTTCCCGCGACGCTTTACGGTTACGCGTGGATACGCATAAATGCATCCTTTATCTGGCGCACGGTGTCTCCGAGTTTTTCTGCCGCCGTGTTTCCATTCTCGCGCTGCTGACTATGGAGGCTCGCCCAAAGTATTTCTCCGGGCATGCTGCCGTCCAATTTTCCACTGATAGCGAAATTTCGGTCGGAGTCCTACTTTAAACGCAAAAAACACGAGAACGGACGGAAAACTGTATCTTCGCTCGCTCGCGACTTGGAGCTCTCGCAACTCGATCCCACGTAAAATCCAAACGCGCGAGCTTCTGATCTGTTTTAATTTAATTTCCGGTGCGCGCGGCAAACTTTTGGCGCGTGCGACAGCAGCGACGTCGTCGTCGAAATATTCGAGCGAATCGCAGCGCCCATCTCTGCGGCCATTGTCCCGATCGCGTCTACTGCCTTCTCTTCTAACCTCGATTATCCGTTGCCGAATTGTTCGCTTATTGGTTCGTTGGTCAACGAGCTTCCGAGCGCTCGAAAAGCGACTGCCGCAATCGCGAAGCCTCGAGTCGTTTTCGGAGGTCGCACAAAGCACGCGAACAGTCTCGCGAATAAGCGCGAGAATTCGGCAGAAAAAGGGAACGAGGCAAGATTCAATTTCGCCGGCGAGCAGCTTGCAAATTCGTCCTTGCAATTTCGCAAGCTCGGCGGGCGGGCGAGCCTTCGCCGCAGCCTTCCTTCGGAGCAGTGCTAGCGTCGGCGAGGATGTCGGCGAGGCTTCGGGATTTGCCGTATTTACTCGAAGGCAAAGTACACGCGATAAGGCCAACTGCGCCAAGCAAGCCATTTCCATCGCAGCGGACCTCTGATTGCCTCCGTACGCTTCTTTCGCCGTGGCTTTGCCCGCGTTTTCTGATTTCTGATCAGCGGCGCCTTGCCTACACGAGTACTCGCGGTCTCTTTCCGTTGCCGCGTGTCATTAATCGTAACGGCAAATCCAATTTTCCATTGAAACATTTGAGCGCCCGAGCCAAAACAAACACGCGAAGCCGAGCGTGAGAGGGAGGGAGGTAATGAAATCGGCGGGGCTTGGATCCGCGTTACGTTCTCGATTGAAAGTTCCAATAGAACCCGCTTCGATTTAATGGAAATTATACTCGTTATGAATGTTAGCCTGTGCGAGAATAGCCACAATTATGGAGCTTTCCGTGCTTCTACTAACGAGTTGCGCGAGAGAAAACTCCTTCTTTTTTCCGCTCGTCGTTCATTTACCCGACTTTACCCGGCGCTTATTAATTTACGATCGATCGCTTAATTTTTTATTCGATTAGACGGCGATCGATCGCCAAATATCGGATTTTTCAATCGCGTCGGCTTGACGTCAACCGACGGATAATGAATTTCTGATTGCTCGAGACAATTAGGCGAAAGCGCGGCTAAGTTGAACGCGAGCTTCGCAGAGCGAGTGACGAGACTTTTGGGCGAGCAATCAAAGGGAAACAAAGAAAAACGAGCGAAATAGTGGCGCACGGCAGCAATTAGCCGCAAGTGTAACGCGGCAAGCGAAACGCGCGCGATCACGAGCGTTTTCCGCAGACGCAGGAGTTGATTGTCGGTGCACAGCACGGGTAGCGAGAGGCCACAGGACACGCGCCGGTCGAGCCGAGAATATACACCCGGAACTGGCAGCGGCGCGCCTACCAAAACATCCGGCCGCTGTCTCTCGAACTCTCTCGCTTTTATAATTGTTCTCGCGCTTCCTTCCCGTTCGTGCTCTTGGCTGTAATTGGACCGAGAGATGCCGGCGAGTGGGTCGAGGCGACTTTTCCAATTGCCAAGCGTCGTTCGTAGTCCGAGCGCATATCGACTGCAATATAATCCGAGGCAGTTGAAAGGGGGCTGCGGCGCACTTAGCTCCCGACGCCGGCACAATGGAGCTTGCGCCCTTTTCAAAATGGAAATTGCCGCTGTGTGTATGTGCTCGCGCTGATTTGGAATTCATCAAGCCGAGATACAATGGTTCGTCGCGTATAATGGATTTGCCAACTCTTCGACGGAAAGCCCTATCGCCTTGTATTTTAGGCCGATTGCATAATTGCGGCTGCGAGTCGAGTCGCGCGCGATCAATAAGGCTGATTGCTGAATGGCATTTTTATTCCCCTTGCCAAGGTGCGCACGTTCGCTCCAAAGTGACTCGCTGCGAGCCATTACTGCCTCGTTATTGCGGCTCTCTCCATTGTCGACCGTCCGCAAAGCCTGCGCTTATCGAATAATTCTGTTGTTGACCAAGTCGCGTGCGACAACTGCAGACGAGCTGGCTTTCCGCGACAAATAGTCAACCGAGTGTTCTTTTGCCAGGCACACCGAACGCAAGAGATACTCCTCCAGCAGCCCGAACATGACGATCTTGATAACGCGAGCGAGCGACGAGGACTACATGGACGTGTCGTACTACTTTCACAACGGTGAGTACCCGCGTCTCGTTGACAAAGCCCGGCTAATCGCACTGTTTATTGCAATTTAATATCTGCCGATATCCGTCTATGCGAATGTACTCGCGAATTATTACTCCGTAATGGGCGCGTGATTTACCGATTGCCCCGAGGATTACACCGCGACGACGACGCGCAGATAAGCAAGCAAGCAAACGCGTGATTTGTTGCGCACTCTCCAGCGATCGAAATTCATATCTCCAAGTGGGATGAACGCGAGAGAGTCCAATTGATAACAGCGCAGAGGGAAGCGCGTGAGAAAAAAAAGCGCTCGCGGATTTTCCAATCAAGCTGGAGCACGCGACGAAAAAAGACAAGGCTGGGAAAAGTTAGGCGCGCTATACGTCTATTTGCTGTCGCGCGCTGGTGATTAAGTGAATTCGTAGATCACGGACTTACGCGCGGTCGATTAAAAAAAAAGGGGAAAAACATCGGCGATGGTAAACAGGAGTGACGAAGTCGCGAGAGTTTCTCCTTTATTCTCGTCGATTTCACGATTTTACGAGCGATGCAAACGTGTGGAAATTGGTAGAGGCAATTTGTCAGAGAAAAGAGCGGCGTTTCCTTGAAACAAAAATGATTCGAACGAACTTTGGCGTGAATTCGCAGAGAGGGAGTCGGGCACGCAGCAGCCAAAGACATTCTGCGACGTGGAGTATTACGGCCTAAGCTCGCCCAAAGCCGGTATGGTAATTCAGCCGAAAGTCAATCGATTCAACGCCGTTTCCAGCAACGTCAAGTGCAAGCAACATTTCATACCGGCCGCCAATCAAGCCGTCGTCATCACTGTAAGCTCGCGGGTGAATCGTAAAAGTAAGCAACGGAAAGAGAAAAGAACTAATGTTTCGCTTGCCGCTGTACAGCTCAACAGCACGATGAATCGAACACTCGATACCCAATGCACGACGCAATGCGGCGATCAGGGCTGCCGATGCGCGAGCAACGAGCTCCTCGACGACATCGACCACCTGCTTCTCGTGGCCCAGCCGCACGGCAATGTGCTTGCCTGTCTGTGTGGCAGCAATCGAGTATGTATCACCAGTTTTCCAAGTTTCCCACGCGATTCGCGCAGCCCGCAAACGCTTCGGCAAATGCTATCGGCGATCGCCGAAGCGATGCGTGCCTTGAAAAACTCTAAAACTCTACTCGTATACTTTACGGATACCGCAGGAAAAACCAATCCTCGCTATTTATTTTTTAGGACTGGTTGCCAGTCGAGTTTTGGAGTACAACGCCGGTGTACGTCGAGTGGTCGCGTTCACGACAACCAGATTTGAATCTCACAGCCGAGTATAAATTCGTAGACGACAGCTTTTGCGGTGGTCAGTCTCAGCTTGCCACGGCAATCGGTGAAATACAAGCCGGATATTCGGCTAATTTTAGCTTCGCTCTCAATCACTACTATCAGCAAAAGTGCACTTACGTACTCGACTCGCCACCTGGCCACGAGCTCTTCATACAAATCGAGTCAACGCAGACCAGTAAGTTGTGTCTCTTATTAAAAATATCTTTGCCAGGATTTGAAGTAGCCCATCACGATAATGCGAGCTTCTTCAAGTATAACGCGTACATTCAAGTTTGTCGGTAAATCGCTCTCCTCTTGTCGAAGTTGAAAGGAAAGTTTGCAGCGCTGTATGCGACAAAGAGATTTTTTTATAAAAGATATTGGCTTTTATTCGAAACGAGAAAGAAAAGCCTGCCGCAAGTTACGTAACAATATTTTTCACAGGGAGATATAAATATACGCTGAGCTCGGAGAATTTCATTTTGCTTACACCGCATTTCCGTCAGTTTTTTTATGGTATTTAATAATCGACAGGACCATGCACTGCTTGGAATTTGACGGTGCACGAGTACAACAAGACTATTTCTGAGTCTGAAGGCCCAAGGCTTTTCACTTTTTGCGCCAGGGATATCGCTAGGAATTTCACTATCTCCACCAAGCACCGCTCGGTTATTGTCAAGTGAGTCTTATCGTTGGTCCCAATCCAGAACACTTTTAAGTCCTCGTCCAAATGTTTTGCAGGCTGCAAGCGTTAGGTCGAACGGCGCCGCAATACGTATTGAGGTGGCGAAGTTCACGGGCTATGAAGCCACGAGACAATAATCTACAAATGACACACGGTAACATCGTCATGGCAAGTGCCTCGGCGCTCAAGCGTACCGTCAGCTCGCTGCTACTGCTCGTCGTTCTCCTTGCTCTGGTCACTTGATGAAATAATGACGAACTTTAGCGTTGGTAATCAATTCCCGTGTGTGCGTGCGTGCGTAGTTTTTTCTTATTACTTTTTCAATTAGAATACGACTACGCATGATTTTATAAAATCAACGCGATTTTTACTTCTAGGCGATGTTCTGGAATTGACAGAATACCAAGTTTTATACAAGAAATAAATAGATAAATCCGATAGTTTCCGTTATCAGCGAAAGCACAATTTTTGAATGTGGGATTTGTATAAACGTCACACACAATGAACTATAAACGTTGATCGAACGAAAATCCTTATGTAAATACCAAATATTACGAGTGATAATAATAAGAATAACAAAAATACGCATTCGATTTAATACTAATGGATACAACAGGTTGCACTTATTAATATCAACGAAACATGTTATTTAGTTTTTCTTAACGCATTATTATTATTATTTTCCTTCCGACATACTCATTTTTTAACGTATATCGAATGCGTAATGAATTCTTGCAACAATTGATTCAGCACTTTTAGAATGAAATGCAAAATACAGCTGTAATGACGTAAACATACTTGAAAAAAGGTTTTACAAACAAAAGATTCATGGTCCTTTTATACGAAAAAATAACGTGTTTCGCACACCCACGACACATTGCAGGTAAAATAACAAATTTATATAGAAAACATGTACAAAAATAAACATAGGTTAATAGTGTTGTACAGAATACAATGGCATGGATATTGAAGCAGCACGGGATTACCGTTGTAAAGTTACGAGAATAACAAAGCAAATATTGATAGATAACTTATGTAATAATTAGGATTTATACGAAAAGAAACAAACAAACAAACAAAGAATGTATTTTAATGAATGAGCTTTGCCTGTTTAGGCAGCCCTCGATTACGTTGTTAATACATCCGATTGTTGTCCAGAATTGCTAAGATTTCATTAACATTTTATTTTTAATTCTTCAAATATCACTTGTTAATTTTTCATTAGTCTTTAATGATTCGAATTGATGTAAGTCTTTTTATAACGTTAGGATTTTAACATATTGTACAAGTTAATATTGCATATTTTTCTCAATGTTGACAATCGAAAGTGAATTTTGATTGTAAAATATTCCAATGTCGAAATGAATGGTACTAATGATAATTTTTTATCGATAAAACTTGGAATAAAAAGACAACACACAATTTTTATGTATAACAAGTATATAAATATTTTAATCGATGCGAGTAAGGGCTATTCTGGATAATCAGTCGTCAATATAACTTATTGATTACTATTAAGGCACTAGGTACTAAAGAAACCTCCAAGTATATGTAACTATTAAGGGTTTATAAAAAGAAAAAATAATTAAATGACAAAAAAAAATAAATAAACGAATCTAAAACGATTATTGATAAAGTATTACGAATATACGAACAGCTTAAGCAAAGAAAGTCCTCGTATTTTTAATTTTGTCCTCTACCGATAGCGTCTAAAAAATACAAATATAAAAAATCTAAAAAATACGTATGCTGTATTAAGTTAAGCTAATTTTTTCATTTCCTTAGCATGAAACAAGCTTAGAACAAATATACGAAACTTCTGTGCTTAAGCTGCGTGGTAGGGACGATACACAGATCCTTTTGCAATGTTTTTAAGGAAGAATATTTCATATACAGAGAAAAAGTCGTAAACCGCGTAGACGCGGTGATTTTGCACTGTCATGCGATAAAACGAGTGTAAGGGCGTCATAATGATTATATGGTTTTATGAAAAGTGAAAATCATGTAAATACTTTATTTATCAGTTACTACTAGTTTATCTTGAATTCGGCTAAATCTATATGAAATGTAAATACGAAAGTGGTTATAAAAAGTAAAACAAACTTATCGTAAATGTATAGCGAGGAAGAGGATGTATCCTATGTACAAATTAGACGTTATTTCAAATCGAATAAAAAAGAAAAGAAAATCTTTTTGGTTAGCGATACGTTTGTTTAACAAACATTCTTTCACTTTTCATAAGACACGAGTTCGCTAATTTACCTCAAATTCTATCACAAATACGTCCAAAAAGTCACTCCGCCAGTGAAGTGCGTGCTTTAGGATGAATATAATTCTTATGAATTCTCATACGTCAGAAAAGATCGCATCAAAGTAGGCCTAAACTTCGTCCAAATCCGCGCAACTAAACTCTCTTGTTCACGGAAACGTCGACAAGTCAGGTAATACATCAATTCATGGCGATGACATATCAATTGGCATATATCCACTGCATGTTCCTTGTGTGTGTATGTACGTATGTGTGCATGAATGTCATCGTATGTCGATAATTTATGCGCGATTCGGACGAAGTTTTCAAGACTGATTATCGTAGATGCTATTCCGTTTAGAGTGTTCACGATGTTAATGGGTTCGGCCGATGTATAATTGGATTTATCTCTTCGTCCTTCCTCTTAGTTGTTTTATATATCATTTACGCAAGCTTAAACTCGTCGACCTCGTCGAAACAATGATGAAAGTGTTCAGATTATTGAAGTATTTACGAATCTTCGCACGTGTAGTATCGGTAAAAAACAATTCTCCTTGTTTTTCACAGTAGATAGAGTTCAAATGCAATAGTTTTACTGCCAAAAGTTATATATGTATCGTTACGATAGATATCATCGACTTTTCTCATATCGCGATCTTTCTTCAATAACTATTTTCATCTTCAATGTGAGTTGACATTATAAAATTGTTTATTGTTAATGGATCCGCGTGAACGCGAAAAGAAACTATTTTTTCACTGTTATTTTTGTATATCAAAATACGATGGTTTAGGTGTAATTTTAGTAATTTTCATTATGAACTTTCTGATTTTTTTTTACATTTTTTCTTCACTTTTGCAGCTAAAATGATTGTAACAAATAAGCATTTTTCAAACTTTCACCAAGACTCGGTCTAATCCTCTGAAAGCAACTATATGTTATATGTACGTAATAGACGTGTATATCTAAGTCACAATAAATAGTCAATTGTTTCATATAATGAGATGAATAAATGAGATGAAGCACTGAATGAATTTTACACATTTATTTAAGACAGCCTCTCAACTTTCTAGTTGAAAACAAGATAATTTTTTAGGGGAATTTTTGTTAAACGACGTTTAGAAAAATCTAAATATTTTATATTAATCAATTATGATGAAAAGATATGGCATAATAGATTTTTTAATCAAAATTAATTTACTTTTTTTTGAGAAAAGGCAGAAAAAACTAGGTCAGTTCCTATTTAATTCCGTTTGTTTTCACACGTATGATCCGATCGTGCGTTCAAATATTTGAATAAAATGAACATCGCATATATATTGTTATTTTTCAAAATTATGGAGTGAATATTATCTTTTATTATCTATTCAAACTAAATATCGAGAGTGCAATAAAATTAGCATAGAGTGCCTAAAAAGCAGTTAAGTCACAAGCTCATGATGTTTTCTACCAAAGTTGCAGCTAAAAGAAAAATTGTCGTGTATATCGAATTTAATCATATCAAAATAAATTTCATGTTAAAAAAATTCTCGAAAAGCTTCTACGACCAAAACCACACATTTTACATTATCTTAATAGATCGTATAGCTTAAAACTTTTTCGAACTCTCATTTGTTAGATAAAATAATGCAGAGCTATATAAAACATAAAGGGTATAAAGCTTATGGATATTCCATATCTTTGTTACGCTGTTAAAGAATTCATTTACATTTATTGGAAAAGATTATGTAGTTTTGCGTGGAACATTAACCTATGCTATGAATATACTCTTCATTCATTTTCAGAAGACCATTAAATGTTAAAAAAATATTTATGACGTGATCTGAATCATGTAAAATACTTGAATATATTATTCGTGTTATTTATTAATTTCATTTATTCCATCACTGCCATATCAGCTTAAATTAGCTTGTTAATTTTTTCCACATTTATTTTAGAAACTTCTTCAGCTGATTAGTTGATAAAAAACATCTAACTATCAGTAAGGAAATACGTAAATGAATCGAATACGATTATGTAAAAACAAACATTCTTTATTAAACGACATTAAAAAAACTCTAAATTTTTTTATCTTAAACGACTATGCTAAGGTACAGCATAACAGACTTAGCTTTTTTTATTTCAAATCAATATAAACGAGATTAAATCGGTCGTACATACGAAGAAGATAGAATTCAATGGCAAATATTAAAATACACATATTACAGAATATGCTAAGCTACAAATATATTTTCTGCTAATGAATTTCAAAATCTGTTGCATTATTTACAAGCTAACGCAATTCGGCTCGGTACAACCAATACTTTATTTTTTTTTTTTGATTGCAAACCATTCTCGCAACAATATATTTTAGAAACACTTAATAAATTCTAATTTTTAAAAGTTATTCTATCGCTTCTCCAATGTTTTTCCAAACTAAGAATACTTTTTATACAAAAATATATCTTTAATAAATGTATTTACTACTCTAAATAACCGAGATTTCAAAAACTTCATTTCTACAATTTTAATAAAGATTCTTGCTTTGATATTTACTTTTTTCCTTATAGATCTACTACTTTGTAAATTCTTTTAAAAGATGCGAGATAAAATATTTTAGAATTTGAGTAAATTCAGATAAAAGATCTAAAACGGTAACCATGATATTTGAGATTACAACATTAAAAATAAACCTCAACAAGTTTTCAGTGCACAAAATATGATTGTGAAAACGATTGTCATTACCTCTTATACAATCTACGTATCTAATAACAAAGATTCTTCGATCGACGAAAATTAATATTTAATTTACTTTCTTAAAATCTTATTACTACGACAGTGAGATGTTTGTTTTTAAGATTCTTGAAGCTACGAAGAACACTTTTATTATCATAAAAACTAGCCATCGATATATCCGTAGCCTCAAATAACTCTTTAATGTCAAACTCGAATGAGATTCCTAAGATAGAAGGTACAATTTAATAATCGTCTGATCAAAGTTTCGTAATTTAGAAGTAATTGAAATTCTTGATGGCTATATGCCGTTTTTCTATCAAACCCTACTCTCTTATAACTTTACCAGAAAGTATTAAAAAAAGTTTAAGATTCACAGCGAGATTATTCTTAGTTGAATCGTATTGAGACTTTGTAAAATTAATAGCAATGCTTATTGCACGTCCCCCATCATAAAGTTCAATATTTTACATCAAATCAATATATCGTACTTTCAATGATATACGCGATATTTCTATTTTCAAGCAAGAAGGTATTGACTTAAGTTTTTCGTATTAATTGTCATTTTTTTGTGGCTATCACAGCCTTTAAAAATCATTTGTTTTGTGCACGGCAACATTTGTATATAAAAACTTTCAATACCTTCTTCTCATTACGTATGTTGATGCAACTAAGCCTTGCTTTACATTCATATACAATTATTTCTTTTCTCTACTAGGAACGGAACCGCACGATTCTAACTCGTACACGTAAATCATCTAACACCGCTGTTAAATGCTTGTTTAAACATTAAATGAGGTTTCCATTAAATTAGAATTTAAAAGAAAGTATTAATTTATGATGGAGCGTTCTGTAGGAATGCTGTCGCAGAATTCAAGAGTCCCAAACGTTGCTTCTGCTTTCTCTGTTCCGTCATCTAAGGCAAATGTTATATAAATTTAAGTTCTATCAAGATTTTTCATAAACTATTTCTATATAAAAAAACAGTCACTAACTTGATCACGAAGTTCAGTAAGCTGCTGAGAAAGACACTTAACGAGATTCTGAGTAAGCTCAAGCTGCGACTGTAAACTCCTAAGTTCGACTTGTTCACCTTCACTTTCATCCTCGGCAAGAGATTTGGCTCTAAGTCTCGGAAACCAATCGAGATTACGATCCTGTAAAAGTACACTGAGCTTAGAGTCGCTTTTTTCGATTGGCAATCGATTGCCACTCTACAAGCTACAATGGACCCTTTACCTTAACCATCATGTAGACATACGACTCGGGTCCGGTAAAATCAGTCGGATCTTTAACCCTCACCAGTACGATAAAATACAGGTAGTGCCACATATTGTGCTCGTGTTTGATGTGCTCTTCGAACGAAACAGTTTTGTTGTCGAAAGCCGAACGATTCAAACCACAGATGAAACAGGTATTTTTTAGTATCAATTCTTTTTGCTGTTTCTCTGATCTGAGATCGGCGAATGTGTCGATGATCACACCAAATATCAAATTCAGAACGATAATGATGACGATGAAGAAGAACAACAGATCATAGATTACGCGCGCAACGAATAATGGTTCCTGAAATTGAAATTGCGAATAATACGAGATGTTCTCAAAGAATCAAAAAGAAATCGCTTCGCTTAATTTACAGGAACCTTACTTTACTTGAAGGCGCTCTCAAGATGTCACCGATACCTCCGCCATTTCTCAGACCTTGATTCATTGTCGTGATAATACACATTATCAATGAATCGCAAGCTCGTTCCTTCAACTCTCCTCCAACGTTGACTACTTCCGCACTTGGAATCATTTCCGCTTCGCCTACAAAGACAACATTATCTTTTTTTATGCCAGTAAAATTCACGATATAAAATGCAAATAATACTTACGCTTCTTAAAATATTTGGAAACTGTCTCGGTAGCAATACAGCTGTCATTATCCTTTGAGCAACTTCCTAAAGTTTCTTCTGCAGTCGAAGCTGTAAAAATTAATCATTAATATTTGACTTTTAATATTTTATTATATTTGACTTTTCAACTTTGTTATGAATATTATATAACATTCAATACTCACATTCGATCTCCTCGTCGATACTCACTAAAAAGTCATCTTGGAAGAACATATAACCGATTAGAGAGAACATATACACCAAAATTAAAGCGAGAACTGCAGTGAGTATAATGGATCTTCCGTTTCTCGTAACAGATCGTATAACATTTAAAAGAGTTTCTTCACGGTATACTACATCGAAAAGCTGAAAAGATAACAGATCGTAGACAAATACATTCAATCTATCTTCATAAAAATAATCAATATTTTTTTTTTACTTACAAGAACAGAAAAAAAGAACGGATGCATACATATACCAAGTACACAAAATACCAAATATACTGTGTGATAAAGTAACTCAAAATCTGTAATTATTTGCTTAATATCCTTCTGCAAGGTACCTTGATTTCCTATTATACTAATGAGGTGTACAATTTTCAAACAGATCTGTAACAAACGCCAAACCCTTGCAATCATCAAATTATAACAGAAATTATAAATAAAGCTGATATTTACAGTAAGAAGACCTAACAAATACAGGGTTGGTTCAGGACCCAAAGAAAATATCAATCTCAATATCGTTGCATAAGCCAATGGTCGTACAGCTGACTCTCTACCCAAACATAAAACAATGGCCGCCGATGCCAGCATACATGTCCATATAAGACCGGATATGTGTGAATTGAGCTCTGTCCAAACCAAACAAATCATATTAGTTGCTCGCTTCAAAAGTGTGAAGCATTGACTTACTAAATATGGTGTCAGTAAACGGGTAAAAGAAGGCAACGATCACATTGATAAGAACAGCGCAATTGAATAAAACATTACTCCACAGCGACATATAGCTACTGACCCAGAACAACATGGGTTGACCTGGAAATATTTAAATAGCACTAAATATGGCTCTGTCAAAATAAATTGTCTAGAAAAATGTTGAGAACCTCTAAGCTTTTTCTGCCATTTCATCTCACTGAACATGTCTTCAGTCCTCTCAAAGAAATCCGAGACTTTGGATCCTTGATCGTCCAATTCGGCGGTATGAAGTACTCGAATCTTAGTGTCCTCCGTGATAAGTTCGCAAATCTCAGGAATGGGGAAGACGATTTGCTCTAAGGTTCTATCGTGCCTTACGATCTATTTATAAAGCAAATATCGAGAGATGTACACAGTAATAATTTGCATTTGCAGGTAACAATTGAAAATGCTCACTTCAATTTGTGCAGTGTGCGTCGCATAATATTGCAGTGCTTTGTTAGTTTTTTGATTCGCAGTACTCGACTCGGATGGTTTGAGTATAGCTGCAAGCTCCTTGTTGTGCTGCGCCAGCTGATGACACAGGATGTAAATGTTGTGGCCCACCTATAGAAGAAATAATTAATAAATTCTTTGTCTTCGTATACGTCGACAACCTTTGATGTACCTCTTTTGGCGAAACGCCATCTTCTCCATTAGATGACGAATCGTCCGGATCGCCATCATCTTCCAACGATTCCTGATGAAATGCCGTACAAGCGACATCGACCAACTGTTTTGGATTCATATTGTACATAATTCTCTCGGCATTCTCACTGTCGTTCCTACTTTCCATAATAGCCAGCAGCAATTTACTGGCGTTATTCTTAAGCTCCAACACGAGATCCATTCTAGTCTTGCCAAGTGGATTGATATCATTGAGAATGAGAGCAGTGATGATGTCAAGCCCGTTAGATTCATGGGTTGCAATACAATTTTGATTATCATGACAAGGGCCCTGGCAGTACTCCGTCAAGGTCTCGAGAGTTTGATTAATCAACGCCACATTGTATTCGTTGATATACAGCCCGAGAAGACCTAATCCACCGGTTGTCGAACCGCAGATGCAGTCGAGAAACATTAGCGTTTCCGAAACCAAGTTGAAGTTGGTTTTGTTATTTTGGTTGCGCAAGAAGTTCTGCAAGAACACGTCAGTAGTTAAAACTGCAAAATTTGTACTTTGCATTTGATTTGTGAAAAAATTCAAATCTACGTACCTGCAATTCCCTATTGTGATTCTCGCAAAGAAGCTGTAAAAATCTAAGTATCGGCTGCATGACAAGAACCTTAGGGTCTAATTGTCCCTCCTCTGCATCGTCGCTGCTACGGTGTTGTCTGTCAAGTTTCTCTGCCAGCATTTCATCGACGGCAATACTGCCAATACCTTGATTATCCTGATTACTCGCCACTTCATCTCCAGATGTTAAACTTCGTACGGCGGCATATGCCTGTGCAGTCGTTGCCGCCGCCGCGTGTAACTCGTCCCGTAATTCCTCTGTCATCACAATGCCATTGGGTTTGGCTGTAGTTGTTAGACATCGAGGTAGGTGCGAATTGTGCAAGTGAACAGCGGATTGGACAATAAAATTCAATAAAATGAGTGAAAGGCTTTTTTTGTGTATTGGTAGTGATTTTTTGGTGACTAACAAAACATAATTACAATAATGAACTGGTCACAAAGAGTAAAATTAATTAAATTTTTTGTTGATAAATAGAGAAATAACAAGTTGTAATTATCCATCAATCATCTCATTACACAAGGGTGAATGTGGCAATGTTTATACCTGAATCGCGTTTTTTCAGCTTTTCCAACTCTTTGCTTTGCTCTTTATCTTCATGAGCTTGCGCAGCTATATCGGATGTATTCACGGTGACAGTCGCCTTAATTTCTTGTTGAGCATCCCTCATCTTTTCATAAAATACCTAAGATAATAACATAAAAACATTATAATTTTGTACCTTTCAACGAGATCGTTTGTAAAATGAATTTTTAAAGTTGAAATATAGATATATGACTCTTATTCATACCTTGAAAAACGACTGACTTAAATCGCCGCTCATAAGCTTCGTGATCATGCTCTTCTGAATAATTGGATTTCCACCTTCAAGTAATGCGATTCCCAATTGAACTGCCTCCACAAATATGCTCGGTGAGTGCACACTTTTGATAACCAATTCGACAACCAGATCTGATGCTCCTTCTCGATCCAAATGACATTGTACCTCATGCAATGTTCGCCCAGCTCGACTAAGTATTTTTGCTGTTGATCAAAAGAAAAAATTTGTTTCAATTCAGCAGAGTATCATAAAAAGTATTACACATTTTTCTTCGAAATTACTTAAAATATATTCATAATTAGTAAGCGATTTTGAAAGTAATACGACAATGAATTTACCTCCGGGTCCATGTGTAACAGGCACGGAACAGGGTGCTCCGATGTCCACTTCATCCGGCTTTACGAGGAAAGTTTTGCCAAAGTAGCGCGCCAATAAATTATTACGCAGTGCATCACCCTATAAAGTATAATTTCGCGTTAATATCATGATATTAGAAAGTTGTCAGACTGATATACCATTACACAACTACTATATGCGAATTTCTTTTATATTTACAAATAGGAATCAATATAATTTTTTGAGGAAGCAACGTTATAGTAAATAAAAATATCTATAGGATATTTTATACAAACATTGGCGAGTATACAGATCTTAAATCTATGTTTTTATGCACATATCATAGCGATTTATTTAACATTTTTTACAATCTCGACGGGTAATAGGATAAATATGATCTACTTTCAAAATGTATCTTTTGAAGAAAATGATTTCAATGTTATGTTTGTGCTCTTTATGAATCTGGAAAATTTGTTATTTTCGTTTGTTTCGATGTAATTATTACTAATTTATTTCTTAGTATATTGGTACATTGATAACCGATAATCAATCATTTTGTACATATTTTATAAAATATAATTAATAATATTACAAAATCAACTAAACTATCTAGATACAACAAAACGTTTACATACTTTGGAAAATTCTTATAGCGGTAACCTACAATTCATGCGTTTTTCATAGGAAAAAGTGAATCCGGATTTACTTATGAAAATGTTTTTGTTAGGAAGAGATTTGAGTAGTATCTCTGAAGTCGGGTGTAATATATTAGGTAGTCTAATGTAAATTCCAAATCACAATTAAAATAGAAAAATGTTACTATAGAAAAACATCACAATAATTAAGAAAAATCCTCATTCTTATCGAAGTACTTAAATAAAAGCATACAATCAGAGAATAAATTTCTAGATATAAAAAAAACTTAAAAGCCATTACTCTTCAGACAAAAACACTGTCACTCACAAAAAAACAGAAAAAGTTTATTCAAGCCTACGAGATATTGTCGAGCATCATCAACATAAGCGGATAAAATTCGCATGCTGATAGAAAAAATATGCAATGCTAATATATAAAACATCAAAAATAAATGCTATATATATATATACGTGGACCTCGTCAACGATAGTTCAACCAATCGAGCTCCTCGTGTTTTTTTTAACATATCATATGTAATTAGTGTATATGAAAATGAAAAAATCACACATAAAAGAAACAAAGGAAGAGACGAAGAGAATAGTATAATAGAATTATATTTATCAATACGTGGCGGTTGCGGTTATTTGTTTTACGTACATTATTATGGTACAATTCGCACTGTGCTTTTGGATATCTAGCGCTTTTTTGCAATGGCTCTTTTACCCGTAGCTCCTGTGTCGATTGAGTTATTGGAGGAGTGTCGACGACTGTCACTTCAATCGTCGGCATCGTGGTCGTCGTGGTCGTTGTCTTGATATTCGGAACCGTTGTTGCAGCATTAATTTCAGCAATCAAAACTACTTTTTCAACGCTCGTTGTTTTTGTACTTGCAACGCTCGTTGATTTTGTACTTGCAGTGCTCGTTGTTTCAGTACTTTCAATAGATGTCATGGATGGAGATTCGATCTTCGATACTTGAATTGATTGAATTGGCACTTCTGGATGTGGACGTTTACTGTGTTCCTCGCTCTTGGTCTTTTAAATGTTATAGCAGCATGTAAAACAGCTTTGGCTAAGTCTAAATACTCACCACACGGCAGAACTCGCTTGTGTGAAAAGTAGCGAATGATTTTTTTCATTCGTGACGAAGTACGTTCGATAAAATTAGAGCGATATACGCTGAACGTGCTTCGTCTATGCTCTCTACGGTCTATGTTGTTAAATTTTAACTTGCCCGTGACGTAATTTTAGTCAAAATTGAACTCAGAACGTTACATGCATGCATGTATCAGCTGTCGGGAGTAAACTCACCTTCTCACCGTATTCTGGATCTATAGCCATCATTTCGCACAATGTCCTCAGAACTTTGACACATAGTTTCTCTTCCTTTTCTTCCAGTAACTTTTCCGTGTGCTTTATCAATCTGTAATTAAAAAAGTATTGTCTCACTTTTTGAACTGTTTATTTCCGTTTCCTTGTAAAGAAAATATTAAAAAGCCAACCAAATGGATCTAAACATACCGTCGAATAAAACCACCATTTTCACAATTCTTGCGTGCTTCGGTGCCCATTGGAAACAATAATTCCGGTCTGTAGAGTATGTCAACCAATAGAGACAACTCAGATTGTACCAGTGGCTTTAATTGTTCTTCCAGTAATGAAACTATATCTTGTAACCCCTCGATGATACTTCGGTCCAATCGCATTAACTGTGAGATAGGAATTGTTTTAATTTTACCTTATTCGTAGCGAGCCGTTATATTTATGAAATTTAACTCACAGTGCTACTTCGTTCGATTTTCGGCATCTTTGCCGCTTGCAACCATTTGGTCGTTTGTCTACTGAGCATTGCCGCTTTGTTGAACATTGACACTACTTGATTTTCAAGATCCGTCGGGATGGCAATTCCTCGTTGTTTTGCTAATTGAGTATCACAAATAGTAGTTGCATAACAATAACAAAAATAAAGTATTATTAATTTTTCATTACGTACCGACGTCGGACAAAGTTCGAATACAATTCTCCACTGTCAACCTTTGAGCTGCAGTCAACCAGGTACATTGCGATACTTTAAACGCCGCGTTAAGCAGTTGCACAAATATCGGCTGTCTCGTCTGTCAAAGTTCAAATTTTACGATTAGCAGTCACATAAAACTTACAAAAAAATATAAAAATAAAAAATTCATTTTTAATGTCTTCTTTTAATGAATTTTTATTATGAAATTGAAAATCGGTAATTGAACATATAACTTTTATCGTGTATTTACACATTTTTTATTACACTTGCAACACCTTGATTTTAGACATAATGCTTTTAGTATTCATACAAAGCAACGATTATTAGCAGTGCGATCGGTGCCAACCAAATTACATCGCAAATACTTACATAGTCAGTGAAAATATTCTCACTATGTCGTTGATAATCGTTCATGTCCCAATAGAGCTTGGCATCGTGCAGATGTTTCTATCAGTAACCCCATCACCACACAACGCAAGTAAACCCCAGAGAAGTAGTAGTGGTAGTAGTAGAAGAAGAAGTGATGGCCGTGCCAAGAAAACACACACATGCTAAACTATGTTGGACATTCGCACTAACCAAGCAGCGAATTCACTGCCGAATACTATTAATCACTTTTCTTTTATTTTGTGCATAAGCAAAATGTTCATTGTCGATCATGTTTTTTTTTTAATAATCAAGAAATCGACAATAAACGTTCATTAATATTACCTTACACTGTTACGACAGCTACTTGATTGCAGTTAATTTCTAAGATACTTGCATAATTAATTAATAGAATACAGGTGGAGACGGTCAACTGACCGTATCTACCTATATTATAATAAATACGAAGAGGTTAATGAATGACTAATTGATAGCATGAAACTTGGTTAATGCGAAGCAATCTATTGCAAATTGTTATACCTCATGCGAAAAGCGTGGAAATTGTTTTTCGTTGTTTCATAAATCATACAGCATTGCTTTAGTTAATAAATTATACACTGAGAATATTCAATTAATTATTCAAGAAGAAATTCACACCAAGAGCCAAAATTAGCCAGCCACTGTGCGAAAGTTACAAAAAGAAAAAATTAACGGATGGCCGAGTATGCCTTTGCATTGTGAAAATGGTAAGATTGTTGAACTGGCTTACATCGACATCTATATAACTATGAGAGTAAACAAATCTAAATCTAGAAATTCACTCGTTTCCAGTTTTGGTAAAAATTACCTCGAGTATGATGTACTTCAATAGCGAAGCAAGGCAAGATGCAAATTAAATTGTCATACGTTATTATTACGAAATCACAGTTATTGTTTTTATCAGAGAATCTAATATACGTATACTAAGTAGTTGTCCTCTTAAAAGTCGATCCATCCGACAAAAGCATAAAACACAAAACCAGTAAATAAGCTTGTCTTATACAGAGAGAAAACAAGAAAGAGCGTGAAAAAGTATATGAAAATGGAAGAAACTATATCGAATAAGACTGTAGAAGACAAGACTAAATTTCTAGATTAAAAGTCATCAATGAAGTATTACCTGCAGTGTAGTACTCTGATCAGAGAATGGACTGCTGAAGAACATGGTGATGATGTTCATTAGACAGTTGGTCACGTAATGTTCCAGTGCAGTATCCGCATGTTCGCGATCGTGAGTTGCCGTGGCTACTATTCCTATGTCGATGATGAAGGATTTTTCAAACAAAGTCCACATATGATTTGACGTGTAGATTTCTTTCATTTCTACTTCCGTATCAATGTAACAGTGATTTAAGAAATTGATGTATGCTTCTTTCACCTGATAATATTTGAAACTGTGAGGACATCCTAAATGATAATAAATTTTTTAGTAAAAGTCCTACCTCTGGAATGCAATCAGGATGTGAAACCATAGTAACGATATCGTCGAGAGGTAACAGACTGTGACACTTGATTTCAGTATTAACATTCTTGCCCATCGTACAACAAGCTAATAAATTCACCAATTCCACGTGATACTTCAATGGGCTACTCTCGTCCATTCTATGTCTTTGAGATCTCATCATCTCGACGAAACTGTTGAATGAAGCTCTGTCATTATAAAACACTAGCACATCTTCTCCCGCTTGAACCAACTCTTGCATAGTAAGTTCTTGACATTTGCGAATAAATTGATTCTCAGCTTTGACGATCGTCTGCAGAAACCTGAGGTACTGTACGTGCCTACCGTGCGTCTCGATACAATGAACAAAGTGCTGGATCACTTTAGGATTCACCTCGTTACAGAGCGTCGAGTTGTCCTGGAATATACTGCACACGGTTTGAGCATCTCTGATTCCCGGATTTAAGAACAAATCCAGATGTTTGTGCAATAACACCTGATTCTGTTGATTACCAAGACAGAAGTTTTGCAAGAAATCGTGAGCCAAACGCATCAACTCGATCATCCGTACGTCCTCTTTAGCATCGAAGGGAACTTGCAGAAGATCAAGTACAATGGTGTGCACACCAACGTTACGTAGCAATCTTTGTTCGTGTTTCCTTGGCTTCACCTGTCCACCGGGCAAAGTTTGGATGCAAAGCTTGTTCATGCGAATAAGAATTTGTTGGATCTTGCGATATTCTTCTGCTTGATCTGCGTGTAATGGCGGTCCTACGTCCAAATCGATAGCTGAACCTTTTTTCTCCATCGACGATAGCTGTGGTGGAGTTTTCCTAGTCGATCGTTTCTCCTCATCGCCGTCTTTACTTTTGGATTTTTTCTTTGTCCCGTGTTCCTCTGTTGCTTTTGATTTGTATACCCAGAGCTCAGATTTTTCAACGGATTGACGGAGAACGTCCAAATCGGCTTTGATCTGTTTGTAGGACTCTACGTCGCTATCTGATACTAACAGTTGAACCTATAAATAGAAACTAATTATCGTCACGAAAGAGACACATTTTCAATTGAGTTTCATATTCATAATACCTGTTTGAAAGCTTGCAGTACTTCTTGTCTTTGGCTAAAGTGTTGAAACAAAAGGTGAAGTGCACCAGAAACCAGAGGTGGATAATCGTGCATTGCTAAGTGTAGTAAAACTCGCAAGAATGTTCGTCCACCTGCTCCATCTAGATCTAATGCTGCACACTCTTCACTAAAATAATGCAAAAAAACAAACGTGCAGTAAAAATAAAATCATCATATCGTTGAAGAATCACACAAAGGCAATAAATTTTTTAATCTATAATCGCATTAAAATAATGGATTGATATTGAAACTATAAATGAATTTTAATGCGTGTCACTTCTTGACATTTCTACAATAACAATAATAACTTCTTTCTACAATATGAAAATTATCATTTACGGCAGCCTGTTATTCACCAAATACATGATAAAACTCAAACCATCCGTCGACAAATAGCAATTAGTACATTGATACAGAGGGAAACTCGCTTACCTGCTGCCAAAAATGCCTTCAGCTTGCGTACCGATAGATTCGAGATCGATTCCCTTTTGACCTAGACTCAAATCTCCCGAAGCTTTCTCCGTTTCGTCAAACTCCTTTTTAAATATGCACAACAGAGAGGATATCCTGTAGTCCAATCTAACGTCCAATATAAATTGCAATATCTCGATGATTTTCAATTTCGTATCCATCACTAATGGATACTCTTTTTTAGCTGATGACGCAGTTGCTTGTCCAGGTGACGATGTTCCTGCGATAACTTGACCTGCTGGTCCTAGCGTTAGATTTGTCATTACTGCTCCCATATCACCGATGCAACGTAGCACACCACCTTCGGCTGTCAAGATCGACCGAGATTAGTTTATGTTGGCTCTAAGTTTTCGTTTAATGACAAGTGAAGATAGAAGAGTATTTTATATTTTAGTGATAGATAGATACGAGACACAATAAAAAAGCGAGTTATTTACAGATATCTACAACAATTACCTGATTTCTCCGATTCCACGGATTCGCTTATGGCTGAATGGAATGGTGTGTATCAAAATGACAAAAATGAGTTAGAGGCTACGATTCACTATGTACATTAGCTTATTTATATAGGTATTGGTTTTCGTTAGATTTGTCTTATTCTATATTGTTAGTTTACATAATGTACAAGATGTTTTTTATTTAGATATGTGAAAAATTAAAGTAATCAATAAATAGATGTCGTTGCTTACAATCAATTTCCCCAGTTGGCACTTTTCCGTTGCTAGCGTCGTTCTCCGACACGCAGTCTAAGATATTAAGTAACGTTTTTGTCAGCCTCAAAAGATCGCTAAAACTATAGAATCCAAAGTATATCAAGTCACGAGCTAATTTGACCACCTAAAAGTTAATCATGAGTTAAACTAGACTTACAGTTGCATATTTTTCAAGAATAAAATGTCGACATACCTCGTAAGTAAGTTTGTTTTGTTCCTGATCGGCAAAAGACCACATTTTTGCCACAACATTGCACAGGTAATCTTCAACGAACATTATGGTAGATGCAAACTTTGCCCTCACAGCTTCTTTATTTTGGTCAGGCATCTTATTTGTATCGTAACTGAAATACAGTAACCGACCGATTTTTTATTCCTTTAACATCAAGAATCTGAGAGTAAAATTTCTATGATAGAGAAAAGAAATTACTCGTTAATGCTCATTTTCGAGGGTATTTCAGACCAAAGTCGAGCGTACTTGACTGGCACGACCTGCTCTTGAGGATCTCGGTCGACGTGAAGATGCAGCATTAATCTACAGAACGAGGCACGTAATTCATATGGCACTGTCTCGTCCTCCATGCACCTTAAAAAAACATTTTTTTTATCAAACTCTCGTTCAAATCAATAAATATTTATCTTTTGAAAGATTTGCGTTTTTTACTTTAGAATTAGATCAATGTCCAGATGCGGCGATAAGTTATTAAGGGCTAAGTATTGCCTGTTGAGGCACATATTGCTAAAAAGATTTAATTGATGCCTGTAGTAGTCAAGTATTGCAGCGTCCTCCACGTTTCCCATTTTTGCGCCTCTTGACAACTCGCTTAATGACATCGATCGCTACATGCACAAATCACTTATAAAATCTTACGTCTAATGCTAAAAATCACACAACTTACTTGTCCGTCATTCCAAACAAGAAATATTTCGTACTCTTCGATGATTGTGATTTGAGGTTCCTCGTCCCCGCTTTCATGCCTTTCGTCCATATCTTCCAACTCTACTTGAGTCTTCATCATCCTAGTGAAAAGAAAAGAACCATTTACAACGAGGCTAATCACAAACTTGACAATAAGGGAAAACGCTGACTTAGTCTCGATCAGTATATCACGATTCTTCTCGCTAAGGACACTTTTGCAAATCAATTCCTGAGTAACGGCAATCGCTTTTTTGTTAGATATACACAGATCAGACAGATAGTCGAGAAAACGTGATTCCCAATTGTGCATGTTTTTGCGCACAAGGCCTACGAATGTCTCAATTTCCGCAGCAGTAATGTGTTTCTCCAAGAGCTTACGATTATTGTGCAGCAAAGCTGTTATCGTATCCTCTGCTAGGATATCGTAGCCTATTTGCTTTTGCATGAACGCGAAGTGCTTGGCAATGTATTCCTTCGAAGATAATATTTTATTGGTAGGGTGAATTTTTAATGATAGATTTTCTTCGTACAAAAGAATGCTATACCTGGTTTTTTCTATAGTCTTGTTGCGATAATCTAAGGATGCGGTAACACAAACGAAAGATGTATTTGTACGCGGCATATCTTGGATCGTTCAGTTCTTCTATCCTCAAGAAAGGCCCTTCGCCTTCGGCAGATTCTAAAAATGGTGCCTATAATACATCGTTATTTTAGAAAAACTTTCTGCCTGCGCATACGAGTACAAATCGTTTAGTGATAATTAAAAATAGTTTGTTGTTGTTCACAAATCTCGTCAGCATATTAAATTAAAACACCTTAATGAAATGATAAAAAATGAAGTAAAAAATTCTGATAAGTAGGCTTTAGCCAAGCAGTAGCCTAAATTTTGTAAAGAATAACAAATTCAATATCACCGTTAAAAAAATCATTCTATAGAATACTTCTTTCGCTCGAAGTAGAAAATAATCATGATAGAATCATCGATAAAAACTTTTAAAAGGTTTTTGATTTTTTGTAAGCATACAGGAAAGCCAGATTGTAAAGGGTGAGTTAAAAAGAAAACGAATCAGGTTTATTCGCTTAGAAACAAATCATAATAACTCATTTTTGTGATATAAAACGAAATAGTCTATGAACAAATAAATACCGAAAAAAACAAATAGTCCCGTTAATACGAATGTCATTTTTTATGCGCATCTATCAATATTAAATATGTAATGTAGAAAAAAAAAACAAAGTAACCATTTTTTATGTACAGAACGAATCACGAAAATGCAATCGCTCACCTGAAGTATCTTGAACAGTTGACTAAGAATATATTGTTCTCGAACGAGTTTTTGCCTATCTCTCACAGGATTAGTGACGTGAAGTTCCAGTGCCTCGGATTTGTTCTGTTCGTTCTCGAGACCCGCGATAAAGTAAACAATGTCTTGTAGCAAACTTGTAACTGCTCGCCTTTCGTTTAACGATATCGATCCTTCCAGTTTGCGACTAATCGACTCGAGAACCTTACACGCGTCATTTGCAAAGTCCAAGTCACGTACTTCCACCGGTGAAACCGAACGTAAGGCAAAAGCTTCCTTGTCTTCCTTGTTCGTCGCGCAGCCGACCTTTTGAGAAATTCGATTTACAGATCGTTGAATTAAATTTGTAAGTTGAGACTGATAGGAAAAGTCAGATGTACTTTAATATTTTATTTTCAATCACCACTGCTTTGCTCTTCTTTTAAATCTAATTTGTTTGAACAGTTGTAATCTAGCAATTTAGCGTAAACTTTTACACATACCTTAGACATAACAGGTTTCTCATTGTCAATATCGATGGGCACACTAGTCGAGTGTACCCAAGTGTTAGTACATATATGATGAAGTCTAACGAAGGACGATTGTGGTACTAAACTATCAGCTCTCGTAAGAGTTGTTGGATCAAGCTCAAATAATGAGCTTATTTCGTTGCTATGAGGCACGGAGACAAGTCGATACACCGCTCCATTTTGTTCTGTAAAGAATTATAGTTTTGATATTTATTGCAAATATAATTTTCTTTTACTACCGCACCTTTGCTACTCTTGGCAACATCAACTTGCTCGTCGGTGTCAATCTCCGCAGCTAAGTATTGGCCGGTGGCTAAATGCTTAAACCTAAACAGCGAATTCCAGTGGCCAGCGCCACCACGGCACGGATCGTGTTGAACAACCTAAAATTTTAACAATGTGATGAGAAACCACAAACGACAATTTATTATCTTCAATTATTTAGAAAAAAACGATATATTGACTAGGATGAGTCAAACTTCAAGATTCCCAACAATATTTCAAGACGCGTTGCGTACGACTTTATGTAGAAGTCGTCTAATTCACAATCCTGAACATCAAATGATACATTGTTAACAGACCATTGCATCGTATTGAACGTTACGCGTTTAATTGATCTTATCCATATGGTAGAAAACCATAATAACTATGTGTACTCAATTATACATTCAATATTTACGAATGGTTTCACAGTCAAATGATAACAATACGAAAATATCTTCTGGCAAAGAAAGAAAAAGAAATAATTCAATCTATACGATTTCAGTACGTAAACTCTGCGTATCTATTTGTAGATTCCTGCGCCTCCCTACTCAACTGCCAGCTAGATGAGCTTCATTGACAAAATCAACGCTCCGCGTCGAATGAGCAATCTACGGTCAAGCGCGCGCCTCCAATTCAATCAATAAATACAATCGCATGCCTACTATATTTTACGAACACAAAAACGTTGCTACTTGTCAAGTAGTACAAGCGCAAAATTTATCAGCCGATCTAAAAGTTCTTTTGGTATACCTCGACTTCCCAAAGTGCTTTACTGCTTGTAGCCGCGGTTGCGCTTGTCCGTCCCGTTGTGCGTAGGAACACGTGCTGCTTCTTCTTGTACTCATCCATCGTAAGGAACTTTTCTTGCTCGGCGTGAAATAACCTGAGAAAGTCGTGAAATGACGTTTCAGTTCTGGGAAAGTTTTTAATGTCAATGAAATCGCGTCAAAGTTCTTTATTATCGACGTTGCGACATATTTGTTTTGATAGTCACGATATTCTCGTTGGCGTGTCGCGTAATTTCCGCAAAGTCGAAGGTAATCTTAGAGAGAACCAAATATATAAGTCAGAGAGAAAAAAGCTGTGGAATTCTTCCTGAAGTTGAGAAAGTGCCAAGGGCTCTTTATGTAAGGAAAATAACGACACATTCGACAACTGCATCAAACCGACGGCGCTATCGCCCGTTGATACTCCCAAATTTTCATGTTCAATTTCACAAATGGAATTGTTCCGACGGAATATGTATGCACAGGTATCTTGAAGTGCGAAAAAACGAGAACTCACCTGACGACATCTCCACCTTTAAGTATCTCCTCTTGATTCTCCCTGTGTTCCATAAACAGCGTAACCTTCCACGATGTAGCAGCACTGGCGACATTGACTTCCTTGCAACCTGGATTATCGCTCAATTCGAAATTGGCGGCTACGTGTAAGCCTTGACGACCAGCGTTCACCGGCTCGAGTATGACTTTGTCACCGACGACGACACTGTCGCCGTCGCTTCTCAACTTGTAGAACGGCATTATATAAAACCAACTGCCTTCGTTGCCGTTCGCGTCCAAATAAACTCGCATAGCATTTTTCTCCAGTAACGCCGGCAGACGACCGTTCACCGTTAGATATTTGTTGGATTTCAAGTGCAGCAGCTGAAAAGAGCAGCGCGTTTGAACGGCAGTTAGCGCGCATAGTTTGTTGTTCGAAGCATTGCCGAGGTTTGCGCGGACGCGCGTTACGCTGCCGCGCGCGAGAACGCCACGGAAATATTCGCGTGATTTCCAAACCATCGGCGAATACCACGGGAAATACTGACTTTTGCATTTTCATGAATAAGCGGCGGCGGACATAAGGAACCGTCACACTTCTTCCGCATATCGAATATGCGTAAACGTCTGTCAGTCGGATGTAATGTCTGGCGAAATATTCGCGAGAAGAGCTTGCAAACTGCGCGTGCGTTCGCAAAAAGGCCTTGAAAATCTGCGCGCCACGTCGCATCAAAGAGCTGAGATATTGCCAAGAGAGCTTTTCGAGGCAGAAGCAAAACCGACATTTTCATTTTATCGCGCGTATACACACATGCGTGTCCTTTCTGTGAAACATTCGCGCAATATCGCCGAGTTTGCAATGTTGCAATAAGCATTAACCGTATGAGAGCATGCGTTTGGAGCTGAATACATCGCCAAGAAGCCTTTACGTATTATTAACGCACTGTTTTCAATGAGCTTACCCCTATTCAAATATCTCTAAGCATGATACTTGACTCGGAGCGCTTGCAATGCCGAGATTTAACGAACGAGTTACGTGCTTTCTTCAAAAATAACGTTTCTTTACGAGGACGACTAAACAAGCTCGACCGATCGTAAAAATCAAAGGAGAGGAGAAAAATATGATTGCGAAGCTCGACGACGCCAAGTTCCACGCGAGAGGCAATTTTTATCGAGGGAGAAGCATCGCCTCGTTAAAAACTCGTCGTCGTACGATATATGTAAACTCAGCGTCATTAGGCAGTCGTTGACGTGCGGATGAGCTTTTCAAGCTTTCTGCATACGAAAGTGCGTGACGAGTCACGGAATTACTCGAGCTTGAAAGCTAAATTTTTCTTTTAATTCTGACGGAGTTTGAGTATGCCGTTAACGGATGAAAATATATGTTGAATATTAATCAAGTCGAGCGCATTTTCAATTAAACAAATATCATAAAATGAATTAACTGGTCCGAAACGATGAAAAAGCGAGTGAATGAAAAAATTATTATCCGTCCGCGAATAAAGCCGATTTGGCGCTCTCCCGCAGTCGACATTCCAATGAAACGCAAGTTATATCCGGGGCAAAACTTCCTCTGAAAATAATCGATAAGCCCGATTCAACAATCCTAGAAATAGGAGAGCGGGCGACTGAATTAATTGCTTCTCTGTCAGCGCGACCTCGTACGGAATCCGAAACACGACGACGATGGCTACACTCGTTTTAATAAACGTCGACGCCTTCGATTGACACTTTTGCGTGCCTTTCCATTCGTTCGGCTTTCGCATAAACTCGTTGGCTTTCTCAATGTGTGCACATGTGTTTATGACAAACGATAACACAACGATCGCGAGTTTCGCTCTGTGCTTTTGGAAACGATGAGTCGAAACATTAGTACGTTTATTTGGGTTCGAAACAATGCCAATGTCGGGTTTAATCGCCGACACCGTTGAGCGAAATAAGCCTCGGATAAAAATAGAAATGAACCGCTTCCGAAAGATTTGAAAGGATTTTACAGCTGCTTCCGCCTACAGAAGAATATGCCGAGAGACGTGGATATGATTGAGAGCGAGAGACGAAAAAGGCTGCCTCCTGCTGCCTCCCAGGCGATTCCGTTTCGCAACGCAAATTACCTGAACGACATTGCCGTAAGAGACGATGGTGCCCAACAGCTTTTTGTTTTCCGTCTCGTTCTGCTTCTTCTCGATCTCGGCGGCGTGCTGTAAAGCGCAAACGCATTACGAACATCAGTTCGGAGGCCAACGGCTCGCGCGGCAAACCAGCCAAAGACACTTACGTGCAGCCGCTTGAGTAGAACGGCGTCGGTAGTCGAGCTGGCGCTCTGCTTCGCGGCCTTCCAGAATTGCTTCTGGGCCGAGTATCGGTTCATAGGGCATATTTTGAATAGGCAGTCTGCAAGAGAAAAATAAGGCGTTACTTCAATCGCCAACTCGGCCTTTCCTTGTCTTGGTACCTCGGAATTTCTTCGGTAGATTGCTCAAGTCGCCAGCCTCCGGGCACACGACGCATCGATCGTCGACCAACCTGCAATCAAACGCGCGTGCGATCCTCAAATAAATTACCAATCCATCGGCGGCTACGTGAGCTAAGATAGAAAGCATTTGTTGGCTGGTAGCCCGAGTATCGAGTAAACGGCTAGTTGACGTCGCGTTTGCCTCTGTACGGCGGAGCACGCTGACAGTTAGATCGACGTCTACGGCTCGATCATCGGATCTCCTCACGGTCAATGCGACGAGCTGATGGGGCTCTAAGTATTCTGGACATTGTTGACAGTCTGATGGATTCGCATTGCTTCGCATTGCAGCTGACAAACGTCAGCGTTCGACCATGCGCGTTTTCCACTACTCATACTCGCGAAGGTCTCGTCGAAAACAATCCACAACACGGCTATCCGCATCGAGCAACAATCGTCCGATGCAATACCGTGTCCCAACAGTATTTGCACGACATCTAGTTCAAAACGCTTGTCCTTCGAGAACCGTTTGCCAAAGAAAAAACATTCACGATTAAACGCAAACTAGAGTAAGCCTTAGAAAACAAAAGAGAAAAGTCAACAACCCTGGCAGCAGCCACAAAACTTTAAAAGCACGTGCATATGTATCTACAGTGCAGCAGATTGCGGTTGTGCATGCGGTTGTTGGCGACGCCATGGGTCGATATCGGCTCTTCTCTCCCCGCTCTGCGCGAGACCACACCTGATGCTGCACGCTAACCACTACGTACATTATTATAAAAGTTCAAGGTGCTCGTGGAATTTAAAGAAAGGGGGGAGGCTGGTTGCTGTGACAGCACGTGCGCGAGAATAACTTGCAGGTTGCGGCATTGGAATGAAATACTCGAGATGCGTCGCGCCGCGATGACTTGAAAAAAAAAAAGATTTTCGCTAGCTGGTGAACTGGCGTCCGTGCGTTCCCTCTTTTCCCATTTAAATCAGCATTGGATATAAAAAATTTAATTCTCTTTGGCTAAGTACGCTAATACATTTGCGAGCTTGGTACATAAAGGACATGGAAAAGTCGATACATCGCTGTAGGTATTTCCAGAACACGTCGGATCTACGCGTTCTCGAGGCTAAACTGTAAATAAAGTCTATGGACGGTGGGAAGGCAAGCTTCTTGTTGAGGGATGAATTATCTGCTGGCTTTAATGACTTTGGTAGAGATAAATGAATGTTACATCGAAATTTCGAGGTTCGTTAATGAATATCATCCGAAATGTTTTTGCTATTACCGATAAACAGAAATGAATTGGTTGATGATAATTTGTTGACTTGGAATGATATCAATAATATTTCACGGGGAAAAATAAACCGAGAATTATGCAATAATGAAACTTATCTCCGAGCGTAGAGTATTCAAGTGAACCTGACTAATGTGCCATTTGTTTTCCGCTCTTAGAAAATTGAATAATATTGGCATTGCATCCGAGATATCCGCTCAAATCAATTTTCAATAAGCTTTCCACATCTCTCGCTCGCTCGACGGCAAAAATTGTTCATCGAGGCATAACGGATGCCCGTGGCCGCGCGCGCGCCAGTGCGCTAGTGGGGCGAAAGGTCAAAATCACAGGTTGCTCGATATTTAATCTTTACATCCTTATCTCCTTCCTTCCTTTCTTCCTTTACTCTCGATTATTTAAAGCATTTATTGATGTGTATCGCGCGATACGATGACACGTTTTTTATTCGAATGAATTGACCTACAAATCAATTCTAAAAGTTATTACTTCATTTCTCCTTCGTTTTCTTTTCGTTCACGTTTGCATCGATGTAGATTAATCGCAAAATCAGCAACGAAGAGGACAGTGAAAACAAAGGTGTAGGCTACGGGCGTTAGTATTGAAAAGTGTCTTTCGAATGACACGTCAATAAAATGATTCCACAGAGCAATACAAAAAATAGAGCAAACTCGATGTCGAGCTCGTACATAAAATTGACTAAAGTATTGTATACTTGACACGAAGCAACTTGGTGTGAAATGACGACACGACGGCGACGGGGACGCGTGCTTAGAACGTTATACAGCTTATCATAGCTTAGATTCGTCTGAATAGTGATATGATTAATAAATTAGTATCAAGAACGACGACCTAGTAAGCCAGAACAACGAGAAATACTTCCGCTCTTCAAATGTTTCTCATCCACATGAACACATTGTGCCGCCACGTTGTGTTACCAAAATAAACCTACAAGCACATATTTACCATGTCAAGCGTGGCTCGTACAATCAAATAAAGAGGAGAAGAAACATTTTTCGAAAATCTTTGTTCAAATATAAACCAAGTCAGAAGTCAATCGTTATCTCACTATATTAAAAAAAACCAATAACAGATAACAGATAAGAGAATAAGAGAACAGAGGATAAACGCGGAGAGTAGTATTGACGTCGACAATTACGTAGCCCCCAACGGGAGACAATCAAACGGACGTCCGACGATTGTGTGACGCTATCGCGTTAAATCGGGACAGCTTACTTCCGAGTTTTGACGCGCCAGAGGTGTGAAATGATGAAATTGACGTGTTATCGATTTCGATTAAAAGTTAGTTATTATCTTCGATGACTGCTAACGCATTTTCCTTCTCGCTTTATAATTTTGTAATCGTGCATTCTCATGTTTTCATTCAACAAATTCTCTTCGGACAAATACTTGAAGCTTTCAAAAAGATGCAAAAACAAGCAATGAAACTTGAAGCAGTCGAGAAAGATAGCCAAACAATTTCCATTGGGCGAAAGTACAATAGTAGAGAGCCAAGCTCGTGCAATTGAAGTACACACAGAATGAAAATAGGCGACACGGGAGGGAAGGTCGTTAAGCGCTTTTCCACGTCGGAGCGCACATCGGGCGAGAACTCTTCTCAACTTAACGACAGCCGAAAGCTGCGCGAGTACAAAGAAAGCGAGGTCGCTCCTGGCGCTGACAGGATCTGCATATACAACAACGACCAAAATGGAAGAGGGGCCTTGTATTATTAAGTCCAACGCTTCCAGCGAATGCATAATCAACAGATTAGCGTCGTCAGAGCGTTCGAAAAAATAAATAGCCAGCGGGGGATAAGGAAATCAAGCCAATCGAGCCCTTGAGGAAGCTCAAAGGAACGAGAGAGAGAGAGAGAGAGAGAGAGAGAGAGCAGAAAAGGCTTGCCGCGTACGCCGAGACTAAAATAAAGACGGCGAGACTCTTTCTCGAGTTAAAAGCAAATAGAGAAGGGCCGCCATCGGCGAAAGAGAAGGAGAAAAAGGATATTAGCACGTGCAAGCTCGAAATAGAAAAAAGAGTGACGCGCGAGGTCGTGTAAATAAAGCTTGCGACTGAAATTCGAACAGAATAAATCATTCGATTAAGATTTTTCGAAAAAAATATTCAGCGCATCCCTCTCGGTTTATTAAACGCGGGAGCGGCGTAAAAATAGGTTAGCGAGAATTATAGATTTGTTGTGAGTGCACCTTGAAAGACGCGCGCGAGCCTGGTTTATTTATAATGGACGCGCGGGACGGGAGGGTAAAAAAAAGGCGAACAATTTATATGCGCCGAGTTGCCCATTGTGGACAAACGACCAAGTATAGCGATGCGAATATGCATCATTGAATTTGACTGATAATCGCTTCCGTTCGAAATTGAAGATCTCGGGCTAGTCTAATTAGACGGATAGCTCGGTGTACTTTGGTGGGCTTTCTCTCGTTCAAGACGAGCTTGATAAAGCACTTGTAAACATGATCGTTATCGCCGTGCTAACAATCACACGCGCGCATTAAGTTTATCGTTTGATCAAAAGATTATTTAGTTAGCACTCGAGAGCAAAGTGTGTGCGTGATACGCTTATCGCGTGAATCGACCAATCTCCGTTCCGCTGCACAAAAAAGGTCCACCTAACAAGCTGCGATTAATTATTTAATTACAGCCAATTAGATGCTTCAGGCGCCGTGTCGCAACGGTTGCCAAGAGAATGTTGGAATTATGCCAGATATACGATCGACTCTAACGAATTTATTTCCCAGCAAAAAATGTAGTTTGTCGTTCGTTAGAAAGCTTTTGCAAGTGCTCGCCGTATTTGCGATTCACGAAGGTATAAAAAGAAATGACAAGTCCAGATAGCATAACCATTAATTATATGTGAAAGGCTTCGAGCGATCATCTTGTTCGTTGGGACATTCCAGGCATTCGAGAAGATTAATTAGTGTAGATATGTACCAAACACGTGAACAGCTTCAAAATGAAAAATTTGTTCCTTCTTTTTGCTGGAGGAAATGTTGGAGCTCATTTAAAATTGTTCGTAATTTCGAAATATTCACTCTAAGCTCGTACTAAATGTTTTCCATCAGTTGGAGCTCCAAAGGACAATCCATCAAAGGAGACAAAAGAAGAAAACCTTTCTCGAGCAAAAAAAATATCCAGGCCAACTCCGTACAAAAAAAGTAAAGCCGCCCACTTTCTCATTAAAAAAGACGTCGCGCGCAGTTAACGAAAAAATCAAGCGCTGTATTGTTCCTTACCCGAGGGTCGAGAGAAAGCCGGAGGCATTGCCCTCGGCGTAAAGACTGCAAATGTCACCGAGGTGAAGAAAACTCGCCGAGCCTAAGATCTCGCCCATCTTTCACGGCTGTTGCTGCTTCTTTTTGCGTGCTTGTATCAGATACGTTGATCTTTCATGGCTGCCATTGATCTTCACTCGAGTCTGAAAGCAAATCACACACAGTTTTACAATAGATTCTAAGGATAATTGCATTTACTACAAGCAATTGATAAATATTATTTCGAAATGTACATTCTTTTCAAAAGAAGGAAGAAATAAATCGACGCCAGTTTTCATTTTATTCCGTTTGCTCTCACGCGTTCAGTTCGTTCGCTCGATGATGATCCGATTGCAACGAATCATCTGACTGCGTCAATACCTGGACAATGACGCCAGCGGGATTATCAATAAAAGTTCAACGTTCCCAAACAGCGTTCTAGCTCACGTGCGCAACAGCTCGCCCAAGTGCCACACAAGGTTACTTATTAATAGATTCCGTCGTATTCGCGATGGGAACATGAAAAACGACAAATATCGAACTTTTTTAAGAAAATGTCTTGGTTTTGGTTTTCTTTTTTTTCTTTTTCTTTTTGTGGAACGCACTAATTAACACTTCATTTCGTTAGATACTTTCGCAGCAGATGTGCCTTGAAAAATATAATTGTCTTTAAAGATTTTTCTAAGTAATAACTGTGTTATTTTTCAAAATTGCAGAACGAATGTTATCTAGAGTATCTGAATATAGCGGGTAAAATTCAAACAAATATAAAGGGTCTAAAAATTACTTAAAGTTGTAAATTCGTGGTTTTTTCTACAAAAGTTGCAATTATAAGAGAAGTTATTTTGGTTGATTTCATATTGCTGATCAAACCAATTGAAATATCATTATGTCAAAATTATTTCCATTGCAATCTGAAGAACAGTTCTCAATCGTCATTTATCATCTTCTCAAACTAAAACTCCACATTTAAATCATTTTAATCAATCGGAAAGCTTTAAACTTCTCCGAAGTCATATTTGTTAGATAAAATAATGCAGAGCTATAAAACATGACGCGAGTAAAGCTAATGAATATATCATAACTCCATTCAAACGTAGTCAAAGAATGAGTTCAGCCAAACTATTGTTCATTCATGAGTATTAGTCAACAATAACAATCATTCTAATTCACAATATTTTATTCCATCCAATAATAACACGTATATCTGAGTATTATACATTAATATACATATTGTTTTTACAGCGTCAATTGCAATGAAAAAGCCAGCTGAAGAAATAAGCAGTAAAATTTTAATAAGAACGAAAACTTCGTATTCCAAAGCTTTAGATCGGAAATAATAATAAATAAATCAGAACTTGTTATTCTGAAACGATACACTAAATAAGGGTTTATTATCTAAGGTGTACACGAATTAATTAAATCTGCAAAGATTAACGTTTTTTTCAAACATTTCCATATAGATTTTATGATTGCGATATGTATCGTAAGCTCACTGAAATAATTCTTATCGAAACTTGATTATAATTAAAATTAACCAACAAACATGCTTACTTACACATTACTAAACGTTACTCAAATCAACTACGTAGGTATTCAAGTATTTATGTAAGTAAAAATCTGTAAAAGAAACTGCAAAATCAAAAGACTCAATTCAATTACGTCAACAATATCACAATAAAACACAATGGCAAATCTCCTATTGATAAATTGAAATAGCAGACATATGTGAATAATAAAATTCCATTCATTGAGTTATCACAATTATTCGAAGCTCTATAATCCTTTGTATACTTTACATAGCGAAACTTTATAGTAAGAACGATAACGCATACATAATTAATTTCAATTGCGATGACTATGAACCTTTTGTATAGAAGCATTTCAGTCGAAATTTTATATTTCTGTTGTTGTGACCTTCAAATGGTGTAAATGAGTAACCGGACTTTTCATACAAGTTTGATTATCAACCGCAAATATTAAAAACAAGCTCAGAGAATTAATTTTTAGTTCTTAACTCGTTTAATTAGTTATACGGAATAGCTTCTAACGATATCGGTGAAAGCGAGCGGCAATTTATACAACATTTATAAAAATGGATAATTTCGAAAAACGCTACTTCAAGTATGTAAAACGTTGTCTTGCGTTAATAGGCTTATGGTTTGATCATAGCACACGTAGGACACAATTATGCCACTTAATTTGGTATTTAATTAATTTATCATTCATAATACCAATGGTAAATTTAAATTCATATTTATCATACACACACACACATACATTAACTAAACCTCGTATGTATTACTCGATATCCATAGATTATTATATTGCTCGACAAACACGAAAACAAAAATATTTTACTAGAAAATATTGTACATATTATGTTTTTCTCTGCTGGTTGCATGAAATTTAGTATAACAGTTTTTAGCCTTGGAAAGGTAATTTTAATAAACTAGTAATCAACCGTAATTAAAGAAATTAGTAATGCTCATTTAAAATGTTTAAATGCACTTTTTTGTTTTAGATGAAAGTGTTGTATTCAAAAATTTCTAGGGATTGGGAAGCTATACAAAATAGACAAGAACGTGCTATTTTAGAACAATATAATAAAGAAGGGCTTTGGTTATCTAAATTGTACATGGGTAGGTATTGAGAACTAGTGAAATCTGCAAATGGTACAATCTCATGAATGTTTTACAAAATCGTTTTAGCTTTTGTATTTATGACTTGGATTGTGTGCTCATCAAAACCATTTTTGCCTCTTGTCGTTAACCTGATAATACCTTCAGAAAATGGAACACGCCCACTTCTAACTCCTTTACACGCCGATTACATTTTCTTCGATCAAACTGAGCATATTTATCTGATTTCTGCCTATACAGCAGCAGCTTATACGTTCTTTTTCCCCTTTTTTAGTGGATTTGAATCATTCTATCTGCTTACTGTCAAGCATGTATGTGGACTATTTGCCGTGACATGGTAAACATTAATTTAATATGGTTATCTTTTCAAATTGTCAAAATATTCTATTGCTGATTCTAGCTATCGTATTGAAACATCTCTTAATATTTTAAAAGAAAAAGAAGTAGGAGTAAAACCTTTATGTAGCATTTATGCAAGAACCAAATGCCAAAAGAACTTGATAGATATCGTTATTCTGCACAATGATGCAATAAGGTTTTAAGGGTAAAACAGAAAATGTGCTATTAAAACTATAATATCGGTAAATATTGGTTTTACAGATCTGTTGAGCTGTTAGAAGATTCATTCAATATATGTTTTCTTGCGATCATACTGATGTCTACTACTGGATTGGCTATATCCACTACCTTTGTAAGTATATTGTATAAGAGATTTCTAAATGCATTTTTGAAAAAAATAAATAAATAAAAACCAATTACAGTCATATATACATAGACTTGTGGATTTATAAATTCATAAGCTAAAATTGATAATCATTTCAGATAATTTACGCATCGGATGAGCTTCTATCACTGACTGAAATACTTTTTTTGCAAACGGGCATAACACTTTATTTGTTCTCCGTGAGCTGGGTTGGTCAACAATTAACTGATAGCAGCGAGCAAATATTTTATTCTGCGTGAGTACAAATAACAATTTTTTATTTGATAAGATGAGCAAATATAAAAATAGCTATAAAATTAATCTAAGACTCAATTTTAATGTTTAGATACTCCACTAATTGGTATACGACAAATCCGAAAATTTGTTGTTACCTCCATATAATTATGATGCGTTCTTACTCTCCTAGCAAATTGACTGGAGGAAAGCTACTGGACTTATCGATGGTGACTTTTGGCATGGTAACTAATAGATTTCAACGAATGAATAAATAACTATTTTAAGCTATTTAACTTCATGGACATATTTTACAGATAATAAGAAAAGCAGTCTCGTATTTTACTGTTTTTTTATCTCTAACGTAAATTTTATAGATGTCAAATTTATTAATAGTTTCAGTATATATAATGCAAACTTACAAATCCACTATAGATTTTCATTAATGATATACATATCAGAAAATTTATAACTAAAATTTTTACTCTAATTATCTGATTTCATATTTATTGAAGGAAATTATAGTTGTTGACCTTATACCACAAATGTACTCTTCATTCATTTTCAGGAAACCATATGAAAATGTTGAAAAAAAATTTTCTAGAGTAATCTGAATGGTGTAAAATACCTTAGAATTTATGGTCGTCTTATTGTTTGGTTGATTAAAAATGAGTTAACTTCAAACTTAAAATTTATAGAAAGCTTGATTAACATTTCTGTAAAATTTTTGTAAATTACTCTATTCATATTAAATTAACTTGTTAATTATTAATCACGTAGCCTACAACTATTACCTTATACCTTCACGATTTATAATTCTTTTGAGAATAGCAGAATAAAGAATATTAGTTTCCTGATGCTTGATGATACAATGCAATAGAAGAACAACTTGCCTATTAACAGATGAAAATAATAGTCAATATAACAAGAAAGAGAAAAAGTTGATTGACTGAACAATGATAGATTCTCAAAGCTCTACAAAAGTTTATACCAGTAGTGAAAGCATAATTAAAGTAACTTGGAAATGATCATTTGTGTATTCAATTATTAATGCCTTTCTATATTGAAAATAATTCAGTTTTAGCAAATAAGTAGCAAATTTTTTCATCTGAACCTTAGTTTATTCAATATTTATCAGAATGTAAAAATATACGACTTTGAAGAGCGTCACGACAATCGTATTAAATGATGGCTTATATTGTGTGGATTATAGTTTGGTCAAAAGGCATATAAATCACAATTTGCTCATTTAGTTTGATATATGATAAACTTATCGTTAAAAGTACCCTAGCTAATTAAAACAATAGTTCTTGCTACTTTTTAGACAAATAAAATAATTTTTTTATTATAATTACTTGTAAAATTTTTAATTTTACTTTTATGCCCTTGTTTTACTGTTTAAAGATATTTTGCTAAATAATGATTAAAGCCAAATTGGACTATTAAATGATTTTCGTAAACATGAAGATTGAATTACATGTCAAAACAAGAATTTCTATATCAATGATATTTTCTAACGTCCTAAGAAATTTCCATCAGTGGTCTTCCCATATTTTGGGAAAATATTTTAACTATAAAATTTATCACACCCCTCGGCTAGATAATTACGTAAAGCATCAATATACTTACATCCTTTTTAAGTCTCCGTATAATATTCTTTCAAGAAAATTGCAAATAAAACATTTTCTTGTAAAAAATCTATAGGGATTTATGCATAGTTTTACAGAACAAAAATATCCATAACCTGCATATCATGTTCTAAATTTTGATTTGATTAATTCCGTATTTACGAAAAAAATAAAAATAATTGGTGGTTTAATAAAATTTTAACATCGTTCAAACATTATGTACTTTTAAATCATACATACCTCATCTAGATAATGCTTATGAATTGATAAGAATCGCTGTTTCAGAAACTGCAATAACGATTCACACACATGTATTTGAAAAAATTGAAAAATGGGTCGCGAAGATTATTTAATTAATGTCACTTTATATTAGATCTCTACAGTAGTGTACATATTTTTGTAATTGAAAGATAGGTAAAAAAGGCAAACGATTTCAAATCAGGTTCAATCACGATTTGCAGATACTTCAGTAATTGGCATATACTATCTTCAACGGGCGTGCGGACAATTGTGCATGGTTTTATTATAGACATAAAATATTGTGTACTGTAATATGGCGTGAATTAGCGTTTATCAATTCTTACGTTATGTTACTGTACACAGTAATTTATGTGTATAATAAAACCGTGCACAAATGTCAGCACGCCCTTTAACGACACATAGATACATCAATATAATTTTGACATTTACTATCCTAGAAAACTAACTACGAGAATTCTGGTCAACTTGTCGATGGAGATTTGTAGAGAGGTAAAATAAGATTTCGTAACGTAACACAGTGTACTACTACATTTAATTTTTTGCTCTTTACAGATTATGAAAAATGTATCGTACTACTTTACCGTGTTTATGTCACTGGCATGAACTTTCTTGGCGAATGATTGATTTCAGTATATATTGTATTGATATTTCATATGCATGAATAATACATATCGTAATCGAATGTGAACGGTAACAAATAAAAATGACTATCAACAATTATATGAAGGCGTGGGGCGGGAAAACGACACCACAGATGACTATCTTGACATATCAGATTTTCCAGAAATGTGTCTGGCAACTCTCTCGTGTTTCACGTACTCTTTATGTTAAGACATCTAACATATATTATGTTTCTGTCGACATTGTCGCAGATTTGTACTGAAAAACATACCATGAAATAATTTGATGTATTTTTTACGCAACGTTACGACGAAGTTTGATTTAACCATCGTTACTATTTTTTAACTATTTTAAAATGTTCATTTAGAACTTAGTTAGGATATTATAATAAATTTTGTATTACGTCAAGTCGATTATGATAGATAAAATCGCAATATTTAAGATAATTTAGAAAAGAGTAGTAATGAGTAAAACAGTGACAAGTTAAGGTTTGAGTTTATTTTTTTTCATGACAATTATCAGTTTATTACAATCACAAGCTATCTTTATGATAAGAAAAACAAATTAAAAATGTTTTTTTTTGTTTCAGCCAGGCAGACTAGGAATTTTAAATTGCTTAGTTGGACCATGCGATTCTCAATGCTCATACCTTTTGTAGGATTAAAACGTTCGAGCAGAGGCATAAAATTGGAATTGCAAAGTTTATTGCCCGAGAGCGCGACGCTGAGAGCGTGAAAGAAACTTTTGATTGACCTAATTTGAAGTGCAATGCTGAACGTGAGAATTTACTTGTTAGTAGTCGCGCATTGCAATTTGAAGCTCCTTAATTCTCGTGAATATTTATCAAATAATATAGTAATTTTATTAATAATGTATGTTCGCCAATGATATTAGTTTACGGAATATTTCAAGAAAATAATTAAGAGTCGAAAAAGTAAGTAATTTGCTCTTCGTGTAAACAGTCTAAGAAAAGATTATTTGTAATACTGCTATAAATAAACTGATAACCGCAAGCACAATGACTTTCTTTAATCTTTTAATTCTGCCATAATTTTTGTGATATTTTGCAATGAAAATTCAAATGGAGTGCACTTATTGTATAAGATCTGCTTTTCATAAAGAACAATTCATTCGAAAACAATACTATACACAGCGCCATTTTTATAGCAACGAAACATTACGTATTCTTTTCACTGCTGATCGATTTGAATGAATATTTAATTCTAATCGGTTCGCTGCTAGGGGTAAACAATTATCGCGTGTCAAATAATATCCAGCAATTTAATTCGAAAATTGTAAGAACACCAGTCGATATTCACTAGCCTTCGCCAAAGATTTTTTTCTAATGCATCCTACAAAATATTTTAAGTCACGCGTAAAACACCTTTAAAGCTATAATTTGAATGAAGTTGCTCTCGTGAAACAATAATTCAGAATTATAGCATTTTATCGTTATTATTTTGTCTATATGTACAAGATAATGTTGCCTCAGGCTGCTTAGACAGAAATTGAAAACCCATTGCGTAAGTGAGAATTTTATAATGAATCACTTCACTGCATTTAATTTTGACAGATTTTATTGTTTATTAAGATGACAGGAATGCCATTAATTTCTTCATAAGTTGTTTTTAGCCCGGTATATCGGTTGAAATCCTGACATCAGTATATAAGAGAGGAGATAAAACTCATTAAAACACAAAACTATCGCATGAAAGAGTGTATGGGAAACAGTGTCAATAAGGAATTTTCATGAAAAGCACTATTGATGCTTCAAACTCTTGGAAAATTAACGTAACTGACGTTGTTTTCTACATCGCGCGGAGATCTTATTCTTTACGTAATCCATTAATTTTAACAATCATTCGTATTTACATAAATTTTAATCTACTGTCTTCTTACTATAACAGATTCTATTTCTATTTTTTCCTCTTGACAATTTTATACGAAGCAAATCGCTTGCATAATCGCAATGTTCGTACGTCTGATCAGCAAATAAAACAACGATAGAAGCTAACAAATATTCGAAAGATACAGTATAAAGTATTTCACTTTTGATTGGCATGATAGGCTAAATTAAAAAATCTTATCCACGAGTTTCGTCAAGTATGAATGGACGGGTACCAAGTGCACGTGCTCGTACATCCAAGCAGACGAATGCTGAAAAGGTCGTGCATGGTTTTATGCAACAGCCCTTGGAACAATAACTTGACTCAACTTCGTCTAAGTACGTATATATGACTGATTTAAGCTACGCCTGACAATTTCGTACTACGCAATTTTCTTGCTAACAAAGCTGGTTCCGCTGCCAAGTAAACGACCGCATCACGACGAGTAATAATCGCAAACCAATCAATTGCAAATATGTATTCTCCACGTGTTTGCATTGGGCTAAAACCGCAAAGATTCAACGCGACGCGTGTCAGATTTGTCGATCTCTCTCAGCGTGCGCAAACAAGTCTGCTTCTCTCTTATAAATAACCGCGCAGTCAAAACGTTTACCCATGCCGTAGAAAGTTAAAAGAGGAGGGATCTCGTTATCACAATACACACGCACACACCATGATGCTAATATATACCTAGTCGGCGGCAACGATAACTGCGTTTTGCCTTCAAACGCGCGTAACCCACTTTCAACGTAGAATGAAAAAAGCAAGAAAGTTCTCTTTTTTTCTCTCTCCGGATCCCCACCATCATCAGTCGTTCGTTGCGTTCACTCTCAATTAGCCGTCAATTACTTCCTCGTGCGCGACTCTCGCCGAAGGTTAAAAATAAAAGCCTCGCGGACACTCTCGCGTGAGCGCGCCATGTTCCCGTCACATTCGCGCAATTGAACTCTCGCGCGCCGTTCAATGACTCGTCGACTTATTTTTGGGAACGGTGATTATTGAGAAAAAAACTGAGATAGGTGCGCGAAGACGAAGTAAGTTGATTGTTCATACTGTACACAGGTGAGCATTATGATATTGCGAAGCGATTGATTGGGTATGCATGTAATACGATCACGTGAGAGAGCAAGTTTTTGGACAGAACGACTCTGGAATCGGATGATTATGCAAGACTCGCGTGTATGAATACGTGTGTGTGTGAGAGAGAACGATCGGTGTCCGTAATGTGTGTATATATTTTTTTTTCCTCTGAGGCCTGCAGATCCGACCAGAGTATTGCGGCGTTTTAACCTACCCAATCCACAACGCATACGTGTCACACTTATATGTGTGTGCTTTACCTCGCATACTCTTTCTTTCTTGCAACTCGTTTCACGGCTCGTGTGTTTGATATGATGACTGCACACTGCACTATTTTTCTTGCGAATACTCGTGATGTACGGGCTTACTTTGGCACAACACACACGTGCACGTTATAACACTTGCTTCTTCTTTTTGTAAGTGGAAACACACTCGCGACCCGATGACGATGATTTCTTTGATGTTATTGTTGTTACCGCGTTCTACGTCCGTGTTGAGAAGAGCAGAGCTATTACCAGCCAGACGAGACTGTCGCTCTGACACTACTGCCTACTGCCTAGTAGCTCGGCTCGGCTGCTGTTGCTGCTACTGCTGCTGCCGGTGTGTGTTGGTTACAGCATACAGAAAAGCGGGAGAAGTGAAGTGGGTGGTCATTGGACGCGCCATTTTTTTAAAAATACCTGCACATGTGCTCCAAGTGCATTTGAATTTTGACGATAGGAGGTTGAAATATGCATTCTTTCGAAGGAGAAATTTTACGTGGTGTAAGTGGTATAAATATTCAATTGTAATGTGGATTATTTTGAAAAGGAAGTTTTTGTTTCTGTTATAAGCTTACTACGCTAGTGTGGAGTTTCGGCAGTTAATAAATCTTTCGTTCTTAATATAGATTTTGAAGGTTTATGCTGAAGTTGTGTTTTAATGTAAACAACATACTAATTTCTTGAATTTCTTGCCAACTTCCAAATTTCTATAGAGAATAATACACTTGCAAGTAGCAAATATTCAACAATATAAAAATTATTCTTAGAATTTTTTTCTTTTGAATTATAAATCAACAAGTATGAAATGAAAATGCTAATTCAAATCTTATGGATACCACAATAGACTGCCATTTTTTAAAAATTTCTTTCAATGTAGAAAGACTAAATCCTATCTAATCATGAATCTGATTTCCAAATCAAGCTAATACTTAGAATTAAAGCAATCTCATCAATAGCAAACAGATAAATAAGACAAATTACGATATTGCGATTATTCCAAAATAAATAATTAATGAATATGTGGTAAAAACTATTCTTTATTTTAACATACTATTACGTTAACATAGATAAGGTGCGAAATGAGAACACAGTCGCTAATTATGATCTTAAAATTTTCATTTGTTTTGGTAAAAGTAATATGTGTATGTACAATGTGTTTATTTGTGTGTGCGTGTGCGCTCATCATTTGATATCATTTGATTGATTACTAAAGATAAAGAGCGCATAGCATTAACATACTCTTTCTCGAACTTGAGTAAGATTATACATTATTTTCAAGTTAAGCATAAATAAAGATACGATGTTGTAATAATCTAAAATTGTTATACATTTTACTTCTTTCTGCCACCTCTCTCTTTCGGTAGAAGAGTTACAACGCTACCAGATGTTAAATTGTAATATGCTAATGTATTGTTGTCCTTGAAGAACATTCCCTGCAATATTCAATAAAAGTCATAAATAAAGCGTTTATTAAATGAATATTCAATTTATAATTAAAAAAATTATTTTATAATGTTTACCTCATATTGCAATTTTTGTTTTCCAGGTGGCATGCCCGTCTGTTCGTGAATTTTAACTTTGATCGTGGATACTGGATCGGTTACTTGAAGCAATAGACTGAGCGTCTGGCCATTTAACTTCCATTCTGGCTTATCACTGATAATTGGAGTCAGAATATTTAGCTGTACCGGTCCCTGTATGATTTAAAAAAAAAAAAATTTATCAAGAGCGTTACTTATATGATTTATATAATTTAGAATATTTTTATATATTTTAGAATTAAAAACTATCAATTACCTTATTACGAGCAATGAACTGATCTTCTGGAAGCAAAGAATCTTCGGTTCGTAACCTCTTGGCTTGATGATCGTGCATATCGTCTTCTGCAGGATGTTTCATACCCATCTGCAAAAATGTATGATTTTAAATGACTATATCAAACAAACAAGGAATCATTGCTTATTACTTATTACTATTACTCAGACTCTATTACTCACCTGCGGTGGCATAGGCGGCTGCATAGATGGAGTCGGCATGAATGGATTCATCGGTGGCGCTGAAAATAATTGTAATACCATATAATTATTCGTTTTCATAATAAAATCTTAAGAACTTACCTATAAGTGGTGGTGGAGGTCTGATCGATGACATAGGTGCCATCATCATCATAGGTGGTTGAGCCATCATTGGCTGTGGTATCATGGGTGGCATGGCCATCTGTGGTGGTGGAGGTGGTTGATTTGGTTGTTGCTGAGGCATTACCGGCTTCGGCACAGATGGCTTTGGTGGAGCTTTCAAAGTCGCTTGTGGTTTCGAAGCAGCTGCAGCCATGTGAGTCAACTCTGCTTGCCGACTTGTTACCGGTTTCGGACCGATTTTTTCTTTTTCTTCATCTGGCAGAAGACCCTTGACCTATAAATATATTATGTTATTATGTATTGTGAAATATATTCAATTTTACACTTTGGTACAATGTAAAATGGTGTGACTTTAATTTAATTTATATTATAAATTAATAAATTACCTTGTGTATCTGATGAATTTGCTCTTCCAATGTGATATTAGCTCTAGCAGCCCTGGTAGCAGCTTCAACACTTGAAGTATGCCCATCCCAGGTAACTTTATCATCCTTCTTTTTATCCTCCTCGCCAATCTTTTTACCGATGGCTGTTTCCTCATCACCAACACCAAAAATATCGGTACGTCTCTCGGCCAACTGTTTAAGACTGGCTTCGATAGCTGTACCCGGTGCAAATACCGTTTCTTGGGCCATTTTGTCCAAATGTTTGTCTCGTTGCTCCACCCAACGAGGATCCAGCAAACCAATACGCATGTGCTCCTGTACTTTGCTTGCTGGAATTTTCTCGCCGGTAATTGGAGAAACAAGGTACTCATCCGATGCCACTGGTCTTGTAATTTTGGTAGCTGAAAAAAAAGAAATAAAAAATAATTATTACTAATTTAAAAAATGACTCTAATTACTAATAAAACTATAATGAAGATTTTCTTTATGTATTTATGAAATTTTATATTTACCGTGTTGTTTGGGATCGTATCCTTTTTTGACGACGACGTTGCCAGGAGTAGGAGGTAACGGTGGCGGTTGCATGGCGCTATCGCGAGATTTGTCTTTCTTCTCGCCTGGTGGTACAAGATCCTCTTCATCGCTCGAATCTTCCTCCATATCTTCGACTTGATTGTTGTCCTTAGTACGTTCTTTCTCTGATTCTACACGAGAAAGCATTTCATCTTCACCATCACTTTCAATCTGCATTTCAACATCTTCACCATCTTCGATACGTTCCTGTAATTAATGTTACATTCAATTACTTTACATTCATAAATTATGTTTTCATGAGGATCTGAACGAATTAATAAAGTTACACAATAAAAATTCAATTATTAAAACAGAAAAACTAATTAAAGTTTATACCTGCATAAGAACTCTAGCTCCAACTTCATCTGGAGTAGTTGGTGCAGGAAAGTTTCCGACTTCAAATTGTTGATAATCAACAGTTTCTACAACAACAAAGTCATGCCAATCAATCTGAGCATAAGCTACTCTTTCACGCTCCAATTCCTCTTCTTCTTTTCTCTTTTGTGATTCTTGATACTTGATCCATTCTGATCGATATTTAACTTGATCTAGAATTTTGTCTAAACTTGAGGATTCTTCCTTGAGTTTAGGAATCAAATCTTTAGATGGAATTAGAACTTTAGTATACTGTTCAAGTAATTTAGTGAAATATTGGAACAAGGAGTGCTGTGGACGCAAAAAATCAAATTGAAAGTTTCTTTGTTCTCTGTTCATCAAGTTTGTCAAAAACTGACGTCCATTACGTGCAACAAATTGTGCAGTAAGTTTAACTATGTCCCTGTAAATGAAATATTAAATATTAATAAATAGATTAAATGTTATACAATACAGATTTATAGATATTTAAGAAATTACAAATCCAAAGCAGAAATTGAAGGAGGATCAGCAATAAATTCAAATTCTGGTGGAGGATCTTTTGGAACAAAAGGTTGTTCCACTTGTTTTAAGATTTCCTGTTGCTTTTGATGAGCTGTCAGTAGAACACTTTTTGGAGCTCCGCCAAGAGTTGGCTCTTGTCCTTTTCCTTCTTTAAATTCTTTAACTTTATGTTGGTAGTATGAGTAATATGGATCACCAGTGTTTAAGAAATTGAATTTTGGATTTTTCAACTCATTCTGTCGAATCCTTGACTCAAACTCTGGACCATTCCTAGCAACAAAACTTGCAGTCTTGTCAACGATATCTAATTACTTTAATTTCAGGAAAAAACAGATATCATTAGATTTATTACAAAATTTATCATTATTATAATATTTAGGACAGATACACAGTAATAAATCGATACAAATAGGAGAAACGTTTATCAAATAATTAATTATCAAATAATAGATTATAACCTACAAAGCTAGAAATTTGTAAAATTAAGATAATAAAACTTGTTCTGGTGCATAATATTCTTAAACAAAATTTGTAAAACTGTGTTTCAATGTCAATAGAATAAGTTTTTGATAGTTAATTTTGTATTTCTTTTTTCGCAAAAGGATACTTCTGACCTCCGGTGGAGGATAAATAATGCCAACAACTGGTTGCGAGGAAGGCACATTGTTTTCGACTTCTGGTTCCGTTCCAGGAGCTTGCCCTGGAGCAATTTCCAGAGCAGGCATCTTCGTAGATCAAGTTCTTAACGCACTAAAAATTTTTTAATAATAAATTAACAATGACCGTTGTTAAACATTACTTCAAAAAGATTGACGTTTGCACAGCTATATACGTACGCGATGCGAACGGCTTCGTTTTATTCCAGCCATAGAGACATACTACTACAGTACCATGGTCGATAAGCTGCGCTCATATGGTAAGTCTTCTAGTAGTTCACTAACTACGCACCGCACGCAGCGCTAAAATCAGCTAATTACATTGGGACTGTGTCTTGGTTTTCTCGAACACGGGCGGTATAGGCATGCTACGCCTCCTGTAAACAGTCTCCATGATTCCAGCGGCCAGCCAGAAATGTTATTCAGGCAGCCTTAGCAGAACATTAAGGCCTAGTCACTGTTACTGACTAGGGACTGAATCAGGATGTAATGACGCGGCACCCACACTACTGCCACAACGCAATAAGAAATTTCTTTGCATTATAAAATAAAAGTTATACATCGTTGAATCGATAATAATCCGTTGCTCATCGGGTCTGGTCAGGCTTGATCGAGCTCGGGTCCGTGCTCTGTTGTATCCTAACCAGGGCTTTATAAAGATTCTATACAGGATTAGGGCTAAATTCCAGCCTGATTACGACTTTACGTCAGGTCGGCTCAAATGTAATACATATATGTATGTATTTGCCTCCAATCATATTTTTGCAGTTTGGTTCAATTCCTATATTAATCTCTGTTGACTATTCAGTGTTCTGAGTGTTCAGTTCTCACTACGTTGAGCTGTTGGCAGGATGTATCGAGAGCGGACACCGCAAGTGAAGATTTTGAAATGCTGTCATATTTTGCGGATTAATCAATAATGAAGCATACAGTTTTGCAAGCTGCAATTTATCCAGCATAATATTTACAGAATGTGTGTATCAAATATAATTGATCTTTCATTTATCAATCGCAATTAATTTTTTTAATACAAATTTATAAATGACTAGTTGGTCTTTTTTTAATTTTATAAAAAATAAAAAATTGTATTAATTAATTTCCATAGGTCACTCAATATTTTTAAACCAGTTATCAAAAAAATACCTGGCGAAATACCACCTTTGCCCAAAAAGTCAAGCCAAGGCTTTATTGATGATTTGAGTAATAAGCAAAAATTTGAACTATTAGATCTTTTAGAAAGGCAAAATAAACTACTTGCTAATAAGTAAGCTTAATTTATAAATACGATTAACAAATTATTTTTATAATTGATGACAATGATAAGTTTGTAACTATTAACAGGAGGTTTATTGCAAAACTACCAGACAAAGGAGAAAAAATATTAAATTTCAAAGAAAAAATTGAACGTGAACTTCAGCATCGTAATAAAATTGAAGATGCTGCCAATTTATTGTCCAGACTCAACATTGCTGCAGAAGGAAAAGCAGCTATGAGCGAATTGGAATGGACTGGAAATTATAAAGAAAAATCTAAAGATGAAATTGTGGTTCAGTTAGACAGTGATGATGAAACTGATCCTTTAAAAATACTTGCACAGGTGATTTTTATTAATATTCACATTACCTTTATTTTTTTAAATGGGACTTCATTATATTAATACATATATATTTTAGCCCACTGGAAGTGGTATTCATAATAAAAAAATTATTCATATTGTCCCAAATGATACTTTAATAAAACCGGAGGATATAAGAGAAGCAAAATCATTCAAAACTCAAGATCCACTAGAATTGGAGCATGTAAAATATATAGTAAGTAAGGTGGAAAATCCTGAAAATGAAAAGAAAAGGGAACCTTTTAAGCCATACAAAACCACAAGGTCAAATGTACATGATCCTGAAAAAGAAAAACAAAGGGAATGTAAAAAATATAAATATTGGGAAGTAACTGCGGCAACACCACCTCTCATTATTCATGGAGCTGTAAAAACATTGGACCTTAATGAATCCTTGAGATTACAAAAAGAACATGAAGCAAAACTAAAGGTGAAACTCATAATATTCAAAACTACTATTTAACATTAGAGCTATTACAAGATTCGAAACAAATTTTCAGGAAATTCAAGCTAAGCATGCTGCAGAACGTTTAGCGCAACAGTTAGGACTACATAGTACAGGCGGTTTACCGAGTAATTTAGGGAATCATCGCGGGCAAAATACTAATATTTCCGATTCGAGTTCTGAAGATGAAGAAAATTACGAAGAAGTTTACGACGATGAGGATAACGATAAAGCTGGAACAGTCGTTTTTACAGTAGATACAGAAGAAAGTTAAAGTTAATATTATTGTATAATTTAATTTACATTGTAAGTTGTTAATGCAAAAAATCATAAGACTTATGTAAAAAGTGCTGGATCACCATTATCAAATATATTTTTTAATATTTCAATAAGAAATCAATTACTTCTTTCTTTCTCCTTCAAATTAAAATTTATGTTAAAAAGGTTCCAATGTAAATAAAAAATCACAACTTTCAATTTCAAATTTTCTAAAATAATTTATGAAAAAAAAATTTGGACTTATAATTTATTTTAAGGTTTTTTATTGTCTTTATAACAAAGGTCTTAATTGTATCCAAAAGAGTTGATAATGGCCGTGTACGGCGCCGTCTGGTTCTTAACTGCTTCACCAGCCTGCTTGGTAAGTTTCTGAAGATATAAAATAATTAGTACTAGATCCAATCAAATTGTTTGTTACATATAAATAAATTATTGTTAATACCTTAAGCTTGTTCCTCTTCTGGACTTCCATGATGGACTTAACACGCCTCTTGTTCTCAAGAGTACGAACGACGGACTTGTATTTCCATCCAACTTCATGTGAAAGACGGCCAACATGACAATACTAAAAAACAAATAATTTTATTTCATAATCATAAATTTTTACAACGTTTCGTAAAGTTACTTGGAAGAGAAAATCAGCTAAAGTGGTCATCAATTTGGACATGCCATTATTCAGACGCAAATTACCAAGACATCATGTTAAATATTCAAAAATTAATTTTCTTTTGAAAAAAATTATAGTTTACCTTCCTGCCTGGTTTCAGGCACATAATTCTCATTGCTCCAGGAACAACAACACGTTTTCTCCTATCGAATGGTGGAGGGCAACCTTCATATGTCTTTAGTCTCCTCAGAGCATCCTTACCTCTCTGTGTCTTGTGTGGGATCATACCTACAAACAATATTATTTATAAAAGTGTTTTCTTTGAAGCTTTAAAAATATGTTAATATTAAATTTATTCTCATTTATGTTTTTATTTTCACAGAAATCAAATAATGTAGGTAATACATCAATCACTGAATAAATGTTATTGGTTCAATAAACTCATATGAATTAAGAAGTACATACCACGCACTGTTTTCCATAAAATCTTGCTTGGAGCACGGAAGTGGAATGGACCACGTGCTGGGTTGACATTGCACCTCTTACGGAGAAATGACATAAACTTCAGCTTATTCCTGAAATAAAAATAAAAAATTTAGAAATTTCTTATGCAATCAAATAAAAATGATGTTTTAAATAAACACTCATAAAATAGTTCTTTTCAGTAACATTCAAATAATGTAGGTAAGATGTATAATAATCATGTAAGATTTAAAATAAAATTGTAATTATATTTAATGCCATTTATATTTAATGTTTCATAAATTCAAATAAAACATTTCAATAATTATATCTTCTAACAGTAAAAGCCAACAACAAATAAAGATGAAATTCATAATCTAATTTTTTACCTGAAGAAATTTCCAGAAATATTTAGTTGCTCACATCTTACAACAACAACTTTGTTTCCTTGCAAAATAGTCTTGGCAATGATAGCTGCCAAACGACCAAGTAGATGGCCACGGCCATCAATAAGGATTGGCTGTTAATTAAAATAAGATTAATATAACATTATAAAATTAAAAATTAAAATAAATGATTAAACAATGTATACTAAGAATAAAACAATACGTAATACCAATAAATAAGAATAAACAAATTCAAATATTTATACTGTTGCAAAAAGTGAACAGTACTCAAATGAAATTCACATATTCACATATGAAGTAAAGTTGATGTTTGTCAATTGCGTTATTTTATCAATGGATGATATATTTTATAAAATTGTAAAATTCAGTAACGTAAATAACATCTTATAGGGGATAAAAGTGTTTTTACAATTTCTAACCAAAACTTCAAAGCTGTAGACAAACACGTGTGCAACAGTCGATCAATACGTATAGGTTACTCGCAAGTTTCTAACAATTTACATAATTTGAAGACTTGAAATAAATTATTAATTTTTATTCATTCATATTCTTTTCCATGTTATATCTTTGTGAAGAATTTAAAAGTTCAAATATTCATAAAAAATCAAAATTATTACAAACCTTTTCGCTAAAGCCCGTCATTTTATCTCACCACACCGGAAAAGAAGCCATTCGGGCAAATTTACAAGTGAAAAGTGCTGCCTTCGGAAGTTGTGGTCACTGCATAAACTATAGTTTTTGGGCTATGTAAGAGATTTGAAATGCTCGTGATATTCACGTTAGTAAACATTATAATTATAAAATATAAGCAATATTTATTCAATAAATATTTAATAAATATTTAAGACAATATTTTATTCGTTATAAATTTAAATTAGTTAAGCATAAGTGAATACAATCATAGTCAATAATTCAAAAAAATAAAAATTATTGAATGACCAACAATTGTTTAAAACCTTCTGCCGAATTGTTCAATTTTTCAGAAATGAGATGATACACGAAAATTTAATACTTGGAATCTATAAAATTCTTATTTTCAATTGGATTGTGCCTTTGGTGTGGATTTTAGGGATTCGTTGACCCACTATAATGGTTATATTTAAAAATACTTACTATGTTAATTTTAATTAATTTTACAGGTGAAAATTACTTTTCAATATTTTTGTTTATATATCAGCGTTATTTCAGAAATTAAAACAATTTCAATCTTACCAAAAATACAAACTAACATAACATTTATTATAATATAAATAATTTTCTTAAATAAATACTAAAACAAGTAATGAATAACTTTACGAGGATTTTTTTAAGTGTCACTTTCTTTTGAATATTTTTTAGCGCACCAAACTGTACATCGTTCAATTCTTTAATTTCACTTTGTAGATATTCCGTTTTATAGATAGTTTATTAATCAAATAAAAAAGTTGGACAAATTTATTTCTTCGATGACCCTTTTTTATTAACGTGTAATATTAAGGGGAAATATTTAAGCTCTAATAGCGAAATTAACAGTTCAAAGTAATATATTTAGTTTAGCAATTTGAATTTAAAAAGATTTTTTTGATGGGTGACAAATATGCGGTGTGTTTACAAACAAAAACACATGCAAACATAATAATTTCATTTGATTTGAAAAAAATTATCAATAAATTTAACAACTTTCATGAATGAAATAATTCATCCCATCACCATCACAATTTTAAACATATACGAAAATACCATGCCATATTTGGGAAAAAATCTTGAGCGTATACATATATGCGCGTAACGCCTAAATTTATACAACCGTCCTTGTTTGCCTGACGGCTGTGCCTGGCGCAAGTTAGCCCTTTCTCGGAGAAAATAAACCGTTTCTGATAAGATCCAAAAGAAAAAAAAAACGAAATTAGGGGAGTCTCCCATACGTGGCTTTCATGGTTTTTTTTAACGACGTGCAGTCGGCGCAGCTTGAGCGCACATCTGCTCGTGCTGTACGTATCGTACAGATGACTCGTGGCACGTGGCACCTTTCTTTGTGTGGCTCGAAATGCGTGCAAGGTTGCTGGACATATGTTTTTATTTCGCGAATACAATTTTTTTTTTATGAAAATGGAAGCACATCCAAAATACTTATATAAGACTTAATTGTTCGAATATGAAAATTATAGCAATCGAACCCCACGAATATCGCTCGAGATAAAAAATAAGCTATATCTGTCTATTAGTTATATAAGGCTGCCGCAAGGAGACTACATTGACATATCGACTCGGTACGTTCGTCGCGAGCTCTACAGGTAGAAGAAAAGTAATCGTTGATTCCCGCGGCATCTCTTCTAAACGCACACGAAAAAAAGCAGGTGTCCAAGTTCTCCGCGTAAACACATCGCACATCAAGAATAGCGTGGAGAAGGAATACGGACAAAGAAGTCAAGTGTCAGACCCTTTGTGCGCACAAGAGCGCGAGAGGGGAATGCAAATTCAAAGGAAACGCGCGCTCTTGCATTTCTAATGCAACTCGTTTTCTCTCGCGATGCGTCAAGTTTTTCCCCGTGTGCCGTTCGGGACGCGCGCGACGACTCGTGATTGCTAATCAGATGTTGGAGTATACAGAGTGTGACTCGTTGCTTGCGCTTCACATGCAGGATACCATTTCAAACGGTTTTACTGGGGATTCGATTGAGTTTTTTGATTGATTTGACTCTGTCGGTCCACGTCTGCGGCTCTTCATTGGTACCTTTTATAAAGCCTGTGAACTCGGCATTTAGATTGCAATCATTATCGTTGTTATCAACGCGTAAGAATAATTTTAGCGTGATTTCATCGAACGAAGCAAAACAATCCTTCGATCTCTCATCGAATCTACAACTACTTTTGTCGATGGCAGAATCGGCCTTTTACACCACTGATGATGGTCTGACTCAGGAGTCATTATATGCTGATTTCGCTGGATTACACGCCGGCTGTGGCACAGTGCTGCGCGTGCTTAGCCAAATGATTGGATTCGCGGTTTTCTCTCGCTGCTGCCAATTCCCTGCTATGTAATTTTTTCTATTCTTTCGATCGCCTTGGCTGTGTCGAAACCACGATTCCAGCCTCTTTCTTATTTAGCAACCATAAGATGTCACTCGCAGCGTGCCAACCTAATTTGGCTCGATATAACGAAAGGACTGATAAGGATGATTAGCTGCGCTTGATCCTTGAAATAAACTTGAAAATATGAGGTCGATTAGCACTTTCGGAAACAATCAGCGCTAAAAAAGTTGGATGATTCACCGCGAAGGATCTAAACTTTATTAACTCGAGAGTGACGTGAGCTATTTATATTTGGCTTCGCCTTTTCGATCGACATCGACTATACGTATTTTTTATTAACGGCCGTGACTTTACTTTGTAACGAGAAATTAATTTATTCGGTTGGAAATAGCCGCATCATCGTAAGCTATCAACAGCAGAGAATAGTTCTACGTTTGCAGCCATCTCTGCACGCGTCGGTTTCACCATTACCTTTTTTCCATTTTCAATCCCGAAATAAGTTTACACGCTCGCCATACAAAGTTAAAAGTATTTGAGCTGGTTGCAAGTGTTGCATACAGCCTTTTTACCTCGGGAACATTGAGTCAGCGATGATTCGCGAAGGCCATTTTCGCCGCGATTCGTATTTATTTGACACAATTCACGGCTACCGCGCTGCTGCTGTGAATCACGACGTGAGCGTAAGTAGGTACTCGAGAAAAACGCCGTTTTCGTGCCGAATTTTACTCGTCACTTTGCTCTACATTGGCTTTATATGGCTATGCGTGGACTGTTTTTTTCTTTTTTTAGCTGTTGATTGGTGATTAATACTTTTTTTAAAGAGGTTTGTATACGGCACTTAATTTCTTTTGCACTTACATGGAAATACTTTGGGAAGTTGTATTAACCAAATGAAAGTTCTAGATCACGATTCGTAAGTAACAGAATAGTTAATATTCACTTAAAGTCTCGTGAATGTTTTCAATGATTTCAGGATTTTTAGTAAGCTTTTATATATTTAGTCGAAGATGACGTAGATTTTGAGAAAAGTGAGCGAGGAATTGTCAAAAAATTTGAAAATGCTTAAATCGCGACGCTTATAGCCGATTTTTTGCTTTTCATCATCTGTTAAATTAATAATACTTAAGCTCAAGAAGGCGACTAGCGGTCTTGGGGAAAAGTTATTAACAATCAAAACTCTATTTTGAAAAAAATTGATTTTCGATATTTATGAGCATGACGTGGCTTGCTTTGTCGCATTCACGACAAAGTTCCGTCGAAAACATGAATATCAGTATTAATAAACTTAAAAGTCTACGAATCTGCAGACACTTGAAAAAAAGTTTGAAAGTTCTTTTTTGAGAACGTATACAAGTGTAATTTTTAAAATTCTCAAAAATTCTAAATGAATCATAAAACTTAGGAAATTATTCATGATACTTAAAAGTTAATAGGCCTTTGAACGCGATCGGAAGATCGTTACAACATAATCATTATTTTTAACTGTGAGAAACTAAGCAAAGTATAAGAGTCATGACTGTAACATTAGATCCCGCGGGTCGTCGATTTCACAGCCCATTCAGCCAAAAATTAATACACATAACCCGCGAGCTCTGAGTTTCGCTCGAAGGCGCCTCTCATGCAAATCGCGCGAGTAACGGTGAAGTTCAGCGAGCGCAAACTTGACGATCCAATGGCTCCTTCTCTCTTTCTCCCAGACGTATTGAAATGACGTGTTTTGAGTCGCGCCGCCTACACTTAATTGTGATGCCGATTGTGTAACGGGCAAACGGCATACACACAGGCTTAGAACAGTGTCTTTGTCGTTTGATTAATATTTCGGTAGAATGAATCGTTGTCGATCAAGCCAGCCGATATGTCAGGCACGCACTGGGCAATGAAACGCGCGGTCAATACTTAGCTCGGAGGAATGATATTATTGCCGGAAAAGAAGCGCCCGTTGTTGTCAAACGACGCAATGTACTGCAGGCCGAGCGACAAGCGAAACGAGCCCATCGCTCTCGAGCGCAATTGCAGGCTCGAGACGAAGGACGAAAGCCGGTCCTGTTATCGCGGAGGCCTCTTACATTCCTCGTGCAGCCGCAGTCTGTCTCGCCTCTCTCCTCCCGTGGGATACGCGCGCCAGGAGTGCCTTCGAGCGTGACGAGATCGCACGCCGATCTTCTGCATTTTTCTCAATAGAAACAAGGAGCGTGTGCTTCACTTCCCCTTCATTGGATACCGATTTTATTCCATCCGCTATTTTTACTTGCATTGCATTTCCAAATTTTATTTATCGAATAACCTTTTAGACGATGTTTCTTAGGTAAATGTAGATTTGCGCTTTGCTCCGAATTGCTCCATTCGACTTTTTTATTCTGTTTACGATACACTAGCTTCGAATCTGCCACCATCGGCCATATTGACTCTTAGATGACGTATGTATGGACATGTTGCTTTTCGACAGTGCTAATTAATATATTGGAAAGCTCGATATTTTTGATAAAACAATGCAGTTTAAGCAAGTGGCTGTCATGATAATGCATTCTCTGTAAAGTATTAACTTCTCTGACTATTAGTGTTGTTTTCAGTTGAAATTCAAGTTGTAAAGTGAACGCCGCAACTTGAAAATAACCTATGAATGTTTTGTGAAGTCGTGATTGTTTTCACAAATGTACATGAGTAGAGTCGAATATTGGTGTTAAAATTTTAAGTAATACTCAAGTCACATACAACAATAAATAAAAATGATTACCGTGAACCGAAGCGATGGAGTCAAACGGAAATACAGAGGAAAGTTTTTAATAATGTGTGATAATATTTTTAGCGGTGAAGACGTAACACTGACTTACCCTAATTTTTGGAATGAATTGCTGCTAATTAAACCTTACTATTCTTATGTAGAGAGTGAAATAATGAAATTAGATCAGGAATCTCTCACTCGATGCAAGAAAAATTTGAATACATTAATGTTACATTGTGTGGAAGCATTGAATGATGAAAATGGATACAAGATTATTCATTCGGTACAAACTATTTCAGTTGTTCTATTTTCATTATTTAAAAAACTCAGTGAATATAACATCAATCATGACTTATTAGATGTTCTATTTGGAGTTGATAGCGTAGAAGAAAAAATGACAAATTTGATCAAGCACTCAAATGCTTTCATAACTGGCGAATATCCATCTAGTTTAAAAGCTTCATTTATCCAGATGTATTTAATTATTGCCACTGGTATGGGCAACATGGATGAAAATTTACTCATCAAATACATGATGAATAGTACTGTATTCGAATCACTTATAGAATTACTAAAAGACAAAACATCAAGAAACCATCATGGGCACAGTATAATATTGATTTTGATGTTACTCGTTAACTATAAGAAACATAAGAGTACAAATCCTTTCATTGTTAAACTATCGATACTGGATGATGAACTGGCACTCAATGGCTATGGACAAGTTATTTCAAGTACATTATCAGACTTTTGTAGAAAATTCCCTCTTTTAAATGTATGTGTTGAAGGATCATGGTTTTCATCTTTGACCAACATAATTGGTAATATTTTTGTCGGTGAAGAAGAGACTAAATGGCAGCATATTCAGGACAATAACTCAGCTCTTCTTGCTTTATATGAAGCAATTCATCTCAACAGAAATTTTATGACTACATTAGCTTATACACAAAATGAAGAAACTTTTCCAGTTTATCAAAAGGATACTGCAAATCAGAATGCATCAGAATTTCAAACACTAGAAGTTACCACACAACCCTCCAATTTGTTAGCTATATTTTTTCAATACTGCTCAATTATAATGCATGCTACACCAACAGATAGAGTGAATAACAACGTGAAATTGTGTTTCCTAATTTTAAATTGTATTTCTGAAGATCAGTACGCAAATAGTTTGATGCACGATGCCAATTTAGTTTTCAAAGTGCCGCTTTACAAGATATCGATAAACCATAGAAAATATGGAACATCTATGTCTTTTTCTCAACCATTGGCAGCTACTCTTATAGATATAATGATTGACTTTATTTCTTCGCACATGGTGAAGAAATTTAATTTGGAGTTGTACTCTCAATGTCTGGGTATATTATTGAGGATATTATATTATCAAAAGCGATCTTGTATTCGGTTGAACTATGAATGGATTAAACTTTGGACAGTTCTAATAAATCTCATAAAATTCCTTACATTGCATGAAAATCATTTAGCAAAGAAAATGAACATATTTTCACTAGCTACAGAAGTAGTGAAAATTTTGAATATATTTATAACATACGGTGACACTTTTCTTTTTTCATCTAGTGCATACGACAAACTTTTTTACGAGATCATTCGTATGAAAATGATATTTATAAACCTGCATGCAATGGGACTTCGTTATTCAAATTGTGAACATTACAAATACAAAGAGAGTGCTGCAAAATTAACGAATGCCTTGGTGAACATAAGAGACATTTTGGATCATTTTTCGCCAAAAATTAATGAATGGTTAGTGAGGCAAAATATATCAACACCATCGGAAAATCAAATAATGGCCATCATTATAGAGCATTACGACAGTTTGACGTTGAAACTTCAAGAGAACTTGGATCATTTTGAAAGATATTCAGAACACGATACTTATTCTGAATTTTTTAGTAATTTGGTAAGCAATATGATTACAGCTACAAGACTGTCTATAAATATTGAAGAAGTCGACTGCCAAAGTATATTTAAAGATTGTAGTCCTAATAATCAATAAATGATTTTTCGCGAAAATAAAAATTATCGATTATATTTCACATTTTGAGCAGAAAGCACTAAAACGATGTAAAATTAAAAAAATATACCAATTTATTTTGTATACTTCGTATTTATCTGTTACGTTTGATAATGTATGTACATAAAAGAGAAATTTTTTGTAAGCACCCTTGGTTGAACTTTGTAAAATTTTTTTCTAGTTATTATATTTGTTATTATATATGTATTTTATTATAATGCAGCTTTAAGCAAATAAAAAATCACTTTAGCACAAAAATTTGCATCCTATATCTCGATAGACCTTGACCTTACTCAACTGTTTCTTTTATTTAAAATTATACTAAAAAAATAAACGTTTCAAACACTCCTTGAACTATAATTATGGTCTAATTTGCAATTACTTCCGTATTTTAATTGATTTTCTCGAACGTGATAGCATAAATATTGCTGCCGTGCGCGATCGCGAAGCCTTACGATAATATATAATTAGTGTTAAATTATCGAAACCTTTCAACGCCTCTCAACTTGACAGTATGTCAAAGGGTAATGTCCAATTGCAAGAAGAATTATTTAACGTGCATCCGCTAAAAATTCGAAAAACGGCCATTTACTCCCTCTATGTTAGCGGAGTGCATTAAACCGGGCAGCGGGTGGGAAACTCGTTCTTGTTAGGTCCCGAGAGCGACTTAGAAAGTACAGGTCCTTTTCAGAGATCGTACCTCGCGAGTTCGACGAACCGCGCATGCATATTGAAATAAGGAGACGCGTGTGTGGTTGACGTCGCGTCTAATTGCTTCTCTGTGTGTGTACGATTATCTTACATGCTTGTATGCGTCCCATTTTTTTTGCCTCTTTTGCAGTTTATTCGAAGCTGATGTAAGTGTCAACTGTTGCCATGGGAAGTCCGTTATTTATATTTCCCCTCGTGTATACTTGTACTTTTTTTTTTAGCGGAAGATGATTCGACGATTCTGTACTGAGAATTGTAGCTTTTTGTAGACTAAAGGATTTTCACTCGGAGAACTTCCATTTCTTTTATTCTTCACGGTCGATACATCTTTAAAAAAAGAGGCTTAATTTCATTAAGGAATTTTGTTTCAGTTTGATCATGTGGGAAAAAATGTAAGAGCTGATGACTTCATTCGGCCAAGTTGTTCTTTGCAGAAAGTAGTATCAAGAAGATAGTAAACCAATCGTGCGGCGAAGCTTAATGTGCAAATGGGTCATCAGGAATTAGAATCAATGGCATTGTTTAATTGCGGAGTTGCATGTCGTTATATTCAAAAGATTAATGCGTAGACCGAATCGCATCTCAAAATCAATTGATCCATCGTTATTTTAGTAGCATTCGCACAATCGTAAAAAAACGAGGCTGAATCAACGTGACATGCGTCAATAATGCGAAAGTGAAGCCTGTAGATAAAATGGAAAAAAGTCTGTCGGTGCACCAGAGGATAGGCTGACATATCGCACACATACACGATGTTTAGTAACCAGGATATATAGGTATTCCATGTTTTCTCTCGTACTTTTCACTTTTGCCCCGCCCTTGGAATATTAAAAAAAGTATTGTGTGGCACTCTTGGTTTAATTGGTTTACGCTACATGCATTCCCGCTGCCTTTTGTTGCCACGGTTCTGTTTATGGACATACAGATGCGAATAATTTTAACGACGATTTATGTTACTCATTTATCGCGACTTTTGGAATGGATTGAAAAAAATGTAAGCGCAACGTCAAGATTGTCATTTTGATTCTCTTCCTGTGCTCAATTACCATCATAAATTTAATGACGAAACGCGCGATAAGAAGAAACATGCTCGTTGCGCTCGAGTGATGCATCGTTACTTCGGCCAAAAGTTCGCACAGCTCGTGAAATTCTTGGTTACTTCCTAAATGCGATCGCGTGTATATATCAGCGAAAAATTCACACGACGAAGAGCGCGCAAAACTTGGAAGAATGTACGGCAACGAACCTATCGCAAGTACTCACGGCAAATACACGCAGCGTAATTAAAAAGCTGCGATTGTATAACTATTCGTAAGTAACACCCTAAAAAAGACAACGGCGTCTCTCTTTCTCTCTCTGCAGCGAGCTGTCGCCGCGTTTGCTTTCAGCGATAACCGATGGCCGTTATCCTCCCTTCTGTCCCGTCGATTCGGTTGCTCGAAGGAGTAGTGGGGTAGCAGTTTCTCTATCTCTCTCCCTCTCTCTCTCGCTCTCTCTGCCTCGCCACTCGCCTTTAGTCGAAGCGCGATCGTCGTACGGGTAACTCGTCTTTCTCGCGTGTCGTGTGTGCGTGCGTGTGTGTGCACACCGCAAGGAAATTAAAACTCGTTTTTCTTCTCTCAGCGTAGTTGCGAGTGTGAAGTTTTCTCGAGGCGTAACTTAGATCGCATCGAAAGATGGCCTGCAACCGTGCAACCAAATCTGGATTCGCTGCCGAGGCTCAGCGCAAAGTGAGTACGAGATGCTCCTTTTCTTTCTTTCTTTCTTTTTTATTCGGTTTGAATTACTTGGAAGGGGGATGTACGCGCGTGACCCAATTCCGGAATGCCGGGAACAGATGTGTGTGTGTGTGTGTGTGTGTGTGTGTGTGTATGTGCGCGCGCGCTCGCGGATTTTATTACCGCGCGAATACAGTGAGGGGATGTCATCGCTGAACATTCCATTGCGATTAGTCGAATTACGGTTTTTGCGATACACGCGATAGCTTTGTTTGATTGCTGATAAGGAAAACGTATTGTTGGCAGCGTAGGATTAATTATTTGAACTCGCGCGTTCTTGTGTACATTCGGCATTCTTACGAAATTAATGTTTGCCGGTGCTGCGAAATGTACAAATTTTAGGATTGAAATTTCTGACTGTTTCTGCTTAATGGAAAAGTTACGAGAGAATACGTATACATATATTGACGAGTGCGGTTATCAACTATGCGAATGATTCACTTACCTGATAACGAGAAACGATGATAAAACTTTACACGGTTTGTCGGCAAAAAATTGCACAAAATCTTTATTCTTCTGTCGTTAATTAGCGCGCAATTTGAAAGTTATACGCGCTCTACGCTTGCAATTATCAGTTGGACAACTTGACCATGAATAAAGAATCGCCCGTTCGTGTCGATCGAAAATCGACGACAGGATGAGCCACAATATCGGTACGCGGAGAAAAGCTCACAATCGATACCTGTTGGCGCATCGCCGACACATACGGAGCAAAAACAACAGCTGATCCGCGCGCACGCGACGACGAGACTTGAGCAATCATTTTGATCGTCGCACGTCGCGTTGCGCACTTTGTGCGCGTAAAAACCCGTCGACCGTGGAGCGCGGAAAAATGATCGTTCGAAGCTCGTGCACGCGTCGGCCGCATGTATGCGCGCTGTAAGGATATATATTGAAAGGTCAGATGCGGCGGCCGGCCGTTTCCAGGCCGAAAATGAGCCAAGCGCTATTATTAGCTGTCTTGAAGATTTTTCTTTGCTCCCTTCGCGGTGCAGGACGCGTGCGATGCGTGTGCTCGTCAGCAAAGGCACATTTCCTACGTTTCTTGGGCAACGTCGTGCCGTTGTTTACGTGGCTCTCGTTCAAAATATTTTGCGCGTCGACGTCCGAATCGAATATTCGGAGTCAATTCTTTAAGGAACGGCGCCTTTTCCTGAAAGTCGAGCGCGACACATTCCATTGTGTAACGGCTTGCCTACCACGGCCGGTGTGCTGGCGCGCTTTGTTTATCAGGCGCTCGCGAGTGTGTGCGTGCGCCACGAGACGCCCTAGCTTTTAATTGAGAATGTAAAAACGGTTCATCGCGAAGCCCCGGAAGCGCTTTCCTTCGTGGCTTGGTCGGCGCGTTACCGCGGTGGTTTGCTCTTGCACGCTGCGGGACTTTTACGACGACGATCAATCCTGAAAAACGCAACGACGCGATTTACGAGAGTTATTAAAATATATTCGAGCACTTATAACATAATTTGTCTCTTTCGCAAGCTGCGCGCGCGATCGTATACCTTGCGCAAAAGCTCCATCGCTCGTCGCGTACGCGTGTGTATTCTTTTTTGCCGAACGTCAAAATTGACGGCGCGCTTACGCAACAGCGGCGTACTCATCTTTTAATATAGAAACGACGAGGAGCTCATCCCCACGGCCTCTTATTTAATTAGGCTCTGCGTGCTCGCACACTAATTGATCGTCTCTCTCTCCCGATGTGTACGTGCGCGCGACCTTTGATAAACTGCCTCCAATTAAGCTTTATTTATTCGCTCGCCACCGCCGCCACCGCGTTCGTTTTTGATAAATCCGTCGGCGTCGTTGCGAATTTCAGCCGCGATAAAGCCGAAAAAAATTCCACGTGACTCGTTTCCACGCTGCAGAATGGCGCAACCGCCAATCTCTCGGGAAGAAAAAAGCGAGGAGAGTTTGAAACGGATTTGAAGTCGCACGTGCGCGCGCTTCGAAAAAAAAGAATCTAATTGGCTTCTGCCTTATATAGAGGAAAAAATACGAAGGGGTCTGCGCGCCATGACTCATTCTTGTCGCGCATAACTTCTTCGTTATGTCATTCTACTTTTTGGGGTCCTTGAGCTTCTTCCTCTTCGGATTTTTTGGGAGCGTTTTTGCTCTGACGTTGAAATGACGAATTGTTTGTTCACTCTTGAACGAGCTGTAATCCACGCTCTCATTCACGTGAATGAGGAATCTCGATTCGTGCACGGCTGTCGAGTTTGTTTTTCTTTCTTACCCGTCGGTGTAACGGATTCCGCGTATAAATTACATATACGTCTTTCGAAATCCGAGTCCACGTGTCGTTTGCCTAATTACTCAATCGAATCGGCCTAACGGCACTATGCATATGACCAATAAACTGAAGAAACGTTGCTGAATTGCGATGCCACGTGTTGCGTGCTCGACGCCTTGACTTGGATTTTATGTTCGCGCGCGCGTAGACTCAGTACGAGGATTTTTTTTGTTCAGTATGGTTGCTTGGTGAATTAGTGCGAATCGGAGATTTTCAGACGATTCGATTAAAATTGAGCATAATTTGTTCGACGTTGAATTCGTTCGTACATGTACGAAAGATAATACACTCTCTGACTCACTAAACGATTCGTGAATATCAGCCTTCCATTCGCGCGCGTCACTTATTAATCTAATCGCCGGTGTTAGGAGAATTCATCGAATCGATCAATTACCCGTCGCAGGTTTGAGAATAAAAAAATCCAAATACCATAAAACCGCGAGAAAATGGCTGAATGAAATAAAAATGAGAACTCATCCGTCCGAAAAGCATTCAAGGTTTTTACGCGCGCACACATAGCGAGGCCAAGGATCTCTCGACCTTGGGGATATATATTCGTGCGCGGTGCACACTTAACGGGGCCCATCCGTGGGCGCAGCTGCTATACATGCTCTCGCAGTCTTCTTCATTGTTTCTTTCTTTTTCCTCGTAAGAAACTGGTTGCCGCGCGCGCGTACGTGCGCTTTTTCTTTCGATTTGGCTGTGCGACGAAAAGTTTGTCGGTTGCCTTGGAACGAGGATACCGACTGACTCGGTAAATTTTAGCCAGGAAAAAGACCACCCCCCCGAATTCATATGCTTGCGCAATCCAAGTTAATTTGCTGCTATCGCGAGCATTCGATCGGAGCATGCTTCGAACGAGCAATCAATCCGAGCGGAAATCCCGACGACAGCCAATCAAATCGGTAGTATCCGAATGCGAGTGTCGCCCTCTCGCACTTGTAGTTAATCGGACCACTTGTGCGTTAGACCGGCAAAAAGAGAGGAGTACGCGCATCGTCGCGATCAGTGTCGCGCCCGCGAACTCGTTAACCGAGCCTCGAATAATTCGGCCTTATAAGGCCGCGTCCTTCGCCGTTCCGTCGGGGCCTCCCCTCGCAATTGTTGCATAAGGAGCCCCGCTCGTGCTCCTTTTTTCATTTTCTTTTTCGTACACCTCGTGTCACTTCGATACCTTTTACAGATACGCAATGTGCGTACGTGATTTTTACACGAAAAAAAGAAAAGGAAGAGGCTCGCGCGCGTCATTGCTTTTTTATGCTTGGGAGGTGCTTTTTCATTTGTTGCAGAGTGCAGTTGCGACGACAACTCATCGTTCTCTTTCTTATTTTTAAATCCTAGCGATTTTACAAAAAATTCGACGTTAAAAAAGGTTGAATCTCGAAAATTATTCGCATCTTCATTTCGTGCACTGACATCATGACATCATGACAATAATGCAGAGAATCATCTTACGGACATTCGCTCGTATTCATTTTATTCTATAATTCAGTTATCGTTCCGAGTTGAAGATACCTCGCGTTTTAGGTACAGGCGGCAAGACGTAACCAAAGTTTTCAATTAAAAAAAAATCAAAATACTGAAAATAAATGAAAATGTTTTCAAAAATCAAAAGTTTAAAGGAGCTTGGAAAAAAGTTGAAAAAAATGTTCTCTAGTCGTTTGACAATTGTTGAAAAGCTCAAAGCAATCGAGAACTGTATGGTGGCGACTGTAATTTCTCATTTAAATTCTCGAAATATGCAATATGTCACAATAGCCGTAAACTTCCATTCACAACTGAAACTTAGCGATGAAGCAACGACACTTTTACGAATGACCACTCGAGCACGACAAAAAGAAAGTAGCGTTCTCGATCGCAGCCGCGAAACGAGGCAGATAATCTGCAGCGCGCAATAACTCAATAAAGCTCGATGGAGAAAATAGCCAAAGGCAATTAGGACAACGTCTTATCTGAAAACTCTCATTATGCGAAAACGGCCGGCCTCGCGCAATTCGCGCGTGATCCTTCGCTCGACCTGAAAAGAAAAAAAAATCATAGAGGCGGTCGACATTCACCCGCGCGCCACACCTTCTTTCGTGCCTTTTGTGACTTGCCCATGTTACGGAGTGAGTTCGCTTAATTAAGGAAAATTGTAAGAGCTTAGCGTGGAATAATATCGATCGATCGCGAAGAAGCTGTTTAAGGAGCAAAACGGCCCGCCGATTGCCGATAGATCTGAAAAAGGTCAAGAATAAGAAACAAATCCGTGGATACTCTCAGCCCTTTTACGAAGATCGGCGAGCCATTTTGTCGTACGTGTAAAAGAACTCGTGCGTGCGCTTACGTTGCGAATGGATGTGCGACACTCGAGACTCGTCTGTGCTGGAGGGTACTTGGCCAGTTGGACATGCATTTCACGTTGCTGAACTGCAATTATTGTTAATTATTGTTAATATTACTTATTCAGACAGCCTGAAAATTTCCTCTGTGAATCATTACTCGTGTCGTCAAATTGACAATCTCATACGAATGAGATTGACACTTAAAAAATGGCTATTTGCTTCAAATCTGGAAAGACCGCGTTGACTATACGATGATGTCATTATTTAAAACGAGAAAAAAGGCGGCGAGATGATGTCACGGTAACGAACTTCAGTGCTCAATGATTTCCAGATGTCATCGTGTATTATGTATTCTCGATAGTTGTGTGTGCTTGATGAACAGAGTTTGTATTATAGAATGGATAAAATACTTTTTTTTAAGATGCAATTAGTGTATACTGTTATTATTAATAAACTTTCGTTACTCGTTACAGTTTAGAACTCTTTTATTTGCAACTGTTACGACTTTAACTAGCTTCTATTAAATGCAAATTTTCAAATCGTACGTCCCTTCAAAATACGCGCCTTTTACGATCGTGAACGCCGCCTAGAGACAGGAAATCTCACTAAAAATATGACGTCAATCAGCTACGTCAGTGCCTCTCATGTTTGTTCGCAGTTGCAGACCGCACTGTTGCGATCAATATCATCTACCTGTTCTGCAATTTGCGACAGGTAGTTTTCCTTTTTTCATGTGCGAGCTTATTTGACCCGTTGCAGTTTTCACAATCGAAAGAAAAACAATGTTTGGCAAACGAATTACGTTCTGTTTACTTTTGTGCGCGTTTATTTTCGATCTGACGAGATGCTATAGCGTGGAAAAGTTCTCGATCCTTATGCCCAATGTCAAGCCAAATGTTGTAAGTACATTTTTATTCCTAATTTGATTGGTTTATTTTGTCAGTTTTTAGTTGTTGCTACTTTTCCTAATTCGTCATTTTCCTTCTTTTACAATAAAATCTATCAACCATATGCTATGTAATAGTTAGTATTATTATTGTTAACAAAACATGAACTTTTTGTAATTACAGCCAGAGTTATATCTTTGTACTCCAGTGAAAATAGATCCTGATAATACTTACTATATTGTTGGTTTTGAACCAAACGCAACAATGAACACTGCGCACCATATTATTTTGTACGGTTGCAGTAAACCAGGAAGTTCCAAGCCAGTCTGGAATTGTGGAGAAATGGCTTCGCAAGACAGCGAAATGACTGTTGCTGGTCCTTGTCGAGGAGAATCAGAAGTAAGTAACAAGTTGTGTTAAAAATAATCACATTATTAATACTACTATTTTATTTATTCAGATTATTTATGCCTGGGCTCGGGATGCTCCAGCATTAATACTTCCAGATGGTGTGGGATTTAAAGTTGGCAGAAATTCAAAAATTCAGTATTTAACGTTACAAGTACACTATGCTCATGTTGATTCATTCGAAGATGGTAGCACAGATGACTCTGGTATTACCTTACATCTTACACAAGAGCCTTTGAGAAAGCTTGCTGGAGTATATATATTGGGTACCGGTGGTAGTATCCCACCCAAGGCAGTGGAGTACATGGAAACAGCTTGCATGGTCAAGGAAAATAAAACTCTTCATCCATTCGCATACAGAACCCATACTCACACCTTAGGGAAAATTGTATCTGGATACATTGTCAAAAATAATAACGAATGGATAGAACTTGGTAAAAGAGATCCGTTGACTCCACAAATGTTCTACGAAACTCAATCAAAAGTTGCTATACACCAAGGAGATACGTTGGCTGCTAGATGTACGATGCAGAGTAATCGTGATAAATGGACCTACATTGGAATGACAGGCAAGGATGAAATGTGCAATTTTTACATAATGTATTACGTAGAAGACGATGTACCTTTGGAGGAATCATGGTGCTTCACTTCTGGACCACCTGATTATTATTGGAAGAAAACAAATCTTCAGAACATTCCTGATATGGAAGCTTCTACACTGTAATCTGTCCTTGCACCAACTTACTTAAAAATCATATTTGTAAACATTTACAACCAACATAATCAGTGGAGTGATGGTCAAAAGAATATTCTGATTTTAAATTTTGAACAAACTTGTCAATCATACTTCAATTTTTCGTTTTTATAGAAGCAAAAATTAATTTTTAAAACAATGTTCCACAAACTTTTGTGACCTTTGATAACTTTTAATATATTTTGTTTTTAACTTTCGTTTGAAAACAGAATCGTGAATTTCAATTGTCTAAATCATTTCAGGGCCTATTTACTAGCGCGGCTTATTTCCTTAAGATAAACTCTAAAACAAAAATGTAATTTTCCTCATTCTACTTAAGCATTATGTAAACATTCAAAATACGTTGCATCATGCTCATTATTTTGTTACTCGAAAATTCATTTTCTTCTGCTTATTGAAAATTCAAATATTCTAATTATGAACTTTAAAATATATTTTTAAAACGTTATCTAAAGGATTGAATTCAGTTGTATAAAATTGTAGATATTATTTAACAATTAATATTAAATGTTTATTGATGTTATTTGATCACCAAAGAGTTCGCCTATTTTCTAAATTATTTGAAGTTGTTCTGTTAATTTAAAAGTTTTTCGATTTATGAATATTTTACGCATAGTATTGTTGCGATACATAGTGATGAATATATAGTCACACCTCATATACGCTCTTAAAGTTTTGAGTTTTAGTTTGCCTACAAATCTATCAAAGACTGTACATATAGTTTAGTTTTGTATATGTGTCCGAAAGCCTCTAATTTTAACTTCAATCTAAGGAACACGTGATTATTTTATATTTATAAACTCCGTAAATTTACTTATATAAATAAAGAAAACCATTACCTTATGAAACTATAACAGACTGAAATAGAATGCGAATGAGTTGTGATGATGAGTAAAAAAACTATGTATGCTGTCCGGAGGCTATCAATTGTGTAAATATAATTTGTGATAAAAATGTGAAACGTGTTAATAAAAGAACAATACATATAAACGTATAATCATCCGTGTAATTTTTTTTTACATTGCCTATCCCACTAATATGAAATTCGAGTTATTTCGAAAAATACACTGTAGCAACTGTTATCTAAAGAATTTGATGGTATAAATCATCATAAATAATTTTCGTCGTGGCACAAATACTTTGGCTACTAAAAGAACCGTAAGATCAGTCCAATCGACAATTTTCACGCTGCTCTGAAAAAATGAACGATAGTTTCAAAGTCGTAGACAATGCTTGCATCGATAACAATTATATGAGCCGTAAAATCGATAAGCCTTTTTACGCAACTTTTACCGTGCTCGCATTGATTGATGTATCTGTACGCTTACGATATTAGTCACGGTCCGAGTGATTAAGTCGTTAAAAATTTTTAATATCAGTACTCGCATGCGATATTTTTAGTTATTGACGAAATTGCGACACGAACGCATACGACAATGCAAAAAAAAACACGTTGCCGTTCGTATGTTGAATCAATTCGTTTGATCAAATATTATTTCAGTCGAGCCACCTATTTATTTTTCAAATATTATAGCATTTCTTTGCTCCCCCCATTGTCGAGCTGGTTTGCTGTGACACGACTTCCGCTCTAGTTCAAAGTTACAATAGCGCGTGTTTTTCTTGCAAAGAGAAAAGGAGCTTTCCTCGATGTACAGGAATTTGAGGCGATTATATTAGTTAAAGCCTAAATATAAATGCATATCGAACAAGGACAAAAAACAGACGCTTAAAAGCACCCACGTTGTTTATTGGTTTATCCTCGGTTGCGAAGAATTATCGATGACTTTTTTCCAATCAAAAAGCACATATTTTATTTCGCCTTTCGAGAACGGCAAAAATTAGAATACGCACAACTCGCTTTCATCGACGCATGAATGCAAAATTAGCGTGAAATCATTCGCTATCTAACTTTTTTACATCAATTTGCATTCGTAACGTAAAAATGACAACGAGAACAAATTGCACTGAACGCATGATGCGGAAATAACAGATATTCTCTCTCTCACTCTTTTGTCATTAATCATCGGTAACTTCCTCTTTACATATCAGCTCGGTAATAATACATACTGACGTAACGCGTGCGGGTTTGAGCGGTGAAGGAGAAAGAATCTTCCAATACCAGGCGCTTCACGCGTACTTGACCACAATGAATCACCAAGTTCTATGAAAGTTTTAAGACGCTATGTATAAAAAAGCTGCCTTCAACGTTTTTTTGTATCGTATCGGATTTTCGTTATCTCTCTTACTTTTGCGCGATGCGCACCTAGCTCAGCACCTATTGATCTTTGATAAGCGGACGCGGAAAAAGAATACAGTGCCAACGAACGTTATCAGAAAAGGGGTGAGCGAGTCCCACGGAAACGCTTGAACGTGCTCAACTTCACGAAGATAAAGAAAGTTGCCGATGGTATAAACAAAAAGCTTGAGTGAGTCTACTCTCGAACGCAAATTCCAGTTTCGTAAAGTCCAGGCAAAAGATAATTTGAAGGGGGGCAGAAAAATTGAAAGGGGGGATACAAGCTCAATATTCTTTCTCGCAAAATATGCTTAAATCCATAATTAAAAAAAAATGCGCGCAGCGGTTGCAGTTTTCTTGTTACACGACGCAATGCATACGGCTGCGTTTCATCGACAAGATATGCGATACGCGTACGACTGTAATTTTCTCTCTCTCTCTCCCTCTCACTCGCGAACTTCGCATTTTATTTCTCAAAACGGACATCGAATCTTACCTTGCTGTCAATGATTTCTTACGATAACTAACCAGATGTATTGTTTTTCAGATCAACAGCAAATACAGCGAGGAGTTGGCGCAGGAGAGTTTGGAATGGATCAAAGCGATCACCGACGAGAACATCAATACCAGCGGTGATATGGATAACTTATATGAGACCCTGAAAGACGGTACTCTTCTTTGCAGGTAAAATAGGCTATTAACGCTACAAATTTAACATTCATGCAAACGATGTTTGTAATTTTGCGTTTTTATTTCAGGCTGGTTAACAGCATCAAGGAAGGCTCGGTGAAGAAGATCAACCAGAACACGATGGCCTTCAAGTGCATGGAGAACATAAACGCCTTCCTCGAGGCTGCCAAGGGTCTTGGCGTTCCAGCTCAAGAGAGCTTCCAAACCGTCGATCTTTGGGAGAGGCAGAACCTCAACTCGGTCGTCATATGCCTCCAGTCCCTCGGCAGAAAGGTAATGTGCATTTTCACGTCCGCTCTTCTTGCCAGTCGGCAGACCTTTATACGTCCAAAACTCTGCCTCGCAGGCGGGCAACTACGGGAAGCCTAGCATCGGGCCAAAGGAGGCCGACAAGAATATCCGGCACTTCTCGGAGGAGCAGCTCAAAGCGGGCCAGAACATCATTAGCTTGCAATACGGCAGCAACAAAGGCGCCAATCAAAGCGGCATCAACTTCGGCAATACTCGACACATGTAATTTGCAACACTTGACCTTACACCTCTTTCCCCAAAATCCATATGCATACACAGACTAAATCGGCTTGCGTGTATATTTGTGAGGAATATATACACGCATTGCCACTTTGACATATCAACGAGCTTGCGAGTAATTTATAAGATTTCGACATGAGATAACGAGAGAAATCTTTCATTTTTCTTTACTTCTCGTGGCTAAATTGTTATCATTTTCCTTTTGCGAGTGTCATGAGTAAACAACTTTAACGTGTATGTCGCAAAATCCATTTCCGTCAATCTTAAAGTTGACGATATTTTTTTCTGATTGGAAAACAAAACGTATTCACTGGACGATATTTGGTGCCTTAACTGAATTGCTCAACGAAATGTTTCAACAGATGTACTTTTACTGGTCTTCGAAAGACTTACAATATAGTCAGATATTTGATATATGCGAGTCATATTCTAAACTACAACGATTTGGACAATTCGATTAATAAAATTTTGTAATTTAATTTATTAAAATATTCGCATATTTAGTTTGTAGTTGCAAGTTTCAATCAGTATTTGAAACATTGAAAATATGTATTTTGATAATTATTTTAGAGAGTATAACAACAAAAATGTGAGAGAGAAATGTCAATTTACAATACTTACAAAAAGAATATATATATACTTATATTTTTGTTTAAAATTTGATTAATATTAATATTCAAGTTTTATGAAATAAATTCATTTAACTGAATTCCGATTTTTTTTCAAAATTATTAAGTGTTGCGTGCAATGAATATAAAAATCAGAAGTATGTAACAAGATATCTTACTCTATATTTTGTTGCTAAAACTCGCACGTGTTGTAACAAACAATCCTTATTCAAGACCGTCTTGCGCGTGATATATGTTAAAATGATTGTAATGACAATGAATTTATTTACCACTGTATTATTTACGATTATGAATATATAGATAATGTTATAATAAGTATTTTATATAAATTAAATTTGACAGTTAAAATTTGAAAAATATTTTAAAAGTTCAACACCTTAGAAGGCCTTCGAAAAAATATATAAATCATGATGATTAATAAACGTGACACTGAGTGACATACTACATATTTATTTTTTCTTGTATTATTCCTTTCCCTTGAATATTTTCAGAACAATGTTATACACAAGTTATTATTATTTCTAAAATTTTTTATTTATACTATAAAGATATATATACAAAAAAATTTGAAAACCAAACCATGAATAAATTGAAATTTTATCTTTGGAAAGGATAATAGTCTAATCCAGTATTAAACTTGAACTTCTTTTTCTCTTTCCTAGCTTTTTCTTTTTCTCCAATTTCAATCATTTTTTTAACATCAGGCCTAAGAAAATATTATTTTTGCATGAATAGTAATTTTAGATAAACTAAAAAAATGGAACATAAATTAACAGATGTTTACCTGTACGCTGGTGGTTGTATCTCTTCATGCAAAGTACATTTATCAATCTTAGATTCATTTTTGGTATAAATTCTAAGTCTAATAATATCAACATCACGTAGACATTCCTCACTAAGTCTTTTTAATGATGTTGGAGGTACATCAAAGTGAATGATAAAGTAACTGAAATAAAAGTATGATTATATTTTCAATTTTATACAACATTTAGCGACAAAATAACATTTTTCATTGAAATTGATTTACATTGATCACATTAAAACTTTTATACTTACTTAGCTTCTTTGTGTGTTTGATTAAGTACTGGCATTTTATAGGGAGTTGCCATTTTACCTAAATTATCTATTTTTCTGATAAAACCTCCTTTATCAAAAATTGCTTCTGCAGTACGTTTTAACGTAGCCGCAATTTCCGGCTGTTACAAACATTTCAAGTTTTATTACAATATTACAACATTTCATTATCTTTTCATAAAATATCATTACAAATTAAAAAAAGGAACAATTCTTTATCAATTTACAGTAGTTTTTTAGTAACCATTATTATTATTTTGGTAAAGTATCAACATTGGTATACAACAGTGAATAAATTATACGTACCCGAGTCATGATCTTTAATAAAAGGGGCATTTCGTACGTCGGCATTGCTGAATGATTATTTTTTTATCACGTTTATAACAAAAATTTGTTTATATATTACCACAACAATGCTCAAAATTGGAAAACTAATACGGTATCAGCATAATAATGATCACAATATAACATAACCTAAAATACTTTACATATATTTTGCTGAATAGGTAATCTTTCTTCTGCAAGCTAGATGTCGTATATATATGCGTGTCTGTCCAGCCATTTAACTCGTGACCCGCAAAGTTCAAAATTCTAATTACTTTTGAGAATCGAGCATCTATGACATTAAACGAAATTAGTTCATTGTTTATTTTGGTAAGTTGTACCCCCGTAACTTGTCAGAAAAAAACCGTTTGATATCATCGATGCTCTATCCTCGAAAATAATACGGATTTTGCACTTCGCGAGTCGCGAATTAATGTCCGAGCAGTGTAAAGTTTCAGCTTTCCAACACTTGTAATCACTTTATCGGATTTACCTGAAAATCGAAAGTTTAAATTTGTCTGAAGTAATAAAATTACAATACAATCATCTTTTAAAAGAGACTCCAATAATAGCTAGATTTGGAGATCAAGCTATGAAAATTCATTTTGCAAGAATTTTTTTCACTACTAATTCCAAGCTCATCTAAAGTTCTGTAAAGCATTTGTAAATATAACTTTCAGCTGTATTCAATAAAACTTTAATGTCGGTATAAAATAAAATACATAATTTATATATATAGTAGGAATAAAGGACCATAGGATATCAACTTCAATATAAACGCCATATTTTATTTTTCGATTTGCAAAACTATTTATTGAATCTGCAGTTTGATTATAGTTTTATGAGGTGATAGTTATCTAAATAGATACAAAATGTTATTGACATTAAAATAATTGTAACAATAATAACGGTAAATATAGTAGTAACACATTTGAATTTATCTATTTAATATGATAATGATATGCAAACATGCACAATATTGTAAGGTATATTTCTTTCAAAATCTGAGTGATCGCAAAGTTCTTGCTCAATTAAACGAAAAATTCAATAAACATTCCTAAATTATTATTTGATATAGCGTCGCCATGGTTTATAAAACAAGCAATTATAAGTTTTTTTTATGTCAATCGAATAGTCAAAGTACTATATTTTTTTAAAGTTATAGTAATTTTTCATTTATCCAACATTAATAATATACACGTGTTATAATAGTACTCCGATGCATAATCTTATATAAAAATACACAATGAATCAATTTTTTCATACAAAGTATACATAAAATTTCTCATATACCAGATCTACATACCCATATATAATATGCAACAAAGGAATTTGCAAATAATAATTTTATGTTTCCTCTTTTTTATTCTCGTCATTCTAAATGTGTTCAATACCTTCATAATAACAGTGTTAAAGACTTTTAATTGCACTACCACGTTTAACTATACATGTGTTTGTCACTCATGTAGTACGTACATATGATACCCCATTAGAATATTGGCAAAAAATTTATATATATATATATATATATATATATATATATATATATATATAGAGAGAGAGAGAGAGAGAGAGAGAGAGAGAGAGAGAGAGAGAGAGAGAGAGAGAGAGAGAGAGAGAATGAAAAAGGATTGTTATAGAAAATGACAATAAGGAAAGAACAGGCTTCTGAGTACTATAAATCCCAACTAATAGCTGAACACCTCTGTAGTAATTTGTTATTTTCGTTATTTTTTATATCTTTTTATTTTCTCGTTAAACTACTATGCGATAAAAATTGAATCTATGCTAAGCGTGACTTGATTTTCTCGCATTAATGTGGTAGAAAAACAATTCGACTGATGAAAGCTCGTGTGAGTGAAAACTTGGTTTGATACCAGCAGAGCCAAGGCTTAACAATTCTTTCGAAACTTATTAAAAATGAACAAAAATTTGTTTGGTTTTTGTTAATAAGAATTATAATATACTAGATAATTATATGAACAACAAAAAAACGAAAATGTGCTTATTATCATTAAATAAATTTATCATTAGATAAATTATTCTCAGTAGATAAAAATTGTACCTTATAAATGCAAAATAAACTAGTTTCGAGAAGATAATGCATACCAATTGACTCAGCCGTCGAGAAGTGCAGGTGTCAACTTCTCTCATGTACACCGGCGCAAGTTCAGTGCATTCACCAACAACACACAATGTAGCGCATGTTTTAATATACACTTATTACTTTGCTTTGTTTTATATATATATAATGCATACAAATGAAAGGACATAGAGTCCGAATGCAATCTTGCTTTATCGACTGTAATGATGCTCTCTTGCATCGGCGCTTAATTATGTATAATTTTTTCTTTTTTCCGCCCGAAGTATTACTCGTAATCGAAAGTCGCTAAACTTACAATCTATTTTATGTAATTATTATGCGTTTTCATATTTTTTTTCTCTAGATCACTATAATATTATGCAAATTTTTAGCCTTGCAAACATTGAAACTAACGAAAAAAATATTGTCTTATATATATAATTGTTTACATTTAATTAAAAGTCAATTAATAAAATATTTATGATATACAACAAAGCGAAAAATTTAAAATAACTAAACATCAATATTAATTTGTTGATATGTTAAAAAGCCATGAAAACCATAAAATTTATCTAAAAACTAATGATTTTGGCGACATTCGACTGCGACTTTCTTCTTCGATTTTCATCTATACATGAATACATAAAGATCTCAAAGCTAAGAGAGATGGTACAATATTCGAATAGCACTTGCCGCTGAAATTTTGTTTGCGTAACTGTAATCATACATTTTATATATAGCTATATAGCTTAACACTGTTTTTATTTGACGCCCGTTGAATCAAATTGCAGCTATGCTTTACATATCATGACGATTATAATATATTGATACACCTTAACTATATTAATAGTATATTTATAATATTATTACAAGTACAACTATATTGTAGTAATCCGAAAAAAAAGCACTTCTTTCTTTCGTAATAAGTCAATTAATTTCTTTGATTTAACGTCGATACGCGAGTTTCTTGTTAGAGGAATGATCGTATTGGTATCTGCTTTTTTTCGTTACAAACAGTGGTCCAATTTTATGTGTAAGTTTTTGTCTTCTTTTCGTTTTCTTAAATATAAAAATTTATAAAATTATGAAATCGCTCAACGTAACGTCATTTCTTACTCGCTATTTTTAGTCGTTCAATTATTTACATGGTTCTTGGTTTTTATTATTTCTTTACTTTTGCTTAAATATGCATAATGGCAGTGGAAAAGCGGTGTCCAATAAATCAACAATATATTACAAAGTATGCAATTGTCGTCTTTACTTCCAAAGGAAAGTAATGAACGATAAATTAAGCAATTAACTTGTTCAACAAATTCACGTCTTATTATTTTTTTCTTTGTCTGCCTTGCTTTTGCTTTGATTGTGATCACGCATTTATATCTTAATCGTTACGAGAGAGAGAAAACACATGCTTTGAAAAATTAGAGCCGGTGTTAGTAGAAATTTATGACAAAAAAGTAAGTTATGTTTCACCGGTGCTTCAAAATCCTAAGATTCAAGATCAGCCAATACAGCAGTCTTAAAACATAACGGCAAGATAGGCCAATCGAAGCGAAGTATTACGCACTCCATTATCGATAAACTTTGAACATGTTAACGAATTAAAAATTCAATCGTTATTAACGGTGTTTTTTTCCCTCGAATTATTTTTTTTTTTCTTTTAGACTTAAAAAACAATATTAAAATTTTTATAATTCATCACAATCATACACATATTAATTTGTACATTTTTCTTTTGGAATTGCAGTTAAAGTACATTTTCTTTCTCATAATTATTTTTTCAATTGCACATCGTTGTACCATATCTCGCATACAGTCAGGTCGGATCGGATAAATCTTGATACATATTTTAAGATACTATGTTTTTCAAACTCGTTTAACAATCAATACTGCTTTCATTCGCAATTGACTACAAAATCCTTTCAAAGCTTTACTACATTGTATATAGGATATTAATCCAGCGTAAGCGTTTTGCAGTAAATTCTGTACAAATTTCACTAATAAATTGCTTCTAAAGCAACTTTGCATTCGGAGTAAAATCACTGTTCATCAAACTATTTATATATAATATATAACGTACAATAATACAACATTCTTAATTATGTATGAGAATTAAGAAATGCAAGTCTCGATTGTAACTCGAGCATGGATTTCCTACAATAATTGATCATTTAATGTCGTTGCCATTTATTATAAAAGTAGAGAAATCTGATTTCTAATTTTTTAAGTAGATTTAAAAGAAATCCGAAAACCTTACGACGTAGAAATTAGTTTGTTTTTTCTTAATTACCAAAGTAAATAAGCAGGTAATATTCTTTCTTTTGTAATTTGTCACCGTTTGCTTTTTCAAACTACGAAATTTTGATTCGGTAATACGTAAAATCTATGATTAGAATATGCATTCATAACACCTTATGTATTTCCAACTTAAGTAAATTAAACATTAATAGCCCTTTATAAACCAACCCATAATAGAATAGGATTTAAATAAAGCTTAAAATTCTTATTTTTTTGTCTTATGCGAACTACATTCAAGCTTTTGCTTTCGCGGAAAAAAAGAGATTTCTCTAAAAAAAAAAAAATTATGATTAATACGATTGTTAAATTTTGATCATATTTCAGATTCTGTGCACTCACAACAATGATAAATAAATCATTAAAAAGTATGTAATTTGTAAAAACGACGTTGAATGATTGATGTTTCATTTCATCTCGTGCCAACATTTTGAAAGCGGTAATCCTACATGGAACCAATAAAAAAACTATAATTTCTTTTCTTTTTGTCGAAATTTTCTACAAGTTTTATAGAGCTATCATATTGAATCCAGATATTCTAATATATGGAACGAAATTCGTTTTCGGCATCGTTTGTTTTTCTTTTCTTTATAAAAAGTTCGTTTTTTCAAATATTAGTCAATTAAAATAATCAAATATATATTCGTATTAACCTTTATTCTTCTAAAAAATTTTTAAAAAGAAATTTCGACGTTCGCCTGGATAGAGAATTTCATTGAAAAATAAATTTTAAACCATTATCAGGAAAGAATCAATTTATAACCTATATCATAATAGTATCATCATTTTGATTAGCACTGTAGTAACGTTAACGTAAATTATCTTAATTTTTTAACATTCAAACATTAAACAATGTTTAAATGATATACTTTACATTCAACAATACTTCATAGTCAATTTGAAAAGAAACACATGCATCAAAATGAAACGTGAAAGTTCTATCTGATCTTTTTTTGCAATCAACGCATAAATATTTCTAGTCTGTCATTAACTTCATTGATTAATCTAGTATTTGATAATAATTCACATCTATATATCATAGAATTGCATTCTATATCAACATCATAAAACTCTTGTAGCACTATTTATGGTAAAGTCTTTGAAAAGCCCAATTAAATTTAACTCTATTATTTAACAAATTTTGCTATAACATTAAATTCTAATTCGAAAAATTAGTAAATGAAAACTAATAATCGAAAAAAGAAAGTGATTTTCCCATACCATTGTCCAAGAAATTAATCTATCCAGGTGACGTCCTAAGTTTAGACTTTCAGGGTTGCCTTGGGCGACCAGTGATGAAAACGCGAGTTATTTGGATACGAGGACGAGTGTATCCATTTGCTGGCGCGATGACCACCAATGAAAGGTGGGGGTGATGGTCCACCAAGGAAATGAGGTGGCATTACGTTATACCACGGTTGACCCATTGGATGAGGTCCATAACCCATAAACGAATGATTGAACCACGAACGGTTGCGATTGAGATGAAGACGTAGGCTATTGAGATTGCGACGTTTGTTGGGGCCATTGTTGTTATTATTATTGTTATTGTTATTATTGTTGTTATTGTTGACATTACTATTGTTAGTACTAGTATTAGAAGTAGTGTTGCTGTTACTGATGTTATTGTTATTGTTACTGGTAGACGATGAGTTGTTGTTATTTGATGAAGCTTGATTTTGGTTGGCTGAGCCTAAAGGTTTCGATTTTGACTGTGTGCTTACAGAACTGGTAATGTTGACTAATGCAGGTTTCTGAAACATGCAAATAATATGTTTAATTCATGTCTGTAATTTTATAAGTCACTGAGAGGCCACGTAATCTTACCTCTTCTGCCACCTGTTTTTCCACTTTTTCAACCTTCTTGATGTGTTGCTTAATTAGAGGTACTATATTTTCTTTGTCGTCAAATGATGCTAATGTACAGTACGAACCTTTACTCTCTCCAAAACGGCAACAAACTTCTTTAGGATCAACCCATAGTGTCAACTCAACTGGCAACGAAAGATCTTCATATCTAACACCAGCAGCACTTGCAGCTTTTTCTAATGTAGCATCTCGTCGACTATGCCCATTTACACGTATACAACGATATCCTTGACCTGTGAATAGAAAAATTGTAATGCTCATTATTACACATTAGTTTACAAGTAAAAGCTAAAAATTATTTATAATTTATTCCACAAATATTTTGCTTAAATATTTATATAAGTGATTGTTTGAAACTATATAGAAGAATTCTAAACCTAGAAGTTTTCATACTTTGATTGAAACAAATATGAATAAATTAAGGGCAAAATAGTGAGTTACCTTTGAAAGGTTTTTCGGGAAACCAGTGATTTTTGAATCTTTCTGTCATCAGCTCAACTAAACGTCTCTGAAAGCAATCGAGCTGATCTGGACTAAATTTTTCGTTTTTTTCTATCAGCTGCACTAAGAACAGCACCGCTGCTGTAATCTCGTTGCGCATGTTGTCTATGTTTCCAAGCAACTTGATGCTTAAGTGAAGTGTCACGCTTGGAGAACTTAAAATCAGCTATTTTTAAAATGATACTATCTTCAATCCAAGCTGATTTGGAGCACATAGATCTCTTGCTCTGTATGCACAGCCTTTCTTGAGTGTGTCTAGTTCAAAAATTGGATGCGATTAAATTAATGTGATGTTGCATGTATAAATCCAATGATCTGGGGAGTATATAAAATATTGCTGCTGGCAATTGTGAAGATGAATGTATCTGTAATCATAAAAGTCCACAACAATTCAGTTAGGTAATTTGACTTTACATAATGGGGGATTAGATGATCCAAAGAACATATGTCAACATTCAAAATTACACTAGAGAAAGATCATTGTCACATTTAAGTTGAAATTTCTATGTTACAATGGACAAGAGTCACAATAACAGACCATTACTGTGCCAGTTACTATTAATCCAGAGCTTTACGTATCAACGCGATATCATAATCCAGAATCGATCTTAAGCAAAGAATAAGAAACGGAAGGTGCATAATAAAAATAAGCCACAATTGTCACGATCAAGCTGTTAAGCTGTTGATCCTATCATGGCACGAGCCTCGAACAATTTTTTCTCGAAAAGGAACAAACATGTTGCACACACGCGCGCAGCCTCTTATCGGCAAGCTGCTGGCGCGTTCACTAATCAAGTTTCTATGAAACAGCAGCGTGCACGCGGCAACTAATTCAATATTTAGCGACACTAATCATCGCGTGCTAATTTAGCCAAATAGCATGTTCAATGGTAATCGAGGAATATTGGAGTTCTCGAAAGCACGTTGTCAAATATCGAAGAGCGCGCGTTACATCGGCAACAATATGTTGATCTAAACGTAATAAGGTTAGGCGACCGAGAAAGAGAGTGAAACAGAACACGAGACAGAGACAGCATAAGAGAGTGAAAGCGTTGCGGGGGACGACGAAGCATCGACAAACTCGTTCATTAAATGGCCTGCCCGTTATGCGACGATTCCTTCATTTTCATGCATTCGTTGTTTTAATTGTTTGCAAAGTAGAATGAGAGCAGCAAGGTAATAATGGACAACGTAATTGCGTGGCCGATGATTTCGCCAGCTCATTGCTCTCTGGCTCTTTCTCTCTCTCTTGCTCGTGCGCGCCTCCTCTCTCTTTCTCTATCTCTCACTCGCTCGAGCTGCGCATTTCTCACGTTCACTTGAATTTCACGGAAGGTGTTTTTTTTTTCATCAGCGACGTTGAGTAATAAGTCTATAGAAGGATGTTTGGTTAATCGTTTAGCTTACATTTGTTGACGGGTATGTAGATCCAGGGCGACGAGGATATTGTTGATTCGTCGTCGTCGAAAGGAGGTCCCTAAGACGTGTCCCCGTCCTCGTTAAATAAACTCTCTCGTCGCCGTCGCACACTGTACTACTGCGCCACCACGAAGTACGGACCTCAGACGAGCGCCAACACGTGTGTTACGTCGACATGCATGCCAATGCCTGTGGTGACTTGATACACTTAGACTGGCATCGCGATGGTGCCCCATGCGTGACAGAGAACAATGTGCGGTTGCTCCAAAATAATTTTTTATTTTTTTTGTTTCTCAAGTTTGTTGTTGCATTTTTTTGACACCTATTTACTCATATTGATTAAAATTGAACGTGTTACATATGTCAATCGCAATAACTTGCTTCAAAATCGATTTTGAAGCACGTAACTGTGATTACTTCAAATACAATTTTTGAACAAGTCGTAAATAGATTTCGGAGCAGTAAAATAAATGAACAATTATTTACTAAAAATAATCTAGTAAACTATGAAATACGAATTAATAAAAATGTATCTAAAAATATTTGCTTTACAATCGAATAAATGTAAATATTGATTAGAATATTGATAAAGTCATTTTTTTGAGATGTTAAATTTTTGTAGACAATTATATAGATATTCGAAAATTTCTTTCTTGATATGTTGATATGGCCAAACTTATTTATTCCAAAATAATAATGAATGCGTAATTTGACTAGTTGGGGTTCAAATAAATTATACAATCAATGAACCACGTTCTCCTTCAGTCTTTAACAAAAACGAAATTCAATTGATTCATTTACAATAAAATATTTCTCTGAATACTTAAAAATAATTTTCTCTATAGAAAAGCACCACTGTTTAGAAAAAGAAAATATATAAATCATGTAGCTTAAAATGTACTTAAATACGTTTATTAATAGGCAGTTAAAGTTATACATTGTAATTTTCATCTATTTTGCATATAATACAATCCTTAGTTATTAATTGTTCCTTGTGTGTAAATGAGTGTCAGCTTTTTCAAGACAGGAATGTTCTTAAGGAACATACAACTTTTAATGATTTTCACGCCGATAATTAAAATTGAATGGAGTTTATTTCCTATTCTCATCAACTATTTAATGTCCTCTCACTTTATTGCTCAATGCATTAAACGAAGCGCGAATGAACGGTTGTGCGTGTAGATTGTCGGAAGACTTCTACGCTAACTTAATATTCCAAAATTCAAAGTTGACAATGATAAAGTTTATATTATTATTAAAAAGTTAATAATGACTGGAAAGGCATTATATATTTACAAGTAGAAACTATGTTTCCCCGTTTCTTCGAGATTCGGCTTAGGAAACGCGAATTAATGAGATAAAGACATAAAGTACACGCGTAACACTCAACTACCATTATATAATTAACAGTTTTTTCCGAGCAATTCAGCGAACAAGAAAAAAAATTTAAAGTAAAAAAATGTTTGTGATGCAGTCATGTCTATTTAGTAATTTATCTAGTAAAACTTCGATGGCAATTGTTAAGTCCTACCGACAAAATATAAAAACGCATTTAGAAAATTAAGTTTTACGTATGAAAAATAATCATTAAAAAATAACTTGCCAAGAAGTTATTAAAAGACTTTTTGATTTGAAAGAAATCATAAAGTCAATAGCCTTGAATCTCCAGCGCATTTATGCGTCAGTGAGTTTTCCAAATTTTTCCATACATATTTCAGCTTAGTCAGCTTTGCGCGCTCTGCGTTTGCGAACGTTTGGACTATTTGGTTGTGACGACTTGCTGTCTTTGTCAGTTTTCTCGTTTTCGGACTTTTCCTCTGATTCACTTTCCTCTTCATCTACGAGATCATCCTTAACTGCATCAACGAGTTCGTCATCGACTCCTGCGTCGTTATCTTCGTCTTTCTCCTTTTTCTTGGTTTGAGTTGGAGTCTTTGGTGGGTAAATAAAGTCAATGATGCAAACAATTAACTATAATTAAAAAAGTAATACTGTAATACTTTGATAGTTTTATTAATTATGACAAAATTAAATATCAAAATTGCAATACTGACCAGACCCAAAATAGCACCCAAAACAATAGTGACAAGAGCAAAAATCAAATAAGTTCCCCAGGTAGGCATACCAAAATCTTCCATCAACTTGTTATGGATGCTCTCAAAACATATTTCAAAAATAAGTGCTTCAAATTATCATGACTCAGAAGATAATTCTGCTTCTATTAAAACTTACTCTTAGTACTTGAGACATTCTGAAGATCTGACTGGCAAGAGACATTTGAATTGATGTTGGACTTCTCCAGTTTGAAATAGGTTCTACTTTGGTCCATGTCTGCTTAGATACAAATTCAATCAGTGAATCCTTATCTCTTGGACTCTTGTACTGGCGAAAAACTCCATCTTTGACACTGCAAGCATATGTGTAGAGTTAGAAATGTCATAAATAAATGGATAAAAACAGCTCAAAATAAACCTACTGATATATTGTTGGCAGAGCAGTCACCATAAAACGACCACTAAGTCCTGGAGCATCTGTCACATCAACCTTGCCAACATTAATTCCAAGCTCTTTTTTTTGGAAAGCAAGACCTTCCCAGATTGGTTCAAGTGCTTTACACGCTGGACACCATGGTGCATAACTGTAATTTCAAAAAATCATCAGATTTTATATCTATATTGATTTTTAAATTTTTATGACATTTGAAAATGTTCTCATTAATATAATATGTAACTTTTATAAAATAAAATAATTAGTTAAGTAATACTCTAACTACATTCCAATGAACCCGGTATGCGAAGTTAATTATCTCTTATAACCTCCAAATGTTCCATACAGTGTTTTCGTAAAGAATTTCAAAGGTAAAATCTCCTTTGAGAAGTTAATGTTATCTGGTGTATTGAATTATTTAACATACCTAACTATTTATAAATTTATTTAGTTAAATGAAAAATACCCGTGTATACAAAGTACTAAAAATAACGGAATTACAAATGTAAACAATGGTTCAGCAACTACCCCCAGCAAACCTGCCACGTACGAAAAGAATTCTGGCCCTCCCTCAGAACTCCGTTAACAAACCAAAACAGAAGCAGTTTTAGAGAATAAAGATAAAAAGGCGAAAAAGAGAAAAATTGCGTGGCTTCAAAAACTTACAATTCAACCATCCACTCGCCCTGAAGCATTCGATCCCAATTGTTCTCGTCGAGCTTGTCGACATTACTCCTCTTTTGAGCATATACTCCGACGATCACAAGGACGACGAAGATAAGGTTCCGGATTACTTGGCGCGACATCACTGCTATACGTGAGCTCTTCGGGTTCGGGTCACTCACCGGCACTTAACTGAGATCAAAACTACGCGGTTGCCACGTTTCGTCCTCGCAGATGCATGGTGCGGTATCACAACTCACGACTATAAGCTTTAAGGCTGATTCTAAGTATATGAAATTTGGAAGTACATATCATTTTAGAACATTTTGAAATTCTTGGCTGTTATCTTCATATATATTGAATTTTTGTTAAAATTTTTGTTTTACATAATGAAGAATATGTGGTATTCTTATCATATTCTAATAATGAATGTTGTAAAAATACATTCACCGCGAAAATTTCAATTGTGTAATTGATTTTATAAATATTTATCATTTGAATCGAGTGCTGTACTTCTGGTCCGAAAGCGCATGCGCGGCATAGTATTTGAGGTTAGGATATATATTTGACGAACTGTGATAAATAACAACGCTTAGCGATTATTTTACAAGCAAGTTTTCCGGCGATTGTTGATAATAGAAAAATTGACTAATTACTATAAATTGATAAAAATTATTTTCATAATGTCTGACGGTAAGAAAATGAATGAAATTCATAATCATTTTGGCCGCATTATTTTCAATATTTACGTAAATTTACTCGAGAATGTAATAATTTTTGTTTGTTAAAAGTATTTATTAGTAAATTATAAATATTTCCAGAGGAAGTTATCAGAAGAAGACTGCTAATTGATGGTGATGGTATGGGAGATGATAGAAGGTTGAATATTATGTTAAAATCTTTTATCAAATGGGCTAATTTATCAGAGGCTGATCCAGTCTTACAAGAAAAATTACTATCTCAATTGGCTGTATGTGAGTTTACACAAAAGAAATCTGGTCTGGTATCAAAGATGAGCGAGGAAGAATTGAAGAATTATGAAGAAATGTCTAAACAAATTGAAGTGGAAATCGAAGAAGCTAAAAAAAATATTGAAACAACAAAGGTTGAACTGCAAGAAGCCAAACAAGTTAGAAAAAACCGTATAGAATATGATGTTCTAGCTAAAGTTATCAATGAACAGCCAGACAGACAACAAACTAATATCAAACTTGCATCTTTACAAAAAGAACTTGAGACTTTGAAAGTAAGTTTTATAAATAATAATTATTTTTTCTTTTTATATAATAATTATATTAATAATTTCTCTGTATCTATAGAATTGACATAAATATAACAAACTTGTTTGGTTTTAGGAAAAATCACAGCATTTGGAGCAGAAGCTTGAGATGCGTAGAAAACAGTTCCATGTTCTCATATCTTCAATACATTCCTTACAAGCAATGTTGGATGAATCTGATGAAGAAATAATGGATGTAAGCCTAGAAGATGTGAAAATGTCTCCTAAAGTAACAATATAGATCCACATTGTAAATAATAATTAAGGTTGCCCCAAAGTATAGTGCTTAGGATATTTTTACAGTTTGTATTGGATCTGTATAAAAATATATTTATAAGTAAACTCACAAATATTTCTAATGATTAGTTATTTATCTTCTAAGCTTTAATTTGAGTTTGCTAGTTTTTGGTACATGCCTAATGGTTAAAGATAGTCTTGTTGTTCGATTCAATATTTGATTTTTATCATATGTTTGTGAACATAAATATAAATTTTTAATATCACTTTTGTCAATAACATCTATTTCTCTTTCATCAATAGAATGCAAATATTCATGATATAATTCTTTCTGTAGAATTAATAAACTTCTTGGTTCCAACAATAAGCTAAATACTCGTTTTGGAGATTCCTTTTTTCAGAAATAAATTTAAAAATAGAATTTAATTAATTCAAATAATCAAAAGTATTTATAATAACACTTACAATGTTTTCTGTTTCAAATCTTTTATAAAATTCCAATAATGTATGTGAACCACAGCTAATTGTTGTCACTATTGGATGAAAAAGAGGTCCATCAGAGTGTGCCTGAAAAATAATCATATTTCATAAATCAATAAAATTATAAAATAATCTTAAACTTACCATAATTCCTTGACCAGATAAATATTCGTTGATTAGAATATGATTTGGTGTTTTGTCTTTTCCAAAGATACCAAGTAATGATATTTTATCTATTTGTGTCTGTAACCACTGAAATAATTATAAAAGCATTAAGTTTATATTATTCCAAAGTAAAATAACGTCCAGAACTTAAACTATTTACTTGAGGAATATCCTCAGCAATCATCCCTTTTGGATGAGGAGTGCCACCCCAATTTTGGAGTCTCCTGTGACTAAGCTGAGTCCACTTTGGAAGTGGAGCATTGTTAACTTTTTTAATTAAATCTTTCTCTTCTTCTTCAGTTATAAAATTTGGAATGTAATTCACTTGTGGTGGAATCTGAAATTATTTTAATTTCATAAAATTTTTCAGTAAACTAATTGCTCCAAAATAATGTTCACCTCTTTAACTATACTCTCATTAATTAAAATTGCGGGATCCAAACTCATTTTTACAAATCCTCCAAACAAAAACAAATATATATAAGCATATATAGCCCATCTAGAAAAGTGATCAGTCAGGAAATAATAAGTTTCCACGTGTTTATACGTTTTTTGGGAAGCTATGTCACGTAAAATTCTGTTCTGTTCTGTTTATTGGCACCAGTGGAGCTTAAGTTTAAGCTCAGTATGCGTGTACACCGATATACTTAATAATAAAACAAGTCGTAAATACTACATTGATACAGGTGCATATGTATACATGAACAGTGAACACTGACACAATCTCACAAATGGCTGAGGAAAGTCACTAAAAAATCAACTCGATATAAGCGGGTGTGGGTGGTCTCATAGGGAATTTGATTCTTCAACTCCAAAATTACTAATCACGTTTCGTTCCACGTTACTAATATAAATAACAACACCAAATTCCAAAATAACAAAAAAAAAATTATTCAATCACCCGCTTATAAATCTAAAATCACCATAGCAATACACGTAAGATCTACGCAGGTTATTTGACGCGTTTAAGTTGTCAGTCTGCAGCTTGTATTACGTATATGGTAGACTCGGTAGACTCGTTCGGAGTCGGAGATCCCGTCAGTCTTAGTGTGGCTCGTGTGTTTTGACATGCTCTTTCGCGCACGACGATGACGAGGAAGTTCCTGATGGTCTTATAAGACTTAAAGGTAAACTCGTCTTGCCTTGTCTCTTCTCGTCTGTGTTTTTGCTAGTGAACGACGCCGTTAGGAATCCGTACGTAGGAAGGATCAAACAAAATAAGAATAATAAAACAAGAAGTGGCGAGAGAGACGCGCGTTCTCTCTTGAGGAATTCTCTTTCTCTGTCTCTCTCGCTCTCTCAAGATGGTGTGTGCGCGGAAGATCGTGGGAGCCCTTTTAGTTGCCTCGCGGCCATGTGTTTACTGCGACGTACTCGTTGCAGTGATATGTTCTGTGCCGTCTGCGAATACAATGTTTATCTTGCACGGAGATGTATTGTGTACGATCGTTTTAAAGTGGCAGTTTTATAGACTTCATCCTTGACAAAAGATATCGAATTAATTTGGCCTTTTAACCCTCGTGCTTTTGTTTACACCTGCGCGCAGAAAAAGAAAGCCATTATGACCTTTTTATACTAAGTGAAGTGTTTATAATAAAAAATTAATTGGTTTTAGAGTTTATACAAGATGAAAGTTAAGAAAGCTGAGATTATTTTGATATTCCAGTCGCACGTACATATGAATTACGATGATATATAGCCAGTTAGAAAGTCAGCGTGAGGAGTGTGGGTTAGTGAATGAAAAGATTGTTTACGGCACGAGCACAAGTCTTCGTGAGGCGTTGATAAATGAGAGGGAACGGGATGAGAGAGAGACAGAGCAGCGATTATATTTGCCATTCATAAATACTTACGACCGATAAATCGGTTACGTGATTGCTCATCGATGAGGTCTCAAATGATTATACATTTGACGTTCAATTCCGTTAATAATTGCAACAGTGCCTGATTTTATTTCATTATGAAATTGAGATTTACCATGCACTTCGCAACTCATTTTTCAGCGTGTAATAATATTTGGTTGTCCAATTATTAAAGGGCCGTATAACACGTCTAATGAGGTATCGAATGCCATATGGCCTAATGTGTCAATGATGTGTATCGAGACAAATACAGTTGTTTTTTATGTCAAGCGCGCAAGCGAGTAACGAGAAAGCTAAAAAAATACGTCGTTATGATCTTCTAAAATGTCTTCATTTGCAGATGTTCGACACAAATAATCTGGTGAATCACCCAAGCATCAAGATCTGTCTGTGAAAAATAAAAAAAAAACGAGGAAACGTTTTCAAATCAAAAGTGCGCCAGAAAGATGCCTGACGTCCGCGTGTTCAACGATGGGCCAGCACTTGGCTAGTCTCAGGATGGACAGCAGCACAACGGGCACTGGTAGTTGTTGCAGCGGAGGCGGTGACAGGCAGCGTGAACCAGTGGAAGCTAGCCTGGAAAATAACGGAAACGTAGTGCTTGTCGTGCCGGTCGTAGCGGTGCCCAAACTGGGGAATCTCGACAACGAGCAGCAACAATTGAATTTCGATTTTGATAATCACAACTCGAGATTCGAGTCGCTTTACAGCCAACCGATCGATGCCGGCCAATGTAATGGTAATTTCATCGATCAACAGCAGCCACAGCAGTTGCAATTGGAGGTTTATAACAAAGCGCAAGAGGCTTGTTGTAACTCCAGCGGTAGCAATGCCAGTAGTAGCTCCGAGGACAGTCCTGTCAATCCTGTGCTGAGGAGGTCTTCCAAGACTCTTTCGTTCGGCAAACGAAAAGGTGAGAGATTTCGTTTTTTTTCAACTTTGCTTCTGCTGTATCGTTTAACGAGAGCCCTTCAATTGATGACGCATCGTTTAAATGCATGAATGTTTCATTCTATAATGAGGAAAATATCTCTACGTTTATTAGGCTTCATTATAATCACAACAGGCTGCTGCTGCTGCTGCGTAGGCTTTTGATAGTGAAATTAAATTCAATTTGACATTATATAATGTGATTTTAGAGGGATTGCGAGAATATTTTTTTATATAACTTTCCTGATGATTTTATAATTATTTTTCAAGTTTAGTTTTGTGATGATTACTTGTGATCTAACAAAGTATTTAATTATTCGCAATGGAGATTCGAAACAATAAAAACTTTCAAAATTTCGTCGCTAATTAATTATATTTATTGAAAAAAATAACAAAAAATCGTCCCTTTTTATTCACAGTCAACAAGCAATTAGCAAAGAGCCAAAATCCAACAACGTGCAACCACGTGCTATCGTCAAAGAAGAAACGTAACAATTGGGTACTGAAGCTCAGTTGTGCGAAAAGTAAAGCGTCGAAAAACACTGACATACCAGGTGGTCAAGCTAACGGTGCGTCGGAGTGCGTGTGCACGGGTTATCGTAGAACCGAGGAACATCCTATGGGTGCGGGCACAGTATTCAATACGAGCAAATCAGCACCGCAAAGTCCTGTTTTGGGACCTTTGCCACCGAGTCCGGTCATCGATCTTTCACGCTTCAATCCTGAGGAGTTTCCGATGGAGGTGAGTCTCACACGAATCGCGCACATATAGAGAATTCTTGTTGAGTCATACGTGCGTGATAAAACATCTAAATTTTTTGTTGTTGAACGTGAGAACGTAAGCGAATGAAAATTAAAGTAAGATATAACAGTTTTGATTTCGGTATTTTGATTGTCGTTGCAGTGCTTTTTTTTAACCATTGGATTATTATTTACTCCATGGACAAAATGTCGTTATATTAGTTTAAGCAATCTAAATTCATATTTGTCAGATATTAGTTTTTTGCCACTCATCTAATGTTCAATTTTTCATTCCCTTGCTAAAAATAAATTGCCGATTGCAAACGCGCGTGCTCTCAATTGAAAAATATAAATTATCAATGAAAAGACACAGCTGCCTCCTCTTTTTCTCTCACTCTTTCCCTCTCTCTTATGATATGATAATAAATTTGAAATAAGCGCTGTACCGTATTATTATTATTTTTCGAAGATTCTATTGTTGAGGAAAAGAGGAAGCAACTACACACAAACTGATACCTCTTCGTTTTTTTTTTAATTTGCATCACTTTAAAAAAGTCCGTATATGACATCAGCCTAGACATACTTGTCCGTTCGTGTTCATTGCTTGCTCTCGTGACTCACAGGAAATTGCTGTCTGTGTCTTTTTATTTCTTCCCTTTTTTCATATGCGCGGAATGGTTAATTTTTCGGTGCTTAAATGCGAGGATAATAAAAGCTGAGGAAGTGTGGCAAAAAGAAAATCATTTTTTGGAAGGGTAATGGATGAGTATCCCATCCCATCTCATTATAAAAAAGTCATGACCGGATGTTGTGAAGCCAAGATAAACGCCGCTATCTGATTGGCTCATATAGTGCGCATGTTTCTATTGGAATTGAACCTAATCCAACCTAATCTAATTAAAAAATGGTTTATCAAAATTATGCTAATTTCTGTTTTGATTTAAATATAAATATATAATATCATTTGAGTATTTTAATTCAAATTATTTGCATGCACGTGTATTATATTTTATTTAAAAAATTAATTTTTTCATTAATAAATTTTGAGAAAAATGCTATTTCCTCGGAAAGTAGAAAATTTATAAGGTTTATAACCCTCTGCATTGATTGTAATCTTTGACAAAAGTTCTAAAAATTGTCAGAAAGCCAGAGGTGTTGTTCGCTTAGAAAAAATGGAGTTGACGCATCTTTTTCGTATAACTTTATATTGTGAAGACGTATTTTCTTTCACTTTCAAATATAGATAGTTTCCAGTTAAATTAGCCTTTGCAATTACAAAACATCAAGTGCAAGATCAAACTTTCGACAAAATTGGTATAGACTTACCAAGAAATGTTTTGAATCAGAAACAGTCTTAATTAGCTGTTTCAGATACGATCTTGGGATCCCCTCATAATTTATCTTGGTGATCATCGAATAGAAAATACAAGTGTCAAAAGTTATTTTTATAATGAGCTATATTCTTGATTATTACATTATTTTAATTTATTCTATTAATATTTTGCAAACGTAAACTTTCTTTCACTAACGAAATATTTCATAGCATCAATTAAATAATAAATCAATAATTATGAATCGTGTTTAATTTTATTAACTTGATTATGGAAAATTAAAATGTAGATTGGTGTGCGCAAAGCGCGTTGTTCAAATTCTATAGTTATAATATTTTAGATTGATGTTAGTTTTTAAAATTGAGTTCTAATTACTGTTTAGGTATATACTTTTACATGCTATAATTGTTATTATACGCTAGTAAAAAATGAAAAAAGTTAATTGCTCCTTACCATTGTCAAAAGATTACTTGAAATATACAAAATTAGCTTCGTAATTTTTTTTTTATATATTTTTTTTATATCTTCGTAATTATAATAATAATTACCTCATAAGCTTAACTAAAAAATCAAACCTTATTGTTAAACAATCCTTGAGCTTATAATATTTGAGTTTTTAATATATATTTGTTTCTGTTCGCAGGATTGCGACGCGCGAGCGCGTCTTCAACGTGCACGCGAGATGGAAGAAGGTGTAGAACCACCACCAGGTTATCGACCGAACTGCCAACCAGCATCAGGTATACAAGTCCACCCAAATGGTATTACCGTTGACAGTCTTGCTGCACTTTTCCAAGCACATGCTGGTATACAAGCTGCTGCGCTCACCGCCCTCTCGCAGATTGATTCGACGCTTATTTCCAATATCTATAGACCTATTCATACTCAGGTATGTTGAGAATTATAAACTCAGATATTGCGAATAATACTTTTTACCAACCGTATTATTTAAGATATTTTGTAAACAGAACAAAAAAAACATCTGCTTTTTACTATACTTATAATAACTCGTTGATCTACGTCGTTGTATAATCGTTGTAAACATTACTTTTAAAATGGTTTAAGTGCAAAGTTTTTATTCACTTTTTTGCTTCAAAGCCGTAAAGTTTCTCACAAAACGCTTTGCGCTCGAAGGACGAAAATTACAAAACATTGTTGAACAATGCACCTCTCAAAGTCAAATATTTCTAGCGAAAAATGATTTATTCAAGTGAATTTCGAAATCATATAGTTGAAAAATTCAAATTCCAACGATGTATCTTTCGAGAAAATCGTGCAATTTATTCGTTGTGATATTGATATAGTGATCTTCGAAACGATAATATCACCCATACTTGTAGACGATACAGCAAATACTTTCTTCTCCTTGTCAACAGAAATCATTTATAACTTCTCGGATAAAATTGCAGTTGCGTTACCATTTATCTTATGACTCACTATACGCCGCTCTTTCATCATCATGTGTTCAATGACACATTTGTCCTTGGATGAAAACTGAAATTCCTTTTTTTTTACAGGTCGACTATGTACATTGCTTGGTACCAGATCTTCAAGCGATAACTGCATGTTCGTTTTATTGGGGCAAGATGGACCGTTACGAAGCTGAACGTTTACTCGAAGGTAAACAAGAAGGTACTTTTCTACTTCGTGATTCAGCGCAAGAAGAATTTCTCTTTTCGGTAAGCTTCCGCAAGTATGACAGATCGTTGCACGCAAGGATCGAACAGTGGAATCACAAGTTTAGCTTCGACTCTCATGATCCTGGTGTTTACGCGTCAGAAACGGTAGGCATCTATTTTTTTATTAATAAACTGATTTTGCAATTGGGCTCATTATCACGATGATATTAGAGTACTTAATTATTACTGATAAGAGTATTTTAAATTGATTACGTTATTTGGTAAATATGTTTGTTGTTTTTGTCATTGGATTTTCGCTATCATTTGCAACACGTGGATTAGGTTGACAAACTTATTTTTTCGTTTGTGAAAAGAGAATTTACTCAATCACAACTTTGCTTTGTTTTTAGTTTTTTCTTTCAAATTATACTTTCAATCAGGTATTTAAATAACTCATCATATTTTAAATGCAAATGACCGTGAAGTGCTTAAAAGTATTATTTCCTAAAATTGTATAACATTATGGTTAAATATACTAACAGGCACTAATAAAACGATATATGCTTGCAATCTTATACATTCAATGTCTATTTCAAAAGTTACATTGAACTTACGATAACTAGTAACAATAAAAGCTATTTTACGCTATGATTTCAATCGATTGACCAATATTTCCTTAAATAAAATGTTTAAATCTGAAAGGCGAAACTGCTTGCAAAATTAATCAAATGACGTATCCTCAGGTATGCGGTTTGATCGAGCACTACAAGGATCCATCTTGTTGTATGTTTTTTGAACCGCTGCTGACGATCCCATTGCATCGGAATTTCGCTTTCCCATTACAACACTTGTGCCGTGCAGTAATAACAAGTCGATGTACATACGACGGCATCAACAAACTTCAGCTACCCAAGACTTTAAAAACATACCTAAAGGAGTACCATTACAAACAACGCGTGCGCATCAGGAGGCTCGACATCGAGAGCGATTTACAAAGTGCCGACGGCAAATCCATATCATATCTGCCACTCATGTGAATCTAACGTTAACATATTTCTATTTGCCTGAGTATCCGTTTTGTTGGATGAATTTATTATATATCGCCGAAAAGAAACGACGTTTTTCTTCGGAATCGTCGGAAAATCACAAATGAATTAGTGTTTTACAAAACAGATACTCATGCTTCATTTGTATAACCCGTCGAAGGAAGCATTTTTTTTATTCGTGTCTATCGGCAATTTTGAACTCGCTCATACGTAAATGCGATTGTGTGAGTATGTTCACGTTGCGATATATTTTTGTTCATAAATATTTTACAACTGTAAAACAAAAATATGAGAAGAGTACACAATACGTATCTATGTACGAGTGAAGAGAATACTTATGCTTGGTCGACGGAGCATACAATAATAAATATACGCAAGTTTGTTTCCATATTTATCTTACATTGCAATATCAAGGTACATTACTATAATAGAAAGACTTATAAGTGCTTAATAATGGAAACTAGTTAATAGTATTCAAAGACAAAATTAGTCTAATTTTTAACAGGACAGTACAGGGAAGTGCGAGCTGGTGAATAGTTCTTTTGACTTTGATTTTTTTAACAGAAATTTTAAAAGAATATCGTAGCAAATTACACTTAGGAAGAAACTAATATATAAAGAGTCTATTTCAACTTGGCTAGAAAGATTTCACAAAGGTAGATTAGAGTCAGTGGAAAATGTTACGGACAACAGTCTTGTTCTTGTCTTCGAAGTGGACATGTTTTGGATACCTTGCCTTTGACTTTGGAAAATGATTTTAGAATTTTATTATTATTAAAATAAATTTAATGATAATTGTTGACCGTAATTGAGTTACAAATGTTATAGTAGTGAATTGAAATATTTACAAACTGAAATTATTATAACTTATATACCAATTTGCAATACTTTGTACTGTATTTTCAATATTTTTTATTGATTTTTCAATACTGTGTTGAAAAAAAGTTTCAATACAAAGTATTAAATTTGCAACTGCAGCTTTTTTACAGTGTATTGCATGTACTGACGCTTAATGGCCTGTCATAAAAGACGGAACGAGTATGGATTTCCCCAATTTGAGCACTATTATTTTCCGCACGGAGCGTTAGAAAACGCAATTAGCATGGGGATGAAATGCGGAAAAATCTATAGGGTTTCTCAAAGAAATATTATTAAGAAATATTTCTCAAGAAATAATTATTCATTTCGTAACTACTAATTTAAAAGTTTTTCATATTTTTTTACAAACGAGGGAGGGCACCAGCCGAAACTTCCTTTCCTTCTCTTCCTGCTCACATAAACCTACTACACTCGAAATTCCCGCACTTGTGTGAAAAAATAGTGTACGTAACTTGTGCGTGAAGTATGTGATTGTCGCTCGGGTGACAAACTTCGCCCGTGCGGGAATCATCTACTTCTCGCACGCGTTACGTAATGTACTATTACATGCAACATTTTTCATTAACCCTAACCACTTATGAGAAATCTTTCTGCTCAAGTTAAAGTGGAACACCCTGTTTATCATTAATTTGCAGTTTACCTACAAAATTGCAGTCATTCCGTATTCTTCAAATCTTAAATTACCTGGAATGTCCTTCAATTTCATAAAAAACTACATATCTAGTAACTATAATGAAATTTAGGATACGCTTTTATTAGAGAATTTCTACATCATGTAATATTGTTTTCTTCAATGTTTCGTACGGAAAGTACGACTTTGCTACACGCTCATTGAAAATAGTATATTACAGTACAAGTGCGGGAAAGTAGATTCTTATCTCGTGTGGCATTTACGCCCAAGCGAAGCGAGGGTGGAAAGGTACACGAGACGAGAAACTCTATCCCGAACATGTGCCGTACCGTATTTTTTGATACGACGTGTGGAAACTGCGATTTTAAACGCACGCTTTTTGCCGAGCGTGCGGGAAAAACTCACTTTCCGCACGGAGTGTCGAAAACGTATTATCAAATGCGTGCTTTCCACACATTGTTTTGAAAAATATTGTACCTGACGTGTTCGAGAAAGAATTTCTTATCTCGTGTGCTTTTCCACCCTTGCTTCGCTCGAGTGGAAATCTCACATGAGATAAGAATTTCCGTACAAGTTAGGTAATATACTAAATCACTGATGCTCGTTTAATATTTACTTTTATTCAATTGTTGATGTTATATTACGCTTTAATCTAAAGAATAATGTAAAACTTATAATATGCCGTAAAAACTGAAACTTTTTTTATATAATGAAATCTATAATATTTATAGATTATGGTTTGCTACGACATCCTATTAAAAACAGTACTATAAAGTGATTTCATTAAATACATTTTCCATAACATTTAATCCATTTTTAACGTGAAAATTTTGCGTTTTTCTTTAAATAGTTAGTTCACCAGTGCGTGCAATTTAATGATAGAAATTCACATCAATATATATGTATTCAGGAATATTTAATACTGGTTAGTTTTCAAGTAAACCATTGAATTGTGAAATACTTTACTTGATTAATAACTTATGAGATTTCATTAAAATGTATTGATTAAGTCTCTGCGAAAATAATAAAATCTGAGTGACTTACGTTTTATACCGAAGCAACGGTCTGTATACTCTGGTGACAGTGAAAGAACCGTTTATTTTGTGAGTGCTTGTTGCGCATTTAAATAATACTGATATATGATGAAACTTCCTAGAGTTTGAAGGAATTCAAATGTTGTGACTAATTCAGTACTATTTGATGTTATACGAGAAAAAAGAAATTATTTTTAAATGCAAATTATTGAGATCAATTGCTCAGATCAATTGATCAGATCGATATAAAAAATGTGATAATGTCTAGCTTTGACAATTAAATGTAACATGTTAAAATGAAATAAGAAATTTGTTCTTGATGTCTGTGAATGTTATAGAAAAAAAAGAAAATGTGAACTGTAAAAAGGTTGTAAATTTGTTCTTATTTGTATAGTTGTATTTGAAAGGAAGGCTAAAAAGATGTCAAAGAGACATATCATATATCAAACTTTTGATATCTTCCAGAATGAACGGTTCTTTTCATCGGTGAAAACATTGAGGAAAAATTAATGCAAAACTTACTCCATTAAATTGTTTTCTCGTTTAGTAATGCACTTGTAAAGTTTAAGTATTACATTTTATATCTACGTTGGATACCGTAAAAATAAGTAAATCGAAAAAAAAAACGCATTAATTATCCATAACAAGTCCCATTTTTCGCTAGTCACGCGACGACCGTTCGATTTTTTGTAACTTAACCCATGAGCGACTTTTTATTGATAAAAAATGTGTGGCATACTCATACACACGTAAATATGTAGGCAGATATTAACACACGTATATGTATTTTTTTTGTTTGCTCATGTGCAAACGCTATTCCAGTTGCGACACAGCAATATTTAGAAAATAGTTGAAAGGTCAAAAACGCTAGCGGCAGCTTTTAACAGACACAATGCGCAAAAGAATGCTACACACATGAAAAAACCAATATTCACGCCCGTCTTGTGGAAGAAATTAGCGTTATTCAAAAAACGAAAATGTGGTTCATGATTACGCAATTCCTATCGTGCCTATTTTTATTATGAATGATCATTGCGCATGAATGTTCGTGGTCCGTAAAATTGTTACGAGACCAAGGTAATTCAAATGATAATATTAGGCTGTTTGAAAACTTTGCAAATTCTTCTCTTTATTCGAATGTTCTTTTTAGACTAGTATTCATGAGTAGATGTAATCAGTTTATTTTGTTTCGTAGGTCGACCATACTTTAGAAACTTTTCTTTAAACTTGAATTTCAATGTAATTTTTTCAACAGCCTGATAGCAAGACTCCCCGGAACTCCGATTAATTATATACCCTGTAAATGTCGATTGTGTAAATATTACCGGGGTCTGCCAAATTCGTTTTTGGAATGTCGGTCGGATTAAAAATCATGAATTAGTTAAAAAGCGAGGATTTGTAGGCACTCGAGTAGCAATTTATCAAGTATTAGTTTTTAAAAATGAAACAAAAAATTACTTGGGAGTTAGTATAAGCCACGTTAATATTCTTTACAGTCAGTTTTCGTAAAACATTGGGCATTCTATTGGTTCTAAACTGTTCTTTCCACGAATTTGTTCTATTCTTTATTACTTTGTACGAAAGTTCACGTTACGACGTCAGTGCCTTGCTCATCGAACTTAGCGGATGACATATCTTTGTATCATAAAGAAAAGAAAATATTCGGCAAAATTTGTAAGTTGAAAATGAAATTTTAGGTAACTATCAATGCACTTTTTTTTGGGATTCATTTGTAATTAAATTTTATGATATTTTTTATTTTAAATATTCGATTTTTTAAAGTGTTAACGGTATTTTAATTCAATTCAATTACGTTAAAAAGATTTTTTTAAGCTGTATCTATAAGTATTAAATAAGCCATTGTTCACGATAGTTTTTAAATCGTTTAAGAACATATAAGAAATTTTTAATACAAAGTAAATTCTCCTAAAAACAGTTTACCGAGTAATTATTTCAAGTAATTTTTAGCTATACAAATAATAAACTCAAACTGACTGTACAATAATGTTTCTGTTGGTTAACCTACGACAAAAATTTTCACTAACACTCCCTGAAAATGATAGTTGCGCTGTAAAAGGAAATAGCTAAATTGTAAAAGCAATTTATCACTTATTTTTTAATATCTGTATTACGACTTACTCGATCGAACTTAGTGCAATGAAAGTTGTTTTTATTTTTTGTTGAAGAGTCTTCCGTTGTAATTTTCTACGGTAAAGGTCTCACGGATACTAAGATCGAGTAAGAGTGCAAGAGCATTGTACTGATCACTATTAGCTCATTATCGTTCGCGAATAATTAGTTTAAGAGAATTTAGAGAAGAAAAAACAAGCGTCGATGAATATCGTTTCATCGCGCGAGATTAGCCAATAAAAGTTTAAAATAAAAATTACAAATTATAAACACACGGGAAGAATTGAATCGTTAAAATTTGTTATCAATTGACGTTTTAAGTGCGTAATATTTATTCCCCCAACCCCAAGCGTATCCCTAATTTATAAGTATAATATATTTAAAAACAAAATAAAACTGTTGGGCATACGAAGGACTGAAGGTATTATTGTGAATAAATAAAGTATTATCCAGATACGTAATCTATAACTGATTTTTTTATTCAATACAACTGTTTCTGCAGCATTTATATCACGCGCGAATCCTTATTTTTTTGTAAAAAGTAACTGCAGTACGAAACTATAACTCTCCATAATGTACACAAGAACTTAAATTACATTGTGATAGTACATTAAAAAATAAGGAAGAATTAGAGGAAATGACAAAATATTAAAAGGCGTCGAGGGACGTATTCATAATAGGTCGTAGCTCCTGTTGGGCATAGTCCTCGGGCAGAGGTAGTTTGTTAATCAAATAGATCAACAATTCGTTCGCGTTGTTTTCTCCAGGTTGCAGTAACAGTACACTCCTTGCCAACTGTAATGTCCTCTTAGCCATTTCTGCTTGGCATAATACGTGCTTGATTGTAGGACATGGGAATGTGTCAATTTTTGTGCATAGTGACGTTAGCTCCGGTTGCAGTAACTCGAGCTTGTAACTTAAATTCGTGACATTTTTCTCGTCCAAAATAGACTTTATTTCCGCAGTAACAGTCATATAATCCCACAATAGTTGACCTTGATTTGACCATCCGCTAATAACATTGCAACCTTCGGACGTTGTAAGTAAACTCAGCAGACCCTTAAGATATTCATGGTCTTCGTTGATGATAGCATCAGCAGCCAGATGTTCAAAAATGATATCATGCGCAATGTTCCAATTTTTCGAATGAATGAAATACCAAGCAGCCTCGTTATACCTCTTGTCAGCAGAGGCTTTGATTCCTTTAGCTTCACAGATCCAAGTTGCCGGTATTTTGAGTTTGTCTTTCAAGAAAGTCTCTCGTTCGACGTAATCCTTGGTCTTGTCCAGCTGCACGTGTCTCAGTAGCAAATCATTCACAGCCTTTCTTCGCTGTTCCGCGTCATTGAAATGTAACACAACGAAGATGGCCCAATGCCACAGATCGTAGGTTTCCAACTGAGCGGCAAAATTGGAGTGAATCAATGCCTTCACATGGTTTGACAGATATGTATAACCTAACGAACTCAGTTCTTGTTGTAACAGCCAACTTAGGCGATAATCAAGTGGGTCGTAAGTATATGACTGCGGGTTAAGGATCGTCTCTAGTGGATAATTTCCGGTACAGTACAACTTGAGCAACAAAAAACAAAGGTCGTACATGGCTTTACCACTGCTTAATTCCGTCTCGAAGTCACTCTTGAAGTACTCTGGTCGCGGCGGAAGTGAATAAGCCGAGTCATCGGAGAAGGAACTTTCATAAGTTTCGAGTACGTCCGTGATGGATGCCGTTGAATTGCACAAATACCATAAATGCATAGCCAGTGCTCGTTTCCAATCGAGATTCTCGCATACGTTCACCGTCTCGTTCTGCACCGAGGTCACAGGTATACCGGCTGATAACATAAATAGTTTGAATCTGTTCATAGCCATGTTACTGTCAACAGCTGTATCTTGCCAAAGTTTAATCTGTTGTTTCAGTAACTCGTGAACAGGTGAACTTCCACCGAGCTGTGACATCATGACTGCAAGGCAATGATCGCCGACTTTGAGTGCTCTCTTGCAGGCGTCTTCGAGCTTATTAGCACTAAGAAGTGAAAGGATAATGTCATCGGTTGCTTCCATGCTGGATATCTCATCTTTGACTGTCTCTGCAGTGGCAAATTTGAGCCATTCACCGAGAGCTTCTTTCCTTAGCATTATCACTTCGTGATCGGCGCTGTTGATGGCATTCTGCTGTTTGCCGGGTAGCTTACCCCAAAGAGACTCGCTGAGTTTCCAAACGACGCAGAAGTAGTTCAACGTCGAATCAGTCTCGAAAAATTTGGCGACTCTTAATGACTCATTAGCGTGTTCGTGAAGTGCTGACACGCTAGACTCACCTGAGACTGCAACGGCCAATGGACAGACTGGATGATCCTCGATTTTCGAGTAGTTCAATTGGATGTCCAAATGACCTTCCATGCTGGCTTTGAAGATTTGAATGTAATCAGCTTCGAGAGGACTACTACTCAGTACCTGTAGACGATTCACACAGTTCGACGCATAAACCTCGTCAAAGTAATTGTCGGTCATGAATGTGTCTTGACCATCTATTGTTTTTTGCAAAGTATTCGTGCTTCGCTTGATGTCGATGGACAACAACGTCATCTCCGGACCCCAGCTCGGTCGAAAAATTTTGCCTCTCTCTATACCCATATCGGCAATGTATTCGTGACGATTCCTGATTATAGACGACCGACTGAACAACACATCGCCAGGTTTGAATCTTACTATTGCTATTTTCGGACGTATTACCGGAGGACACAAACCTTTCGGCTCCTTGGATGCTGTCGCCAAGGTCTTCATAGTTTGCACCTCCATCGGCACGATCTCAGCCATTTTCTTACTAACAGGAAGCTCATGAAGCTCTGATCTGTCCATACGAGTCATAGACGAATCGAGAAAATGCTCGATCAGATTCTCCTGCGACATCGATATGACTTTATCGGCTTCAATGATTTTACATCTCTTTCTCAGTTGATTCTGCGTTTCCTGAATAGCATCCTGCAGAAATTGATCTTCGGTCATATCGAAGAAACTGGCTTTCATCAATTGCAATGTGTGACTTTCCGTACCCAGTAGGCGAGCGTTCACTGACGTGGGGCTCCAGGTTGACGGTTGCTCGGTCATGTTGACGTCTTCACTTCTATTATGAAAATTATAAGGCATCTTGTCGAAGTTGTTGAGCGATGGCAATGGTGATGTAACATACGGCATATCCTTGGTAAACTCTACATCTCCAGGTTTCTTCACACTTTTGTCGTAACCTTTAAGTCGCATCCAGTATTGCGATTGTTTGACCGCTGGTGGCTTGGTTGCGTCAACTTTTGGTTCGTCGTCATCGGAGTCGCTCAAACCGTACTTAGAGAAGTGCTCTACTTTAAACACCCACGAACCAGTTTCTGGTCTGTATTCCAAGAATCTCGTTCCGTGTTTTGCTGATACTCTTCTCAGCTTCGCTTCATAATCCATCTCGATCAAACGTTCTGGATCGCTTATAGGCTCGTGAGTTGTCTTGTCGATTGGCCAAACTCGATCCAGTGTTACTTGAGCTTTACGGTTCAATCCTTGACCAACTGGGGGTTTCACATTGTCGTCCGGATATATGATGACTTCTTTGTATCTGAAATGGACTATTTCATCCAAATTTAAACCATAAACGTCGAACGAATCCGGAAAATGAACGTTCCCGTAACCTTTGCGGCCCACTGTGAAGTGTGGCACTACGCAAGTATTATCCTTTACGTATTTGCCTAACTCATCTAGCGCTGGTATTGTGTAGTAACCGTAACGTTGGAGCTTGATGTTTGCTTCGTTGGTTATTGGTTGATCGCCTCCTTGAACAGCTGTTTCCTCCATTTCAGAAGACATTCTGTTGTCATGCATGAGACTCAATTCCAAGTTACTTCTATCCCCTGACAAATCTGAATCTAGGATTTCCTTCGAGAGGGTTTCATTAGTGACTGCAGTCTGATTGGAATGTGTCGGCGATCGTAATTCGACTACTGTGTTTTCTAATTCCTCAGTCGTTCCTCCAGGTGACTTGGGCGTTGCTGATGACATTTGCGGTGAGTTTGATTCTTCAACGACCTTTGGTTGTCGAGGAAGACTAGATTTCAACCATGAATTCGAAGACAATCTATCGTTCGCTTGCCTGCTACTTGAATCTTGAATTTCATTCTCTTTGTCGGTAATCTTGGAGACTGACTCATTCAAATCGTGAGTTCTTTCGGATGGTACAACTTTGTCGCTCAACTCAGTCAGATTGTTCACTTTAGGTCGCAAAACCAAACGTTTGGCATTGGGGCGAGGTTGAAACGCTTCTACCAGTGGATCTTCTTCGTCTAGACCATCAAAAAGAGATTTCTTTGATAAAGGAACTGCAGCAACATACTTTGGTTTGAGTTTTGAACCACTGCCATTTGTTGAAACCTTGTACTGAGGACGGACAATTCCTTTGGGTATAGAATTCGATGGTTTTGTAATTTGCTCGCTTTTTCCAGAAGCAGGCAAGAGATTTTTAAGTAGTGGTGAATCGCCAAATGGTGCTGATACAAGTGCTAAGATCTGCTGATGTACAGGAATTGAGCCAGTGTTTTGTTGAGGAGCAGCAGTTCCAAGTCCTTGTCCAAACATATTTGTACCAAGCGTTGACATGTTGTTAGTAGCTGTACCGAACGCAGATAATCCAGTGCCAAATCCGCCTGCAGTATTAAAAGTCGAGCCGGTACCAGTAGCATTGAAAAGACTCGGTTTTGAGGTAGCAGAAAACAAAGACGTTCCTGTTGCTCCGAGGCCTGTAGAGGCTGCAGGTGTGCTACCAAACGAAAATCCAGTCGTTTGACCTGCAGGTTTGAAACTATTATTGAACAACGATGTATTTGTATTTTGCGGGGCACCAAATGGAGTAGCTGCTGTTTGCCCGAATGCTGGAGTTGAAGTTGTACCAAAACCTGTAGTTCCAAAGCTAGTTCCCATGGATTTAGCGCCGAACATGCCTCCAGTATTCGTTTGAGATGTTTGACCAAATCCAAAAGATGTCGTAGCCGTTGATGCCGGCACGTTGAACGTCGTTTTATTCTGATTGAACAAACCTATACTTTGATTCGGTTGTTGTGTCGTTCCAAATGAAGTCCCAAAGCCAGTATTTTGCGTACCAATACCTCCAAAAGTAGTATTTTGGGTAGTTGCTGTGTTACTTGTAGAAAATAGTGGCGTTGCAGCAGTAGTTCCAAATGGTTTTGCTTGCGTATTGAAAATGTTGGTTGTGGTATTATTGGTATTGCTAAAAGCAAAAGCGCTAGTTGTAGTAGCAGGGGCACCAAAACCTGTCAATGACTTTGAAAATAGACTTGTGGTTCCAGCTTGACTTGTTGTACCAAAACCAGTAGTCATTCCTCCGAAACCAGTGTTAGTGGAACCAGTGTTAGATACTACACCACCAAATGGAGATGTCTGAGCTGTAGCTCCAAACATACCCGGTGGCTGTCCTTTACGTCCAGCTGTATAATCTTCAAGACGCAACTCTTCCAATGATTTTGTTTCATATTCTTTCATACATGAGATACAGTGATGTTTTGTATTAATGGTCTGTGTAACTCCATTTTTAACCATGGTATCTGTTCCAGTTATAGGTGCGAATTTGACAACAGTACCAGTCACAGCAGTTGTGTTACCAAAACCTGTTGTAGTGCCAAATAAAGCAGTGCTTGCAGTATTTGTAGTTTGTCCAAATGGGGTTGCTTGAGCAGGTTGCTGTGGTTGTCCAAAGAGACTAGATCCAGTGTTCTGTCCAAATCCAAATGATACTAATTTGCTTTGTTGTCCAAAGGCTGTTGAGGTATTTGTAGTTCCAAAAATATTTGTGTTTGCATTTTGCTGTTGACCAAACATAGTTTGAGCTGGAGCCGTAGTTCCAAAGCCAAAAGTTGACTGAGCTGCTGTGCTTGGGGCACCAAATGCTGATGTGGTTGTTGTTTGGCCAAATAAGCTTCCAGAGGTTGAGCCAGCTGGTTTATTAAAAAGTGATGTGTTACTGCCAAAGACCGGTGGAGCATTGGTACCACCAAAAGTAGTCGCAATGGTTTTCCCAAAGGCTGATTGTCCAAATGGACTGCTCTGTGCTGTGGCGTTGAAACCAAAAGAATTATTTCCTGATTGTCCAAACATCTTGTGTTTGTCTCTAATTTCAAGCTAGTACACCTTAAAATTTGATTTTGGACCACCAAGTTCAATTGTAATCTTCACACTGTGTATAGTTCCTGAAACAATATTAATTCATAAGATGATTATACTTAAAGAATAGATATTTATATGTCTGAATTTTCTATACGTGCCTACTATCAGTTTTCAATGAATAAAGTAGATGTGGCTGGTAGCACAACTTTATAGTTGAAATAAAAAAACAGTAGAAAAAGAGTTATGAAGAATATATCTGTAAACCACAAATTAAGGAAAGACACTGTCAGAGTTTACAATTTAGATAACATGCATTGTGCACATGTAATGAAATATAATTTAATGTTTAAAAGGATACTGATAAAATTTCTCTCCCACTTTTCTACCATGTAAAGTTCAGTGGCCAGCAAGTACCGGAAATACCAGTATTGAAGGAAAGCGTAAATTTTGTCAACAAACTTCATAATAAACATCCTTTACACCTGCAAACGATAAGCGTAGTCAATGAAACGTTATCAGATACGCAGGTCAAGTGTTTGCTGCCCCACAGATTGACTGCCTTGAAAATTCCGAGGAACTAATACAAAATAAACTTTAAGGCGCGAGAGCTAACGGCTATACGATAACTACCGTAGGCAGGCCTGGCACGGTCGCTAATATAATTTCTCCGACAAGAAATATAGACAACTGATACTAAAAATGACTAACCTCAAAACATTTTAAACGTAGCTCTTTATTTTCATCAACAACAATGCTTCGTCGTACGGCTCTCACAATGGTCGTCGAACTTGACAATGTGAACTGCTTAAAATTAAGTAAAAAAACGTTAAAAATCAACGAGACGTCAACTATCTACGATGATAACACGCAACCAGACGCAACACAACGAAATCGACTACGATGTCGCGCTTTAAGTTTCTCACGAGCGACACTCAATGCAATATGGCGCCTTTTCTGTTTCTGCGCCTTTGACGAACGGCATTACCGCAACCCGTAACCGCATTATTGCCCTGTTGCTTGCTTCGCGCATGAGCTAGATGGCGCTTGCTTACGTCTGAACGCTGACGTCACGTTGTCTTTGTTTACAAAATGAGGAAATGAAATTTGGAGCGAAGTCCGTCGGCACTCGCGTTTCGATACCACCGTATTTTTTTTGTTTTTCAATTACAATCATAAATATTACAAAAATGACATGAGCGTAAATGGAATGTTAGATTTATTTTTCTTTCGTAGTTACTTGGATAAATAAGGTTTGATTGGATGCGCCCATTGCAACGTCTTTTAAATCTTTCGTTGATTTATTATTTGTGCAGAAAGAAATTGCATCGACACTGACGCTTGATCGATATAAGATTTGTCATATGAGCGCACGACACTCGTCGTTCGTGATGAAAACGCGGGTCAAGATGCATTCTAAACGATAAGAGGTGGCTTGTCGTTGATCTTCGCGAAAGGCAATGGATCGCAGAACGCCTTGCTCAAGCGGCATTGTCGAATAGCAGCCTCGTCGATCGGCACTAATAGTCGATTCTTGGTCTCTTCGCACGTCGACTCGACTGCAAGAAGAGAAATGTAATTGAGGCACCAGTCGACGCCGACCTTAGTCACAGCCGATCTGCAACTTGCCACGTGCGTAGTCGATTTGATAGGTGCTTCGCGATTGGCTTCTGTCGACGGTAATTGGTTCGCAGGTGAGAGATTCGCTCAGCAGCATAAATTTCCGACGACTCATCAGGACGCAGTCGTCGTCGTCGTCGTCGTCGTCGTCGAACCTCGCGGGTTTGCTTTTGAAAAAGAGTAGGGCTTGGCGTGAAAAGACGAGCGCACGAGGTGGAACTCGAGCGAACAATCACCAGTCATCCAGCCGCTCGTGGTGTTCTTGATCGTCGTGTTGCTTGCAGCGATCCGCGTAAACTGTCGGACAGAAGACGCGCACGTCCGTTTTCAAGGGCGGCAGTGCTGGCTTCTCGAGCACCGGCACAACTCGCGGCCAGCCGAAGTCTTCTCGATGGCGAGACATTGGCTGCGAGCTTGTCGTACCGGTCTGTCGAGAAGCACAATTCAGCTTGAAACCTCGTGCGGGAGCGGCTATTGGGAAACACTCACTTGACCAATTGTCAGGAAGTGACGTATTCGTCAGCCGAATCGTCCTGGTCCTCGTTGAACTCCTTGACCGGGCACCGTGCTCGCTTGTTGTTGGAATGATAGAGAAAACAATCAGCCTTCGACAGCACCCAGAATATCGAGCTCTTGATGAACAGGATGAAAGCCACGGCTATTCTGTAGAGTATGTAGTGCAGCACCGCGTTCAGAAATGTCAAGCCGATGTTCAACGCTATCGACTGGTTGGACGTCAGCATAATGTTGCTCGAGCACGAGTCTTTGCTGTAGCTCAGCACCGACGATAGAAGCAGGTGAATTATGGGGTAATCGTTACTTAGAATTTGGTACATGGAGCAATTCTGGCGATCCGCGATCCAACGCCGATCGTCACTGGAACTCGAGAACTTTTTCACAGCATGACGCGACGACAGAATGAATTATTCGCTTGATTGCTTGCTTGCACGGGAATTTTTCGTTCGTAGAGCTTTGAAGTTGGTTGTGATTCTAGGGCGTCGTTGTTGCTTTATTGGAATTCGGTCGTCGCTCCAATCGCGTCAGGCGTGAAGGTAGCTTTCCGCGATAATTTGAAATCAATTTTTGTTCGAAAATTCGGAATTTCAAGAATAGCAGCAATTCGCCGGAACGATAAACGAAATAAACTACGAGAAAACCTGAACGCTACTCACTCTTTATTACTCAACAGACAAGAAAAGAAAGACGAACAAGACAAAAGGATTCACACTGACATGACCGACGACTCGCTCATCTTGCGGCCAGGCGAGGCAACCCTCTGCTGCTGCTGCTGCTGCTGCTGCTGTTGCTGTTGCTGTTGCTGCTGTTGTTCTTGTCCGGCGCTGCGTTGTTCGGCGAAAGATTTGCTCTTGAGCTTTGGCCCGGGCGCCGTATGCGAGTGCACGAACCGTGCATTGGGTGCCGACATTCTCATGCGAACCTCTTGATCCTGCGAGCAAATGCGTCGCTGAGTGCGACCATTTAGCGTTGTGAAGATCGGTCGGACCACTTGCTCGGCACAGCCGCAGTTCAATCGCGTTATCGTGGTCATCGTGCCGCACTGTTCCAAGCCCTGAAAAAATATTCAGCGGTTAACGATTTCGAATCAGCAGGAAAATCACTGGCGCGTACTCACGTCAAAGATATTGGCATTGGCGCGATCGCCAGAGTAAGCGTTTTCGTGATGGGGTGTCTGCCGAGCCGTCGACGTCGGTTTGCCCAAATTGTGCTGGTCGCCGATCAGCCTTTTGATCTCTTGCGAGTAATACTCCTCGGCCATTTCGCGGCGGCGTTGCAATTCTCGGAGTGCTCGCAACTTTTGCCCGTTGTGCGGATCGTTGGTCGTGTCGTAGATCTCTACGAGGCGAATCGAAAAATTACGGCCCGTCTAACCTAACGACCACTGTGACTACTTTTTTTCACCGCGTAATCCTGCGCTCGTCGCTGCGCGTGACTCGATCGTAAAACGTCGTCGTAGTTATCAGCGTGATAAGCTGGCACGCGTTTGTTGGTTGGGTATCTGGTGTACAGGATGTCTTGCAAGAATTTTTCATGCTTCATGTCGGCTGCTACGTCGCGATACCGATTATCGGTCTCCTTAACAGATTGCCAAATCCGCGTGTGACTTGCCTCGAGTGTTTAAAAGTCTGCAAACTCACCAAGTTGCCGTCGAGATTAGCGCTCGTATCGCCGACCGACGCAGAGTCGTTAGAATCTCTATCATCGCTGTTTTTAAACTCATTGTCGGTAGGCAAATCGGCCGCGTAAGTACGCGGATCCGACACGTATCTAGAATCGTACGCGGCTTGATCTCCGATGTCCTTCGCTGCCGCTGGCGAGGTTGGATAATAGTTCACGGGCTTTCGAAATTTTTCAGAACGCGCGTTCAGTCTGTAAATGATCCGTTCTTCGTTACTTAACCTCGCTTTCGTCCGCAAGCTCCACCTTGCCGCGCATGACTCGCCTATTTTGCATCGAAATACCGTGATTACGAGCGCGCGTAGTCATTGTTCCCCTTTCTCTCGGGTTGCCTCACGTTATCGACATCGTTAGACTGCGTTTGTTGGTATTTTCTGTTTTTTTTCTTTTTGTAACGATACGCTTTCGAAATTGGAGGTTGAGTTCGGCGTGCCTCCGCGGAAAAACAAAAACAAGCGCGCGAATAATTCTGCGAACGAAAAATGTGCGTGCGAAAGTTTTATTGATTTGTTTCAGCGATACATCTAACAAATGCCAAAAATAATTATCCGAAGGTCAGTAAATATTGTTTCTCGCATTCCTTCCTATCGGCATTCTTGGTCATAGCTCTGCATTTCTTTTTCGCTTTCACCCTAACGTCTCTCATGATGTCGAGTCCGGTGCTGCTTATTATTTCTCGATACTCGCTGGTCCACTTGGGGATACACTTGCGTTTGTACTGCGGTTGACAAGCGTCGTCGAATTGCGGCTTTTTGCGCTTCGGTATGTACGGTCTGGTACACGGTGGTCCCGGTGCGCAATAGCCTGGTCCGTAAACCATTCGAAGCAGTTGCTTGCGAGATACGTGTTTGCTCTTGCACTCGGGCTCCGCTGGCGGTGCGTCGTCCAGCGGGCAGAGGTCGGGACTCCATTCCGCCGCTGCTGGTTCGTCTTCTAGACGGGGATTCAAAGACTCTTGGCGAACATCTCTCTTTTACGCTTGAAAATAAATCAAGTTCTGCACTCACTGATACGATCGAAATCAGCTTGATAAGTGCTCGTTAATCTATCCTTATTGAATTGCATTATAACGTCGGTCACCGGTTTCTTGCGCATCACGCTCAACAAATTCGGATTGTCCTCTAGCAGCTGCAAATGAACAACGGAACGCGCGATCACTGAAGCGCGACATCAGTTTCAATTTGGTCGCACTCGGTCGAATTAAATCGGGCGCGGCGTTATTTTAATTGGAAAACGTTGAGCAGAATCGCGCTCCGCCGACGATTTACGACTTAGCGCGCGCGTGATTAATGCGCTCGGGATGACGAACCTTCTTCAAGCAAGCGTCCTCCTCGCTGTACTCTAGTCGCTCGGTCTTGGGGCACGGCCCGATTTTGCCGAGCTTCGGGGCATCTTCGTTGACGTCGCCGTATCTCTGCGGCCCGCATTTCAGCTGTAACGCCGCCGCCTCCTCCGCGCTCATCGGCACCGCGAGCTTGCACCTCAAGTCCGTGCGCTCGAACGGCGGCTTGAGGCGCGGCCAGCGATAATCTTTCCGATACAACGACAGGAATTCCGCCATGCCTGCCGAGCTACTTCAAGTCTGGCCGGTGCGCTCCGAGGGGCCAGTCGCGCGATCCATACCGAGAGACTTGCAATTTATCGGCAACGCCAAATGGACGAGGTTATCGGCTTTGGACGAGCCTGGCAAGTCAGATGCGGCTCGCGTACAGGTTAGTTGGTTTTTTTGTTTCTTCGAGATTTACGTTACGCGCGATGATGGGCGACGACGCGCGCGCGCAAGACTCGTCGGCGAAAAGGAGCTAGGCCGACACGACGCTGGCTGGCGCGCGCGTGACTATGGAAGAAACCGATCTGTGTACGGCGCGCGAAGCTTTTCAAACAGTCCAAAATTAACGAGAACGAACAGGAGCGACGAGTGACGCGCTTGCTACTGTGCTCTGCTCTTCTCGCAAGGTCGCGCTCTCGACGCGTCTGCACTTTCTTGCCAGAATCATTTCCCAAATTTTATCCCTTTCAATTTTTCGACGTTCAGTCTACGCTTCGATTCGCGAACGGTGTTTATTTATACGCTATATCAAATAGCAGCATTATCGCCGTTGCAGTTCGCGATTCGCAATTTGGCAAGATCCGTTATTTCGTAGGTCAGAGCGTCGATATATTACTTCTCAAGAACGGCGCCTTTATTTACACCTTCTAGCTTAAAGAGTTAACAAATTATCACTGCGTGGAATTAAGAGATATCGCTTTTCTCATAAACAATCTTGAAATACGACGATACATTTGTCTCCGCGCGAAGTGCATCATCGCGTACATCGTCGACATTGTATTCCGCTTGTCGAACACTTGTCGAATGTCCGATAGACTGATTATCAGAATTGCTCTCGCATTTTCTCACTGGCTGTCTTCCAAAGCTCACGCGAAGCGTATAACGAGCCTACGGCTTTGCGCTCCGGGTGGTCGGCTTTTCGAACTGCGCCAAGTTTTCTGTGTTTCCGATGTTGGTTGGCTCGGGGTGTTTGGATACGATCTATCTTGTTATCATAATTATAATTTTATTGCAAACATTTTATTTTTATTTATTTAATTAGTTTTTTTTATGTAGGAAAGCGGGGTTGTCAATGTCCGATCAAACATTTTATTCCATATGAACGTTTAGCCACTTCCAAAGCTCCTTCGTTTCAGAATGCAATTTTTTAACATTCTGCGAATGTGCGAATATCGAAACCGCGCGGCAGCGTAAAGTCGTTCGAAATAAAACCAAACCGATTGTGTCCAAGCTGTTTTCACGGTAAAAAAATCACATCGAAATCTTCGCGACCAAGAAAAGCCGAAGTTTATATTTCTCTAAAAAGAAATCTTTGTTATTTTATCGTCACACATCTAACAAAAGAAAATTGGTTTTCCACAGCGGTCGCTTGTAGAGAATAAAAAGATACGCCTAATATGCGTTCAATTGATCGCGCAAACAATTCTCTACCTTTTCTTTCTATTTACCCGCTCACACACGGGTCCAGGCTGTTAAAGTTTAAAAACTGTGCTAAAGAGCACTAAAAAGAGTCCGCGCCGCTTTATGACTACCGTGACTCGACTGCCACGTGCGAAAACCGATGTACGCTACGCAACTGTCGATTTTACAGTGGGGTTATGCCAGTGTTTTTAGCGAGTTATATTTCTCGCTTCCGGGCATACTATTGTTTATAGATAGGCTTCCACGATTCTGCCAAGAGTTTTTGTTGCACAGTGTTTTATTGTTCTAACGATTTTTTGAACTTATTTTTGAATTTTCGATTCGCGACTGGTTACTTATTCACTTAGCGCGAAAGATTTACTTCTAGTGTAATTGATTTGTTTCGCACGCTCAAGTCGTGCGTATAAAACAATTTGATTAATAGTTGGAAATATCAACTCAAAGACCGTTCAACTAACTCATAGCTTAGAGAGCACAAGTTCTAACTATAGTAATTAAATTAAAATTACGTGAAATCATATATGTATATATATATATATATATATATATATATAAATTCGAATGTCGCGCACGTCAGCTCGCCAAAAATCTTGACGGCGCTATATATTTCGCTTTGATTCGTTGTACACCGAGCTCTCGCGTTTTGCGTGTATACGTATGTACGTGCAACGCGACGGGGGGAAGACGCCGGGAAACGCGTCGTCGTGTGAGCGCGCTAAAGATAAACCGCTGCTAGAAATAAATTGGGAGTGACATCACGCCTGCTAGGAAGCAGCCGAGCCGTGCGAAAGTTGCCGTCGTCGACGTGAGCTTCTTTTTCGTCTTCTTTTTTCCGCGAGGTCAATTTATCGAGATATACTCGCTCACTCTATTTCGGCGATCCACTTCTCTTTAATTGTAGTTTTGGATCTCGATATCTTTTGTGTCGCATCCGTACGAGAATTGATTCCAAGTCTCTTGTATAATTTGAAAAAACACTCGTGTATACAAATTATTCTTTAGTTTCTATTTTGAAAACTCGAAATAAAATTGAAAAAAGTAACGCATAATGCAGTGTACTACGAAATATTATTATAAAATTGTTTACAAATTTGGCATGGAAAATCTTTCTAAAATCGTTGAAGAATCTTTCGTTAAATTAAAAGACAGAGTAACTTCAACTTAAACAAACAGACAAAGTTACCTCAAACCTGCAATTAAAACCCATAAACCGAAAAGTCGTTTGAAGTGAGTCGATTACAGCAGCGTTTTGTCAGACCGCGTGCGTTTATTTTTTGATTCCCATGCGCCGACGAATTTCTTTTTCTTTTCGCGATGATTTATAATTTGTTCCCATTCATCGCTTCTGATTTTTGAACTTGAACTGTTATGATATGGTGTTTTGTAATGATGGGATCAAAAGATTAAGATTCAAAAAAGAAAGCGTCTCTTGTAATTTATATCGAACACCGATGTTTTAATTTATACGACACTGGTCATAAACTGTTGAATTTTACGATCTTACGTGAATAAACTTAATTTGCGTTGAAAAAAAAAATTGAAAAAAAATTGTATTATAAAATTTCAACGTTTATTCACAATTCTTAGTTGTATAAATGGCTCAAGAAAATTTCAGGTAAAAATCATACACATACCAAACGCTCATAAATTGAGTAGCACAGAGGAAAAAACAATTATGAACGAGAACTAGATTTCACGCAGCCCATGACAATATTTCCACGTCTATTACATATCATAAGGGGCGGAGAGCGAGAGAGATGGTAGAGTCTGGTAGAGAGTGGTACAGTCTGCCGGAGTTAATCTGATTCTCGGAAGAGATGTCGGTAATACGTGTCTCGCGTGAGTTCGATGATTTTTCGTTCGTTTAGAATTACTTAATGGTTGTCCTCCCGTGATTCGTTATCTCGAACCTCAATTGCGTTTAATTGATTAATTTTGTTATGAGTTATTGGTTAGTTCAGTTGAAAATGAATATTTTCATTTGAACTGGGGAATCATTCCTGAAATATACATTTCCAACGTAGTCGTTCGCGCAAATCCGACTATTATTTATCGCTAATAACAGAATTAAGAATACTTTTCGAGCGTGAGATTAATTTATTAGAAATGTGAGAGGGCAAAGAGGCGCGAGCTCTTACTTTTCTTTTATAATACGTTGAATCATTCGTCGGCAAGTATCCTTCTGTAATACTTTCGACAAAGTTGACTCATGTCGCAATATATTTCTTTGAAAGTGATATATGTTTAAAAAGTACTTGTAACATTTTTCTCGAATAAAATATGCCTTTAATCTTTATCATTAGACTATCCGAATCATTCTCTCAAGAGGAAGCTTGATAGCCAAGTGTACGTTTTTTCTGGGGAATGAAGCACAGAAAAAAATAAAAATCATAAGTTTTCTGAAAATCATAATCCCGATAAAACTTTTTTTATTTATACGCTACTATTCTTTCGAAGATTTCCGAAAAAAAATCTTTTCGTCTGACTTTCATCTCTTCCAAGAGGTTACGAGTATAAATCCAACTTGGTAATGACGATGAATATTTTGTAGGAAAAGAAAATATATGTGTTTCAGCCGCGAAAACGTTCGTTGTTTAGTTATCTGTAAAGAACGAAAATAGTAAGCTCCCCAAGTGAAAGGTGTCTTTTTTCCATAAATCAAGCCGTTAGAAGCCACGCGAGCGGAATTCTTTGCAACATCACTTGTCGCGTACCGAGTGTATTTGCTATTGCTTTTATCGGACGTGACGAACGTCCGCGGAAGGGCGAGCACTGGATCTTACCAAGCCAAGTGAAATCTGTGTCACATGCCATCAATTACCTTGGCGAATCAACGGGTCGTTCGCCTCTCGCGCGCTTCGCTCTCACTTCCGAATCGACGCTGTGAGTCACGCGCGCATCTTTTGTGCTCGCGTGACGAAGAAAATAGACGACGGATGGATTGCCGCACGCGCGGCGCAACAAAGAGAATCATTGCGCAGTGGCTGGCTTCGTCATAAAACATACTTCTTCGTCTCTTCCAGATTAGCGCCACGCCAAAATCTTTCCCGAACAATGAAGAAGGAAACGAGATGTTCGTTAATTGGCACGTGAATGATTAGTCGAATGCGCCCTGGACCAGACGCGATATTATTACGGTTGTTAATGACGTACTTGGGAAGGCTAGTTTTCATTGACTCGCCTCCGTCACTCCTGCGATCAAGCTGACTTCGCACGCGAACAATGCTTTCGTCGCTCGAGTCTCGCACTTGTTCGCCACCATCCCCTCGGCGCACACACTCGAGCCTTCGCCTCGCTCGCTCTCGCAGGGGGAAGGACAGTAGTTTTAAAATAGTCTCGGTCCGCTCTCGCGCTCTCTCTCTCTCTCGCTGGCAATGCTCGGCAAAGGCCGCGAGTAAACGGTAGCTCGGTCGACAGTCCGCAGTCGCCGGTACGCTCGCCAGCTGATCCGTCTTCTCGCGCGCCTCTGTCTTCGGGCAGGCATCCGGTTAAGTGCAAGGCAGCAGAGAAAAGTGTTGCGGGGTGGCTTTGTGTCGCGAATGATGAAGTGCGGCCTTACCGGTGTGCAAAGCTTCGTCGCTGCGTGCGAATGTCGAGCTTAGTGTGTGCCGGCTTGGACTCCAACTATTACCACGTCGATCTTGACTTGTCACTCATGGGCATTCAAAGCACAGCGCAGTTCATCGACAAGTACCACCACATACTAGGTACGGCTTTCTTCGTTGACGCCAGGCATGCGACGAGGTTCACGCTCGTTCAATGTCCGTCGCCGCGCGGCTCACTGACAATTTCCATCTTTTGTTTACGCAGCGAACCTCGTGTCTGGCGAAAAAAGCAAAAAAATCGCACC